GAAGGGAGGCAGAGGACGACAGTTTCCTCCTACGTACATAAGTACAGGTCAACGACTGACTTTTCATCTCAATTTCTGTCGACGAGGGCGTGCTACAGCCATCCTAGTTTCATTAGATTTTTCGAGGAAACGAGTACGATTCTCCATCTACTCTCATATCGTACTCCTAGAGACAGTTAATGGAAGTTAAATAACAAACTCTAGATATTTTCTTTCGTTGTGTATACAGGACGTTACAAAAATAGGCTCTGAATTGGCTCTAAGCAGATCAATATAGAGAATGAATTCTATTTTTAGCTGACCAAACATAATTACATTAAGAAGATTAAATTGACGATATTTTTAACATCGTAATCTGCCAACTTTCCACTTTAGAAATCAATAGAATAGTTTCAAAGAATCGGAAATACGCGTATTCCAATAGGAAAGTCGAATCAAGTACTTACGTCTTTTCATAAATTGTGCGCACACTGAGAGAATCCTCGACAAATGTCCTAAAGTCGAAGGATATTTCGTCCTGAATAGTGTCACAGCTAGGAGAGAAATAAAATTTTCACTCTTGTACCGACGATCGTAATAAAATCTTGACTCGTCCGGAGGAATACCTGCAAGGAAAAGGAATGAAAGGGAATCCTGTGGTAGTCGATTTACTTCGTTCCGGGTTAATCCTGTGAAACAGGACGTCTTTGTGAATGAAATAACAACGGGATTGTAGCCGACATATCAGAGAATGCACAGAACTTTTCATATTAAACAAATGAACTGCCGGCAAACGAAGAGAAAACTTTTCAAATGATTATATTATTTCATAATGGATTCTAAAATCATATTTTAGATCGACATATATCGCGTCCAATTGCGTTTGCCGATATTTTCAGCCTCCTTTCGCGCACCTGCTTTCCATTCCATCGAACAAACTCGGATTATTTCTTTTTCATTTCGGTGACAGGAGATGCTTAATATTGTATCTCTGGTATCGAGCACGTTCCTTTTCATATTGCCGATAATTTTCACCGTTTACTTGGCAATAATCAATATTCCATCGAGCAGAATTCAGGAACAAGAAAAAACAAGAGTTTTAGAAGCAAGAAAAAAAAGCTTTCGCGACAATTTAATTAACAATTCCGAAGGGTTTCAACTATAAAATTTGCTTATAAGATGGTTATGGAATTTTTGCTCATTTTTCTTAAAAGTGAATTAACATCTTAAGCTTGCCCCGGTGATGCGATAAAAACTGTCGTTGCTCAAGTTTAATAAAAATTTTCGTCAAACACACGGTCGTATACGTCGCACACGAAAAAGAACGTGTTAACTGGAGGAATTACGATAACGTGAAATTACATGTAGCGGATTTTTCAAGTTATAGATCGCATCTGTTCGTAGTGGATTAAGGATATTAATGTCACCCTTAAACTACACCCGGGATTTCTTTCGCTGTCGGGTAAGTGTTGCCCATCACGTACAGCTGCGAAACGGGACACTAAATCAACGGCTATTTTTTTATGAGCCGCGAAATTACACGATAATAAGAGCAACTGTGTCGTAAAGCATTCGGATCCACTGCACAATACCGGATAATGGAAAAATCTCGTTTTTAAGTACACTTTATTGTTACCCTCCTATTGTTAGTCATACGTACGAATTATTCAGACTATTCTATTTCTCTTCTCGTTAGGAATTTCATTTCCAATAAATCTGATAAATCAGATACGTCCTTCGGGTACGAGTGATGAATGAAACTTTTGATCGGTAAGGTACACAGGAATACCGTTCTTTGTCATAAAATAAAAGAAGCTGAAGCCGTACGTTTGTCAGGACGACGAGCAGAGGGAAATAAAGGAAGGCGAAAGTGGTAGTTACCCGGGCCTTGGTTTTCGTCGATTCGGCGATATTTTCCTGACAATGGGACGAAGGTAATTCGACGTTCAGGAAAAAATACGCAGCCCTCTAGCAAAGTCGTATAATCCTTGAATGGAGCGTCGCTAAGAAGGGGGATTTCAAGGTGTACATTGTACCTGGGTACATTAAAATGTAGAAGCGACGTGGAACGGCAAGTATTTTTTTATTAGTAATCGTTTGGCATGGTTGTCTATAGATAGTTGCAGCGTCAGGTGAGTCTCCACCTGTGAAAGGCGTGGATAACGTTGCACTGCTGACTTTTCTTAGCTCATTGGTTCGCGCAATGGAATACCGCCATTCTGTAGGAGAAACTAGGAGAATGGTCGTTTATTTTAAACTTCTAATTATTGGTATTAATGAATTAATACTGGAGTTAGCCTGCCACGTTGGTTCGTTAATCGTGATGGGGCATGTTCATGAAACGAAGGTCAGACCTCACAAGGAATAAGATATCAGTTCTAATGACGAATTTCGACATCCCATTCGACACGATTCGACGAACGATCAATATTAATGCACCGATTAATTTGCAAACCACGTAACATTTTAGGGAATAATTACGAGGATTTTCAAGTGATCGTTGAATTTAAAAGAAAAAAGAGAGAAGTTAATTATCATTGAACTCAACGGTGACAAGTTAAATTAGTTTTGTGAGTTACCAAATTGAACCACCTTTCCAACATATAAATTAGTTATCTGTATGCATTACCTGATCGTGTGGTAAATTGCAGTGGGAAATATAATTCTATGTTGAAAAATCAATAATACCACCAACGCAGGTTATTCCTTTCAAACGATTTAATATTTAAAAAAAATTTTTGTTTTCGTTTTCTTCAATTTTTTAATGAATATCATAGCAGGTTTAATAGAGAAACGAAAGTTTGCTTAGTTAATTGAACGATGTTGTATCGACGCGTGCACCAAACGCGAGTCGAATTCCAATTGAAACTGATTTACGATTCATAATTAAAACAGACAGGTGTAGAATTAGCGAAATAGTGCCATTGAATTGAAACGATCGCATAAGCCGTTAACAATGCCAAGTAATTGATTTGCGTATGGTTTCTGGCAAAAATATAATAGCTGCTCTCCTGGCTGCCTTTAAATTAACTAATTGTCTTCTGTGGAGCGATACAATTAACCCAATTACGAAACCATTACTCGAGGGAGAAACTTTTGTACAATTATACAAGATGATTAAATAAAGTCCTGAAAAACAAATGTCCCGTTTCGTTCTAATTGAAAATTTAGTCAAATATAAAATCAATTGGAAAAGTCTGAAACAACTACGTTTCTACGTGCCCGATGGTCATTTCAATTTAATGGTCCCTGCAATTACAATTTCAATTAGATGGACCAGTTGATAATCAGTGCAGGATCCTGGAGTTTAATCGAATGTTTATCCTGCGCAATGTAACGTAAGATAACGCAAGTGCGTTCTCGCTCGATGCAGCTGCTTCCCCATAGAATCCGCAACCATAAATTGCTGTCTTAACGATCCTCCCACTTTTGCAATGGGACTCCAACATGGGCGTGTTTCGAAATCGAAACTAATAATCTCATTGAATCCAAAGAGTCCAGATTAAAAAATAACTCAATTGCCCTAACTAGGATAAAATCATTGGGAAAGCAATTAAGATTACACAAGATATTTTAACCGAACGGAACAGAATAATGAATAGTATATATTGATTTTCCATAAATGACCCGTGTCATCGAACAACGAGGAAATATGTTTTGACCAATCGCGAGCCTCCAACTTTTCTCTATTTTGCGGTTGACATATTTCAAGATTTACGCAGCCTTTTAGAAGTTTTAATAAAAACCGACCGGAAGTTTTTCTCTCCGGTACAGAATGAAACGACATTCAACTCTCGTTCTGTAGTTTGTTCGGCTATAGAAATGAATCCCTTTGTCGTTGTTTCCTTCCGGAACTTTGAACTCCGCGGCGATAAAGGCGAATTTCTTGATGACTGTGCTACTTGACATGTTAATTTGGTCCCGGAAAGATGAAGTATAGAAAGCGTTATAATTTCATACTATGTAATGCAATTGCGCTTAATTTTCGCATTAACCTCTTGACCTAGAATCTGGCTAAAGTGATAAGCAAGTCAATGGGCAATGATAAATTTGAATCATCAGATACACGTGAAGAAAGATCTGATTTTGTCTTGCAAAGTAACTTCAATTTCTTTTTCCCCCTTTTATTTCACTCTCCCTTTAAAAGCAACTAATTAAACGTTTCATCTTTAACGAACCACTCTGTACATATATCCTTTGAAGGGTTACAATACTTGAACTTTTCTGGCCGCCCGTGGAGTGGTTGAATCTGAATTACCATTTCGCATTGTTTTTTGTTTTACCTCCTTGATTGCTTGCAGATTGCTTGTTTGCTCGCTTTAATAATCCTGTCATGGAGAAAGTTTCTCAGAATATATTGGTACGGGTTCTAGATTGACCCACCTGGAAACCGAGAAGTTTCAAAACGTTGATTGGAACAGTAGAAATAACCGTATTTAGTACGGCAAACTATAATAATTATTCAGTTTATTGTTTCCAATGAGCTAGATACAATTTTAATGACACTCGAAACCTTCCGTCCATCTGTATTCCTTTAATTGTTTGATACCTGTAACTAATTTTCAAATTTAAGCCTTCAATTTATTACCTTGTGTAATTGAATATTGCTTCCTCGGCTGTTTTATTAATTATTGATTACATCGCATTTGAGACGTCGGTCTTAACCGGTGGCCACCATGGTGGCAAACGTGTTAACGACCATCGATCCACCATCGATCCATGGCTCGTCCGGATGCATTGCGAAACTTTGACATCGCCTTCGGTGACGTTCCTCTTACTCGTAATTATCCCGCTAATAAATACCATGTTCATCGGATAGGCGTTGATTTACGACGGTAGCCCGATTGGACAGCCATGACAGCGATTTCAACGGTGAAAAATGTCTGCGTTCGCACAATCCCTTTGTCGCGTGCCCACGCAAACGAATCAATTAACAGGACGATCCTGTTTTCTCTTTAACGGATGCTCCTAATATTTTAATGATAATTAAAAAAAAAAAAAAATGGTTTTTCTTGTTGCAGACGGAACAATTCACTGTGTTATGGCTACTATTCGCGATGATAGTGGTGGGCAACATAGCGGTGCTAATTGGCCTCCTATGGGGCAAACGTCGAAAGACAAGGATGGACTTTTTTATCAAACAACTGGCGTTTGCAGGTGAGTTGTTCGAACGATGCGTCGAAAATTCTGCTTTCATTCGGGAAAAGGACCCCCATAAATGGTGGCGAACAACGAACTGGATATTTTTAACTTCGATTCCGTTCTCGATGTTTTTCAAGTCGAAGAGCGTTAAATTTACTACTTCTTCCAAGTACTTTGTAACTGCACGACTCGCGAACGATTTGCTTCTTATGCTTGCGGAAAATGGAAGAAAGTGGAGGTACGAAATCGATTTTCAACCATTTCAACCGAACGTCATTTTTCGGAATACTAAATTTGAAATACTTTTATGATCGTTGAGGATTATAAAAATTTTATTAGCCGAAACTTGTTAAGAGACTTTTAAATCGTGAAATCCCGTTATATTTTTGACATTTCCAAATGCTCCACTCGACAGGCAACAAAATAAACTTTTAACTTTGACATTTTTCAAATCCATTTTATATATTTTCCTCGGTTCAGAAGGAGGAACCAACGGATGCAAATATCCTTCCAGAGATACGAAAGTCAAGCTTCGTGGCTATAAAGATTTACGTTCCGTTTAGAGTTAGACGCGCGGAGACAAGCTTTACGCTCTCGTATAGATGATAACGAAAACTTTGACTGGTTCATGGACCTACATACGTGCGGATGGTAGCTCGTCCGCATAACGATTCTGTTTCAATCCTTACAAATCCTTCTTTCCCTTTCTTCCCACTTTTTATCCACCGCCATTGTGTTTCTCTTGGTATCCATTCGCGTCCATTGTCCTTGGTGAAAAGCGCGGCGCCAGAAAGTAAGAAGAAACGATCGTAACTCGATGGTGGTTTTGGTTTGTTACAACCTCGTACAAACTCACTTTTCCAAATGAAATGAAACGAGATATACCCCGAGTCATTGAACTTTTACGTTCGATAGAGTTAATACTAATAATATGACTGGCGACTTTTGAAAGTAACTTTCTTTCGAAGCCGGCAATTTCTGTCAAGAATTTACAACAGGAAGGAGCTTTATGTTTCTAGAAATACTAAACGGTTGTAACTCAATCGCCAGAGGCTGTAAAACGTCACTTGTGAAAAGTATATATGTAGACCCTTGAAAAAATACGAGAGATGAGAATATAGAAGCTAAAGGACGTAAAAGCTCGCTTGTTCTTTCGACGACAACGAGTTCACGTTCTCAAGCTCGTAAACGCTATCGATGCAACACACCTCTCTATATCGAACAATTTTTGCTCCTTCTACAGGAAAGAAAGAAAAAGCTAGGGTGAAATCTTTCCGCTTCTTTTGCCATCTATTTCTCTTGAAATCGCTTTATCGCGACCATTGTTCTATGGAAAGGAACTGGGTCGAAAAGATGAAGTGGAAAAAAAACAAACAGTGAAAATCCTTTGTACTGTTGGAACGAAGACGCACTATTATATATTTGAATTTGTTAAATGAAACAAATCTTATTCGACATTGAAAGTTTTGAGAAATATAGATATGCTCGAAATGATTACCAGCCCATCACCAGTGATAAGTCCAAATCGAGTTTCAATATCGGAAGAAATATGTACACCGTCCCGGATTCTGTTCGAATCCCAAGGGAGTCCCTAAGATGAAATCTCATCACGAAGGGTTTTTTTTACGAGTAACCAAATGGCACATCTAGAACTCGCAGTACTCGATACGACATCCCTTTAAACTGCTTCTTTATAGGCCTTCCCGCCGCGCGAAAAATCACGCGGTTCGTAAAACGCGCGTTTCCATCGTCAGTTCCCTTCCACGTTGAAAGTGGGTAATCTCTTATATATTTGCTGCAATTAAACCCTTCGGCATTGAACGTGCAGGAAAAAAATGTTGCTTTCAGTCACTTGTAGTTTAAGCGCCCTTGTGCACGGATCGCTTACAAATTGAAATTTTATAGCGTCTCCGCAATAATCGATTTTCATTAGCTGCAAATCAGATTCTCTGGTTATTCGCTCGTAAAGGAGCGAAAATTTCGATAGCTTTTAGCCACTGGTTTCACCTGCTTAATTGCCCGCATGCAAACGACCCATTCGCCTTTAAGAACAGACATTCCTGGCTGTACCGCATTCCTTTCATCTTTTATTTCGCATTAAAGAAGATGTTTGTATATATTGTCTTAATATGTTATCTTTAACCAGTTTCAATCTCGTTTTTATTTTATGTTCTCCAGTTTATGTTACTTTCGGGTCGATCGCCTCTTTCCCAATCCCGAATTTTTATTTCCTTGTTTTAACATCTTAAGTAAGTTTTATTTGAAATTTAGTACATTTTTATTCAGACTTTTAAGGGCAACTTTGTAAGCTTATCGTTAATGAAGAGTAAAAGGGTTAACGAACCGTGTATATTTTTCCAGACTGTTCATTCATTGGTGAATTAAGTGGTCGTTGGTCGTTGGAAAGCTGTTATAATAATAGCTCTTGTTTTCGCGATGAATCACTTTACTCGGTTCCATATATCTTGTTGCAGATTTATTGGTCGGCTTGATATCCGTGCTAACGGATATAATTTGGAGAACGACGGTGACCTGGCACGCGGGCAACGTAGCTTGCAAACTGATACGATTCATGCAAGCTGTTGTTACCTACAGCTCTACGTACGTACTTGTCGCTCTGTCGATCGACAGATACGATGCCATCACCAGACCGATGAATTTCACTGGCAGGTGTAAGTACATTATTGACCCAGATATCCTGTCAAATCGAAATCATATAAATTCTTGTCGAACCGCTCTCGTTTTCGACACCAAGTAAACAGTAACGACATAACAATTTCGCTGAGTAAACACTGCATCTAACAGCTTAGTTAGTTGCATTCCATTTCAACCACGATATTACTATTGTATAATTCAAACTATGCACGAAGGCGCGAAAAGGGTTAATATCTTCCTCTTAGCAGGAAATTTCCTCCATGGTGCTCGTCCGACCGAACTGCCGCATAATTTAGACTTAATCGGGAGAAGCTACAGCTAAAGCGGTGATTTCGCGGAATCTGATTAACACCCAGGATATTATAATGCATGCATATAACTCGAAGTAATAACGTCGTTTCCACGTAGCTGCGATAAATCTTCGACGAATTGGTAACGAGAATAACGGGTTGGTTGTTAGTGACATACGATTTCGAGGAACTTTCTTTATTGCATCGAACGTATATTCGCGTATCTTTCTCTCTCGTTTTTCTCTATAAACCGCCAGCTGTCGCGGAAGTTTCGCGGCTGAGGAAACGAGGAAACTTGGAGACGCGAAACTTTCAGTTACCCTAGACTTTACGTGCATCTGTTCATTCAGTTTAGAGCGTAAAATGAGCCGTGACATGAGAATTCTATATTGAAAGCAGCCGTTCGTTTTACAGATATTGAATTTGAAAGGTATCGAAAGATCGCCGAAAGGCATTTAAATTTTATCATTTCGATCAATAGGGTGGAGAGCTAGAGCACTGGTCATCGGTGCCTGGAGCTTGTCGGCATTATTCAGTGTTCCAATCATATTCCTGTACGAGGAGAAACGGATACAGGTAACAATTATAAAATTAATTAAGTTCGTCGCGTGTTAGATTAGCGATTCCCTCAGCGTACTGTTGCCTAAGCGTTAATCACGATGGATTTTGTTGAAACGTGCTATGATTAGTGTATTTTTGTTTGTGAATTGGTCGTACTACGAGCATAATAGACAGGATCGTTTACCAGGGGAAGACACAGTGCTGGATTGACCTGGGCTCTCCGTTGCAGTGGAGGATCTACATGAGCCTGGTCAGCTTTACCCTCTTTATAGCACCTGCTCTGATAATAGGGGGCTGTTATGCTGTGATCGTAGCTACTATATGGTCACAAGGTGGAGCATTACGCCAAGGACCTACCAGGGACACCAGGAGGGCGTCTTCCAGAGGGCTGATCCCTCGAGCGAAGGTCAAGACGGTGAAAATGACTCTCGTCATAGTATTCGGTAAGCGACCACCGTATCTTTAAAGATGTTACGATATTTGAAATTCGCAATATCGTGAAATTGGTTTCGTCGAAAATTGCCAATCTTGGAATTGTAACTTCGGAGGGTGTTAAATCTGAAAAATACTTTGTTTTTCTTCGAATCTAACGCACAGTTCGACGCAAGGAAATGACGTTCGAAGGCGACACAGATTTGCCGGTGGCAAATAACGGAAATCGAACGGAATTATTTGCTGAAAGTAAGTAACCTCGGGACACGAAGGAAGAGATGACGAATCCGAGTTGTATTTGTCAAGCACTGTTGTAGAAGTTTCGAGTTTCTTGTCGCTCAAAGTACCATCGTCTTCGCTTTATTCCTCGAGGGAACGGGTTTACGTGTGCCTGGAATTGCCCGGACTAATCAGATTCGCTTCTCCACGATGGCCGGACAGAAAATTTCCTCTTTTTCAGCTCTCCCGGACGATCGTTTCCAACGAAACGGATCAAACGAGCAGGATAGCCTCTGTGATTCCGAACGGCTCCCTTTGGCGCGCTTTGAAACCGGCAAAACTATAAAAATGAATTGCGTCGCCTGTATAATTTTCTCCGATACAATCGGTATTCCTTCTTAACATTTTATCCACTTACGACTATACTAATCGTGAACGTTGAATTTTCCGCCCCAGAAAATATCACCGTTCTATTTCTACCCATTGTACGAAGAGTTAAGTAGTTAATTGTGGAAACACGTGTAACCTATTCAGTTCGACAAACCCTCGAACAATGGCTTAACATTTCTCCCGACCACACAGCAGGTTTCGTACAATGAACTCGTTCATTCGATGCTTTTACCTCGTTACAATCGGGCCATTAGCGGCCCAAATATGCTCGTTACCAGGATAAGTGATCGTTAAAGAACCTGATCCGAATCTCATTCTGTTTATTCCGATGTTTGAGGAATCTAGGTGATTCTAGGGCCAGATAATTCTGTTAAAATTTTACCACTTTCTTTTCTCTTTCCTACCGAGTAAATAGAAGTAGGTACGTTTGATAATTGAATCAGCGACGATACCGGAATGAGGTGTACGGCGGAAATAATAATTGGAGATCAAAGGATCGCAAGAAGGATTTCGAGTTCGTTAGACGTCGAAACGTTAAAAGGATTCTGCTAGAGGTTTCTTGATAAAGAGTCGTAAGATTTCTAAGCTAGCAGACAAGAGAGCAAGGCTCCTCGTAAAGCATTCGATTCTCTAACAATTCTTCGTCTTTCGAGTAGCCTCGCGAGAAGATGAAAGTCCCGGATGCTTGGTTCACCTCGTTATCCGCAATTGCTTCCGATTATTCGTTCACCGGCACCTGCCATCCGATCCTCTAACTCGAGCATTTAACCAATTCTCCTTGAGCTGGAAACCTTTAATCAGTCGCCTTCCTGTTTGCTCAGACAACACCAAGCAAAAGTTCTTTGCTCCGTCATTTTCCTTCTCGCATTCCATCTTTAAACTTGGCTCTTATTATCAAACTATTACCAGAAAGGTTTAGGTTTCTCTTCAATTAAAGAAAGAAGGATTTTAGAATAAGAAAAATTTAATTAATATCAATTACCTCGCGGTAAAATCCTTCTTTCTTTCTCTACTGTTTCAGTATTCATTCTCTGTTGGAGTCCGTACATAGTGTTCGATCTCCTCCAAGTTTACGGTTACGTACCGGAAACACAGACCAACATCGCGGTGGCCACGTTCATTCAGAGTTTAACGCCATTAAACTCGGCTGCCAATCCGATCATATATTGCCTCTTCAGCACGTCATTTTGTAAAACTGTACGGTGAGTTGTCAAAAACAACGGGGATACTTGATATTATTTAAACCCTTTAACCGTTTGCGATAACAAACGATGCCTGATCAGTGAAATTAATCATTCGATACCATCAAGAATCTAGCTGTAGGTTCTTGTTCGATAGAAACATGCAGGCGATCACCTGGGTTTCTGGATGGTGTGCGACGAATCCTCATCACTGTTTCGGCACCGGTGGTCCAAACAGTAGCAGCAGAACCACAGTGACAACCTCGCTGACAGCACACTCGTCGCGAAGAAGCGGCCACATCGCGATGCTACACTCCACCACCAGGAAACGAGTCATGGTATCTTTAGTATAAAAAACGAACGATGCAAGCCTGCTTCCTGTCCAATAAGATCAACTCTCCTGCCTAATGAGAGCTTCGAAGAAGCTCGACAACGAGTATTAAGGTGGGTATCCGCTTGTCAAGAGTGCTCCTCTCTTCGAATCCTTCAGCGTCGTCAACCGATATGCAAATATATCGTTTTTCTTTTTTTCTTTTTTATATAACTGATACGATATTGGAATTTGCAAGCGTATACCCACCTTTGAACGTCTTTCGAATTATGTCTTATTTAATTTTCCTAACAAATTGATAAATGTCGTTGCTATACAAATATGATATTCGTTTTTACATTGGAAACATAATTTGGGAGACGACGTTGTATGTGTAAAATAGATTTTCTATTTACGTAATCAGTATTTCAGGCCTGGTCTTCTGTGTCGGCAAATAAATGTCTTTCATCTTCCATCGCACAGTGATCCAACTCGAACAATTCAATTATTATACAAAATTCCAGGTATAAGTTACACTACCGTTCAAAAGTCCTTTGGCTGATACAACGTTGTTAGGGTTAACAGGTGCCCTAATTCTAAGACCTTCGAAGCGACATCGTAAAAGTCTGGAACAGAAATTCGATTTAACGAACAATCATATAAAAATGGTGATTCCATGGAATAAAGCACCCGTTCACAAAGATTCTGGGGGATGAAAGGAACATTAGCCTGGCAATCGATCAGCCTACGTGGAAAATGATACGCTCAAAAGTATAACATGTACATATATACATAACGAATGAACGACAGCTTCTGTGTATATATACATTACGTATGCGACCATAAATGTGTAATATATTCATGTATTCCATCGGTTGCGTTCTTCGCGAAAATGCCTCGCCTCGAGCCTCTAATTATGCTCGCGATCAATCAACATTTAACAGTGCTACAATTTCTCGATGCCTAAACATCGTTTTGTACAGCTAAACCGAACGTCGAGTCGTTCATCATCGGCTATTCCGTTGTGGACATAAACTACCCTTTAGGAAGACGCGACGTGGAAATAGAAGACCATAAGGGAAGGTTTTCGAATTTGGATTCGAAACAACAGTGGTCCAATTAAAACAACTTTCTCCTACATTCATCCCACATTCATCCCCATAACGTATCAATTTTTGATAAAATAAAAACAAATAGTTTGTCAGTCGTTTACGTTTTGTATCTAAAATGTGTCGATAACTCGAGTTTTTCCAGGTTTTCATACCCTATCGCTGCTTGAAATTCGAAACACAGAGCGTGTGTAACTGTGTTAAAGTGGAAAACAATTCGCTGGAAAGTTGTGTAATCGTTTAAAGAACGGTAGATGGTATTGTATTTGTAATTCGTCTAATTATTATTTATTCTATTGTATTTAAGAAAAGAGAAAGGGAAAAACGATGATAAGCCTGTATGTCTTGTTACCACGTTCATATTTTCATTGACGGAGAATATAATTTGTACATACTGTCGAATAAACTCGTCTACGATGCGTGAAATTACTTCATCTTATACATCCTTATTTCATCGAAACATCAAACAGAAGATTCGAATGGGAAGACGTCGAAGACGTTTTGGAAAGAGCGCGTCGTAAATTATGGAACGATTCGTGAAAAATAGGCACTGTCAACGTCGGGAATTGAACGGAAGACCTTCTTCGAATTCGCAACCAGTTACTTTATTTACTGCGACAGCCAGCTGTCATCCTTCATCTCAGGATTTCTCTTAAGGGAGCACGACACTGACTTAGACAAAATTAACTTCTTCTATTTATTTGCATAATGGCAATTTTTATAAGATTTATTCTCGCCTTAATCATTAGCTGTTCGATCGATTAACACATCGATCGCGTGCTTGAATTGTCACGAACCACCCGCTTTCCCTTCAACTTTACATAATTCCGCACGGTCATCCCGACGCGGTTTTCGAGCTCGTAAATTCTTGACGACACCGTCCCGTACACGCGCACGGACACCGTGTGCGTTGAATCGCGAGTAAAAAGACGGCACACGCCGAAGAGAAATAAAATTTCTTCGCCTTCCTCCATTTCCTTTTACGGCCTACGCTCTGTACCAGCTGTAAAATCCAGCGACCAACCGGCGCCACGATATGTCGGAGATGCCACTGGAACGATCGTATCGCCTTTCTCATTGTCACTTATTTACTCGTATCCTGACCAGAACGATCTTGCACGATAAACCCCTCGGAATCGTGTATGCCCCGATGCCGGTCATTCATCGTAACTTAAATATCACATTGAGTTTCGAGGATGATTTATGAAATATGCAAAGTGCTCTGTTTTCAATCGAAAATGATAGATCATTGAAAGAGATTATAATAATGAGCTTTCCGGATGAAAAGGTTTATTGTTTGTAATTTCATTCTATTCGAGTAGATGGAGTATCGATGTTCAGAATCTGTACAGAATCCTTCAGTTTTAACAAGCTATCGTATCAGCTTTCGATCAGTTTCGAATTTTCAGGACTTAATTAATGCGTTCATCTATCCCGTTGTAAATTGTAATTGATTTAGGTACGATTCCAATTGCAGTAGTAATTTTATCTTTCAATTCCATTCGATTCATTCTATTTGACTTTAAACAAATGATGAACGATCGATCCGGATCGTTAGAGAAAATTTCAGAGTGATGAAGGCACATTTGTCTCTGACAGAACCTACTCGTATACAATAACAATCTGAAATATCCGTTAGATTTTTTTATAACAATTGTATTTAGAAAATGTCTTGTGTCCACTATCAGTCGTCAGATCCGTCAAGAGAGAGAAGCTACTATGATGGCCAATGCAATCGTTTCGTTTCCTCTTCCTATACTCCACGAAATCAAACGGCGGATACCTATCGAAGTGGTACGCAACGTTAATTACAATTTACATGCCGGTTTATTCACTTTTAGAGCTGTACTGATCGTTAACGAAATTAATTCGATCACTGCGAATGAATCGTGTACTTTTGACTCGTAGGATATTGCGCCGGCTGGAGGATGCACGAGTTTCAAGGGAACAACGTCGAAACACCCACGCCAGGTAATATGGAACTCTCAAAGGAAAAGTTTGCTCTCCAAAGCGATCCTTTCAGGCAGATGATTTAACTTCTGTAAATGTATGCACGTGCACGTATGCTGAAAAGAAAATGATTTTATGTGCGATTTCCTATTCCGTTACTGACGCAAGCTGCCAGCTATTTCCCTATCGACTTGCTACTTTATTTTTCAAACGTTTTTACAACACTGCTGCTTTTGACGCGTCAGACATTAATTCTTTAAGGAGGAGGGTGCATTCAGATATTCTGTTTAGGGTTTAAATAGGGTATCCTTTATAAAGAAACTCCAGGCATCGATATATCATCAAGCAAAAAATGTTATTCATTGATTTTAAAAATGGTTGAAGCGAAAGGAATATTAATGGTGATTTCATACGATGATCGTTGTTTAATAGCTTAATAGCTAACGGGCTAAAATTCCATCGCACGAGATACGCGTTCAGTGAATTAAACGTATAATTACTAACTGGATAATAAAATGATGAACAGTCAGATAGCAGAGATTCAACTGTACTTTGATCCTTTCGCTTTACGACTATAATGTTCGATCAGAAAGTGCTGACGCCATCGTGGTACAATCTTGTAATTCGTAGATTTCTTACAATTTATTGCCTAAAGTATAATTTATATTTTTATAGATTCTACTCTTTTCGGTTTTAAATAGATATTAATCTAATCTACAATTTTTCTTCTTAGGCAAGGGTGAACCAACGTTCTCGGATCCTCGAATACATACTCCAAGAGCCACGTACAAACAGGAAACGACGATACACGGAGACCAGCTCGCAATCGAGAAAATGCAAACGAAAATCAAGTTTCTCGAGAACAGTAATATTGTGATGCAAACACGTAATCAGAAGCTTATCACCGAGAACAAAGCTCTCATGTCCCGGTGAGAATTAATGGACAAGATTAATTCATATTCGCTCCAGCTTCCATACAAGAATCGATAAAAAGGATGCTTTCGTAGTAATTTGTAAAAAAATTAACTTGAAAAATTGTTCTTCGTGGTATGTATTGTGTTCTTTTCTGATCGAGATAACCAGAACTTTGATTTGAAAGAAATCATTTCTCCATGGAATTTTATAGAAACTTTACCTCCATGAATATTTACTAAAATAATATTACAAAATGATGAGACGGAAATGTTTTAAACAGAGAGGAATTTTCAGAGTTTCATTAGCGATTGAAAATTTCGTGTGCTTTATACATGTAGAAAATGAAATAACATTTTCAGCGATGAGAGGATCTACTTTATCTCTTTAACGTATTTTCATCCTATCTGTTCACACATATTTAATAATTGAAATATCATTATCATATATTCTACCTTCAAATAATTTTCACTCAGAACGAAAGAAAAAGGTGTAAAAGAAGATTGTATTGCTTCGAGAGAAATTGAAATTCAATGATTTCATTAATTTATTCTCTGTTCTATATTTCTATCTATCGTGATATTTATTTGCAAGATTGGAAGAGGAACAGGACGAGGTGAGGGGGCTCGAAAAAAAGATAACGTCTCTTCAAGAGGAACTCGACTGTAATAAATTGAAGCTGGAAGAAATGAAGAAGGAAGCGGAAGCCAGTGTATACAAATGTTTACCCTTGCCTTACGTTTTCAAGCTGAAATTTTACTTTCTTTTTAGAAAAAAAATGCGTGCATGCTGAAAGCAAATGCAACCTCGACTACCAATATACCGAGGATCGATCGAGGGGTACAAGTTTGGGCGGTGTGCATGGGATGTCGAAAGAAATTGGAAAGTTGTGAGAAACAACCACCCACCGTTACCATTACCAAGTAAACTTTTTTAATTGAAAAGTTTTTCCTCGTAAAATTATAAGAATATTTGAGTATTCTTCTTTCTCTACATCGCGATAGATCCGAGCTGGAAGTATTAGAGAAGGACATGCAAACCCTAAGGGACACCATAATCGCTAGAGAAGAAGCATGGGACAAAGCGATGGAACGGGAAGAAAATTATCGACAACAATTAACGCGATTAACAACAGAGACCATCACTGCTCGTCACCTTTCTGAAACTCGTCACGACGAGCTTAAGACAATGACGAATGCACTCTCGGTAACGAGAAATTATTTAAACAATCCTGACGAGATTAAGCAAAAGAAAATAATGTCACAGAAATGAGATCTTCCATTTTAATAACTTGTGAATTCTTCTCAACTATGTCCCTTCTCATTTCTTTGCTTTTCGTTGGAATCTCGTTAAATTAATCTGGTTTCACCACCAGGAAAAGGAGTCAGAGCTGAAGACGCTTGAAAAGGACAATTTCAACTTGAGGAAACTACTAGCAAAGCACTACAACGTGTATCAAAGGTAAAGAAAGTAAATTCTACTGTTCAATTTCAAGAAACAGAAAGCAAAATAATTGAATTCCTCTAGTCAACAGGTCGGTAGGTAACTAGAATAAATATAAGCAATTAAGGTAAGAGGAATGAAAGAAATTAACCGGAGTAATTTACTAGAGAGCTAGTGGACAGTGGGTAGCGAAACGAAAAGGAAAAGCGACGAGAAAATCATTAGATCGTAGCGGAACATCTCGCTTTTTGCCAGAGTCTCGCATCGTAACCTCTCTAACCCTTAAACCGGGCTACACTCTCCGCATTTTAGTCGTTTCATTAGTGAAACGACCGCCGTAATGTACCGCGGAGAATGCCGCTTCAAATTTCACCTAACGAGATGCGAGCTTCCTCTACGCCAGACACTCTGGCATTTCCCCATTTCACTCTCACCTTTCCCCTTCCTTTCCTTCTTCTTCTTGATGTGTAAAGGATCGTGTTAAATGCACCGAAAATTTCATTTCAATATACATATGTACCCGTTGGTTGTATCTCAATCGATCCATTTCTTCTTATTTTTTATCTGAAAAATATTCAACGTTCATTATGTATGATAAAGCGTTTAAGAATAGGTACAGTTCTTTTTTTATACGTGAAAAAGATTTCTTCTTTTCAGCCCGCTATAATTATTAGGCCACCTGGCATGTAAATGATTTTAATTATCGATAAATTTGTAATTGCAGAGGACAAGAAGGAATCGAGATAAATGAAAAAGATCAAAGGTACATCGAAGAAGTTGCTCGTATGACCAGTGTAAAGTCTAAACAGAAACAAAAATCAAAAAGCGCCTGTTCCGAAAGAACCCCGCATACGATTGCTCACCAAACTGCAATTAGTCCACGTGAGAGAAGTGTAAAAACAATGAAAGATCAGACAAGTTCGTTGAGGGAAACGAAACGATAAGAAAAATGATTTTTTTGTTAAAAATATTCGCAAAATGATACATTAAATTTATTTGTATCATATTTTCAACTCTGGAATGTCGATAGTCAATAATGAAGTGATCGTCCGTCTTAATTTTTATATTGTTAATTATCATTTTATAATTACATCCTTTTTTGTAAATGCGGGCAGTGGGGCTGGGTATGCCTTTGTTCTCGAGGGATCATGATTTTGAGAAAAAAATTATTAAAGTAATTGTTTGACAATACAAAAAGATCCGTCGCTTTTCGCAATCGAAGGGGACACTGAGGAAAACCACCCGGAATCACCACACAGCATTACTTCAGTGGGGTCCTGAAGAACCCTTCTTCACATTTGTAAGTAGCGCTTTCGGGTGATTGGGGTCCTGAAGAACCCTCCTTCAAATTTGTAAGTGGCGCTTTCGGGCGATTGGGGTCCTGAAGAACCCTCCTTCACATTTGTGAGTAGCGCGTTCGGGTGATTGGGGTCCTGAAGAACCCGTCTTCACATTTGCGGGTAGCGCTTTTGGGTAATTAGGGTCCTGAAGAACCCGTCTTCATATTTGCGGGTAGCGCTTTTGGGTAATTGGGGTCCTGAAGAACCCGTCTTCATATTTGCGGGTAGTGCATACGGGTGATTGGGGTCCTGAAGAACCCGTCTTCAGATTTGTGGGTAGCGCATTCTGGTGACTGGGGTCCTGAAGAACCCATCCTCACATATGCGGGTAGCGTATATGGATGACTGGGGTCCTGAGGATCCCGGCCGGCGGCACACTAGCGCCACCTGTTGGAGAATGGCGGAAGCTAGTCGACAAGTAGTTTCCGCCGTTCTCCGATAGATGGCGCAGCTTACCCCCTTTCGGAAAGTCGATAAATTGTCGAGTAGTTTCAGCCGCTTTTGTATAGATGGCGCTAAGATCGAATTTTTAAAAAATTTCTTTTTGGCAGTTGTTTCAAAACACATGCTTGTCAAACAATTATTTTAATAATTTTTTCTAAATAATATAATTAAAAGAAGTCAAAATTGTGTCTTTTTAGATGTGATTTATTCTGCAATTAATTTATAATTAACATGTGACGCCACCAAAGGCTTCATAATTGAATCTTCATCTGATATCGGTGATATATCAAAGCAGTTTGCTGTCTTTTTCTTTTCTGATTCAATAATGTCTCTCTTCCTGTGAAATATAATTATTAGTATCAGAGAAACAATTAATATGTATTATTTTCTCGCTGTACCATTCAAAGAATGGAAATAAATGCATAGAAACATATGTATCCTTGGCATTTAAATGGATTAGCAATACTAGTACCATTATTCATTTAGAAAATATTCACACGTGCTAGATTTTCATTTCATTCTCACCCCTTCACAAACATCACCTTCCCTTTTTATTCTCTTACTGGCATTAGTTGAATGCTTATTTTTCTACAATTATTACCGTTTGTGCAACGATCGCGTAATACTTCTGCTTTCTGCTTTCTCTGTCCTCTTTCGCGAATGCAACTTCTATCGAGTTCATTGGAAGATCGAGTTTCCGTTCACTTCCTTGTACGATGACCTCTAGCAGGAAAATTCCTGTGCATTTGCGCAGCCTGTACTAATGATAATAAAAATGTTTCTTTGCGCGTCAGATCACGGTACCAGCATAGAATTAATGATCCATGTCGTAGGCGAAGACAATTTGAACGAATTGATATCTTCCATTACCGATTACCTGCAAAGGATTCACTGATTACAAATGACGCAATGGTAATTCCCTCGTTACACGACCAGTTAAAATGGAAATACGTGTTTCATGAATTTCTAAATGAGGACATGTCTCATGCTTCCTCATTTCTTAATTTTAGAGAACAAATTGTGCGTCAAGCTTAAAAATAATAGATAGTTACCCATTCAATAATCTTTTACAATAGTCCACCATATGTACTATTTTCTTTGTCCATGGAAGTATCGGAATATATAAAATAAAATAAAAACAATTGTGCGCAGAAAAAAATTATAGTCATCGATGATTTCATACACCAATTGCTGCATTTGGTTGTGAATCTTATTTTTCCGTGTTTTGCAACAGTGTCACTGATTAATCACTATACCGAGGTATATACCTGTAGAAAAAAACGATTACAATTAGAATGAGAAGAATAGGAAAAATAGGCGGTATCATAAACATTCGTTGCTAATGAGCAGTGCTTTCATAGTTTGATCATTCCATTCGAATAGCGTGAATATCCGAATCAAGCGTAGTTCCTTCTATTTTTTCATAATTAAGATTGACGTAAGATATTGATCTGTAGAAAAAAAACAAAAGGAAAACCACAAAAGCCAGGCTACACCAGCTGATCGGTAGTCACCTTGGAAGATTGCATAATTAAACGAATAACAGAAGACGCACAGTAAAGGAACTTAAAATAAAACAATCGACTTTTTATGTGCACTTCCATTATACGATCGGTCGGTGAGTTCAGTTCTTAAGCAAATAATAATGTTGAATTTGAGATTGAGGGTAACTCTCGATATCAAGGTAATACTGTATTTTCAGCTGCAAACAAAAGATTATTATCAATGTTGCGATATTATTATTTGCAATGGTATTCAACAAAAATTCTGTTATTAGAATTATCTTGAACTCTTTATATAGCTAAGTAAGATAATACTATTTAAATTGCAAACATTTGATTCCAGTGGGTATTAAAAAGAAACATTGTTGATTTTAAGATCTACAGAAAAATTATAAAAGTTTATCCAAAAAAGAGGTACATACCACTAAATTTTAAATTATTTCTACTTTTAAAAGAAGTTGAACTATGAATATATTTGCATGTTTGCATCTTCCAACATATCAAAATTACAAAAGAAGAAGAACAAGAAATTCCACACGAAAAGAGGAATGGATAAGAATTGCAAATTTTCTAAAAATCCAAACTTGTTCATTAGTGTTTGACCTCACCAGGAATTACTACGAGAAGTATAAAAGCATTCCTAAATACAAAAAATGCAAAACTATGTTATACTTAATACTTACAACAATCTTAGTTACGCCAATGTCTTTGCCTCGAAGGCCTCTATCCTTTCATTTCAAGTAAATTCCAAAATAAAAAGAAAATTGCTAAGCATTTCTTCGAAACAATTTGCACCTCTTCCAACGAATACCTCTCCAATACCGAATTCTATCTCGATAACGTTGGAAGTCGCTGACGGCATCACAAGAGGATCTCATTCGCATTTCCGGTTCGATCGGTCAGCCAACTTGACCCTATAGCGGTCTTCTCGTTGATCTTGCCGCGATCATTATGCAGATGCTACACGTGAAACAAGCTACTTATGAATACATCACGTCCGCACGCGTGACCAGGGTGAATGTTCATCCTCAGGATTCCCCAAACGTTGGAGGGACGGTTCGCGCATAGCAGGGAATCCCGATAAACAGGTACGAAAGTTTCCTCCATCGCCTCAGCTTACTCTCTCCCTTGCAATGCAGTATTCTTCATTCACGCATCCACCTCTCAGTGTGCAGTGTCTCGCCGCGATCGGTGCATCCTACAAGCGCCAGCAACTTTAGTAAGATCACGGTGTTCGCCACGATTCACCCTGTTACGTCAAGAAGATTTATACGTCGCTCTAGGTATACGTACACAACAATTTATTTTTGCCATCATCTTCTGTGCTTGGTCAGATTTATGTTTCAATATCTTCTGAATGTTGTGATGCTGTTGATGGTTTTGAAAAATTTTTACACAACTTTTTTGTGAAAGTCTTGGTATTCTCAGTGAAATATTTCAGTGGTGATCTTATTGCTTGAATTCTGTAAATGAGAATGAGAGGTATTATGTCATATTTCTATTTAAATTTTATGAGCATTATGAATTTTGCAGAAACTGATTGAATTAATTTATAATCACGCTTTAGTTTTCATTCGACGGAGAATTTTAAAACGACGCACCGTAAATCATCGATTATGTACAGCTATTAAAACTTCACCGTCCAATCAGTTCTTTTGATTGCATTGAAGTTATTTTGCAATAGGTTGCCGTTAATGAAACAGTTCAAAGACGCACAATAATAGACTGCACGGTTTTCAATAAAACATTCCAATGTACAGATAACACACCAAGAAACTCCGAGCAACTGAAGTGGAAGTATGCACAAGGAAAAGTTCTTCTGAACGTATTTCATACAGAAAATAATCCGAGTATTCTGTTGAAATGTAGGGATATAAATAATTTACACCCATGTATTTTTCTCCTCCAAAGTTAAATCTATAACATAAATCATGTATATGAGTAATAGATCACACTAAATATTAGTTTTTTAAACATTGTACTGTTAGACATAGGCGCGTTAGAGAAATTGAAGAGAGAGATTGTCACCTCGCTGCATTACCCGTGTCTACCCCCTTAACCAGTGACCAATTGATTCATTTCAAGCTATAGCTTTTTCCAATCAATCTGTTCATCGTTTACGTTTGCTATTGCTCATTTACCATCAATTAATGAACTATTCTTTATTCTTTATTTTATTTTCTTTAGTTCTTTATTTCCCACTTCTCACTCAATGTAGCAGAATTCTACTATATTTGGCCTATTATTACACGTAGGCTGAAATTAATCTATAGATATTTATCTAATCAATGTATCGAAGGACGTCTAATTCACACCGTCTAATGCGCATAAAAAATCGTACCGAATGAGAAAATACACGTTTAACAAATATACGCAAACTCCAGGAAGACTACTTTAAATCGGCTATTAATATTTTTGCTGATGTACCGTGTACAGTGTATCCGTCTGCAGCAACGTTACACTTTGCATACGTAGCCTTTGTCTCGTCTAATTCCTGCAAACCGAATAGAATTAGAGAAGATAATAACATGCTCTCGTTGCCAACATCATCTTAAGAAGCACAAAGTTCCATCACAGGCATTCTGGAATAAAATGGAACTAATGTCTGTACCTCAGAAGATAGCAGATTTATCGGAAATCGAAAAACAAATGTTGTGCAGATTAGTACCGTTTCTTAAAATTATAAAAATTAAAAATCGCTTCAGTCAGAACTGGTGCAAAGGTCAGATAGTTCTATTTGCCCGCGATAGGCTTAGATTAATCCCCAGGCATTTAGCAAACGAATTTTCCAAAAAGTGGTTACATAGGCTGAAATTAATCTATAGATGTTTATCTAATCAATGTATTGAAGGATGTCTAATTCACACCGTCTAATGCGTATAAAAAATCGTACACGTGAAGTATTATTAAGTGAAAGTACCGAAACAAAAAAATATACTGATCGAATTGAGTAACCTTCTCCTCTTTTGAAGTCGGTTAAAAAGTCGCCAAGTAGAGTTGATGTATTAAACTAACAAGTAGCAAGTGAGAATCATCTCTGGAGTTCAAAGAGTTAAGTAAAGACGAATGATTTAAACCCTTTCACTCCAGCCAGTGTACACTTATTTCGACCTTAAATCCTCTGATCTAGTGTATTGCCGATCTGGATTCTCTGCGTCCAGATTTGGTCGATAATGTCGAACGAAACAGGTTTCGCAAATACGTATACAAGTGGTGGATACGTTGGCCGACCAACCAGTGATCTTAGTTTCTTCCAGTCGTCAAACGTTACAGCATTTCGCTGCCAACCATAATTGCTTCTTTCTTCCCTGAACGTTAGATCCAAGAAAAAGGGGGCGCATTCCAAACGTGAGTTCTTGTTATATGTAGATTCCTAATCTTGTTATAGATAACATTAGAATTATATATTTTTCGAACATGAGATATCGATCGAAGATTAATGTTTTAAGTTGTTTAAATAGTAAAACTTCAATTTCGATTGCTGGAATCGATTGCTGACTATCTCAAACGGTTGTAGTTTACCTTGGATAAACGCAAAAACGCAAAAGTCATTTCTCCCCTCTTTGTTTTTTCAAAGGAGCATTGCGAACATACTTTCACTGCACCCAAGCTCCGGTACTACGTAGTACCATCCATTCCTGCTTCTCCTTTGTACTGTTCCTGTTTTTAACGATCAGTCAAGCCACTTGGTTTTCGTCGAAAGCGAACGTGAAAGGAGCTCGCTCAAGCATAGCACCATTGCCCTTAAAAATTTTCATTCTTAATGCGTTCACCCCAGATGATGCCTACGAACAGCAAGGTCATAAAATTGATCAGACATCAAGGTAACCGATTGTCAAATCAATGCTTTAATTTACAATCTTGTTATATTGGGACCATGATCCATCAGTCGTTCAAGTTCCTGGAATACGTTTCTGTATCGTGAACGACGTGCATGGAATGTCGAAGATTCTTTGCAAAATAACTGAAATTTCAAACATTCAAATGTACTCGAGTCTCGCATGACTCATATCTAATGATACGGTAGACTGAAGAAACTTTATACAGTAGGAATTTGAAACGTATTCATCTCTGTCAAACCTCGAAACTTGAACATCCGTATCTTCATCATGTTAGAAATTACACACGTGTCATGATAAGGGATGGCTCTCTGTTCCCTTTGATATGAACGTACTACTTTTAAAACGTGTGCACAATTATAATCCTAGAATCAATATAGATTGTTCCATTGATGAGAAATTAAACGGGGATGATATTACGAGTTTACCTCCCTATTGACACGTTAATTTTATTAAACATAAAATCGCTTAACTTTTATTTTTAACTCGGTAAACAATGTAAATAAATACCAGAAGATGCTAAGTTAATACAGATCTAAATGACCTGGTATTATTGTCAACAAATGATTGATTCAAATATTTTTATATCCGAAAATATACTTTTAATCATAAAGTCGTTACTGACTTTTATCATTCGATAAAGCAATCCGATCAATTTTACCCTTTATCTAAAACGAGCTTGATCGCTATCGTTCTTTCTAAGAGCAAATGCCTGACCAAGCATAGTATCTTTATCCTTTCAAAAAGAAAAGAGAGATACGAAGTATTCGACTCTGACGGGAGTTCCTCGTCATAGATATTATCACGAGGCAGTTTATTACCTCCAATGATAGCAAAGGAATCAACCCGAAGCGTCGCGCGCCGTCTATATATAGGTGTATACTCGTTCCCGTGAAAAAGTTAAGTGATTAGTAGTGTGTCAACTCTCACGATTATACGGAACACCTGAAGTGCTCTCAAATAAATAAGAGCGAACCAAGCAAACAGGTGTCGCGCCGTTAACGTCGCCACGTTTAACTAATTCGTAGATTTCAAAAGGTAAGTTGATAACGAAAGTGCGCAAACTGTGATGACTGTAGAGAAGCTATCATTAATTTTGATAATTATCTTATACATTTCTAATATGTATCAATTAAGTAACAATTAATAATATTAGTATTAAAAATTAGAAAAGAAAACAATTTTAGCACAAAATTGTACATACTTATCTGACACTAAAATGTTAGTTGATGTTGATTTCATGTAATCACGGTGGTAATTCAATAACTGTCTGTGTGAAGCAAGTTTTTCGTAGCATCTGCACATTCCAACAAAGAGCGATGATAATATTATAGAATGCTTGTATTGTTCGTTCAAATACTGTCTGCTGTACCTATGGATAGAAAAATGGTGAAATTTTATATAAGATTATTAGTATTTTATCAATCTATATAACTACTCTATTGAGTATACTTTTCGAATTGTGCAATACATACATGTAATTGATGTTCATATCGAGTTCTGTAATTAAACAATTTCAAGAGATACTTAATCATCTCCTGATTCGATATCTTCATATTTGATATTCACAGACATACTCGTGTTACTGGCACAGTTACAATTAGCTATAAATTTCTAAGAATTGGCTAATTCTCTAAAAAACAAAAGCACATATCAGATCTTACATTGGTAAAAAAGAAGTCTTCGTTTTCTGAAGAGAATAAAGTTAGCGAGGATACTGTAATTTTCAATAAACATCATCCAAATGGTGTCATCATGAATCACGATGATTAATCATCTGAAAAAAAAACAGATGAAAAACACGTAAAAAAGAATGTTGGGGTTGTTATTAGAATATGTATAGGTACATACTCATTTACATATCAAAAAGAGCCGAACGTTTACGATATTACCGACGAAGAAAAAAGATTAATTACTTAGTATTGTATCACAAACGTGTGACCATCTATTGCTTCAAAAATTAATTAATAAATAATATATGAAATAATTCATATCATAAATTATTCACTACTATTCATGTTCATATTGTTTGAATGTAAAAATGAGTACACCTAATACCTGTTGCGACTTATCAACGTAGATCTAAAATGACCCCATTAACAATTTTAACTTTGTAGACATTTGTATGTAAATTACTTATACCTGTTTATTCTTTCCAGAACCTCCCGACTGTTGATAAAAGGAACAATGATGCCATCAGAAGATAACTCTCTTATGGAAAGATTGATCACTACTGATCATTTCCATAATGATGAAGAAGATCATCATCATGAAGAGGAAGATGTATACGATGTATTGGTTGCAAAAGGAGTTACTATGATCATTTTATGCGCAGTCAGTACATGCATGGGGATTCTACCAATGCAAATGGCAAAATGCTTGAAATGGAAAACAAGTGACGTCGGAAATCCCAGGTACTAATGTTTCCTCCAACACATTTTAAAAAACAATTCTACGGCTTCAAATCGTCTTACCTTCATAGTTGATCAAATTGATAAACCATTTGAAAGCAGGTCACGTGCATATATTGAAAGCAAACACCTCGAGCTTCTAAAGTTTGCGGATTCTACTATCACTACGACGATCATAATGCATTCAGTTTCGTGTTGTAATAATTGCAAAGGCTATCTGTGTGATGTAATCTTGTCTACAAACGTAAGAACGAAACAGTTCAATGAATTAGTGTCATGCTGAAAAGTGATTTTATTACGGTAGGTCAACAAAACTGGTGAGCATACTTTTGGGATTCGGTGGCGGCGTTCTTTTCTGTACAACGTTTCTTCATCTACTGCCAGAAGTAAAAGAAGGGGTAGAACATCTTATCGAAGAAAAGAAACTTCCTGAACTCAGCTTTTCATTAGCTGAAACACTTACGTGCGCTGGGTAAGTGAAGATTATCTGATCCGAGATCGCTTTCTTATCATGAAGCTATCTTCAGAAATTTTTTTTTTCTAATTATTATAATATGTAAAGAATTTATTTTTTGCTTTACCTAGGTTCTTCTTAATGTATTTAGTGGAAGAATCGGTGCACACGCATTTGAGGAAGAAGCAATCCATCAAGGACGATTTCTCGAAGAAGGATGTCAACCGTAGCACCAACGAATTAGTCGAAAATGGGCATTCACACTAGTAAGAAAGATGACGTTTAATAAACTGTACATTGTGAATCGTATGCAAATAATAGGAGATGAAAATACATTCATTGTTGCAGTAACGGGCATTCGCATCACTTGCCAGTCATAATGGACGAGAAAGACGACTTCGTCATAAGTTCTCTACGAGGATTATTAATAGTTCTGGGTTTATCCGTGCATGAATTATTCGAAGGACTCGCGATTGGACTGGAAAGCTCAGCCTCGTTCGTTTGGTGCGTTTGCTTTTTGATAAACGAACAGTCGAAATCTACCTATATGTATATATTCTACCTATTCAGCAAAGCTATATCGCTTTCGTAAAATTAAGTGTCAATAGATAAAACTAAGGAAAAGAACGGTAATGTGAAAAGTTAAGTATCATAATCAGGAATACGTGACAACGAGCGTCAAAATGTAAAACGAGCAGATTAGCATTCATGTAAATTTAGACTTTGAAATAGAAAACAAACACAACAATGACCAACGGTGAAGATATCTGTTAGAAAACAATTAGTAGATAGACGTTACATTGACTTGTGGCTAACAGAAGATTAATCACATAACTATATCTTATTTACTTTCCTTAGTAACAGCAAACTCTTAAATGGGAAAAGTTTTCTTCCTATTATCAATTACAAAATCAATATTAATTTCAAAAACATAACTTACTCAATATTTATGGATTCATAATAAAAAATCTCTGTTTTCATTTTCAGGTATATGTTTGCAGCAGTGGCGGCTCATAAATTTGTCATAGCGTTTTGCATTGGCGTGGAATTAATCGCTTCGAACACCAGAACGTATCTTTCGGTGATTTATGTCTGCACATTTGCGGTCGTTTCTCCTTTAGGAATCGGCATAGGAATGTTACTGGTTGGTGGCGAAAGCGCGGCTGCGAATGGCATACTTCCGGTTCTGCTGCAGGTAAAAACAATTCTTTTATTCCAAGTTTCTATCAATATTAGATTGTCACTGAAACAGCCGATTTCGTTGTCGAAATTATGTATATTTATTAAGCCTGTACCTTCATTAGCTCTGCTTTCTCTAAATGCTGCATTAAATTATCAATAGGCTTCGCTGAAAACCATTAAGGAAAATCTATTAATTTAACTCTTATCCATAGGTTGCTATAACTGATAACCAGCTATTTCGTATTAAAAGAATGAAAGAAAAATTTGTAATATTCAAACATAATACAATAATTTTTGTATTTTGAACGTTACAGGGTCTGGCTTCTGGTACATTACTATACGTAGTGTTCTTCGAGATCCTTCAAGAGCATAGAAGCGGCCTCAAACAGTATTTGTCCATTTTGGTTGGATTCGCTGTGATGTTTGTACTCCAGATACTCAGTAAGTACAAAATTTACTTTCGACTTACGTTGAAACACTCGATAGTCTACGTTTCACGTCAAAACCGACACAGCGTGGATCTCCTGTAAGCAAGAAACAAGTATCAGAGTGAAACGAATCAAAGAAAAACGACTAGTTTTGCGATTAAGGCAAAACGATCGTTGATTAGAGCTTTCTCTCCGTAAACAATGTTGACTCACGAGTGTCGAGAATGCGTTACAATAAATTTAAATAAATTACACGGTCGTGACACGGGAGGTCGCGAACGGTACGATAATTGAAAGACATACGCCGAAATCATCACTGTGCTTAACACTTATCGACTAAAAACGTGGTCAACAGTCAGTTATCAATTATTAAAGTGTAAGATTTGTACTTAGAGAAGGAAAAGCTGACTTCGATTTTACATTATTTAAGGTAACTCATAAAGTAACAAAACGGGAACATTTTTCTGCGCCAATGATTCAACTCCACGTTGAATGATCGAGCCGCCTTTCACCATTAAATCAGCTTCACCCATTTACTCAGAACCATGTCTGATCGAGGTGGAACTGAAAATCGATTGAATTATTAACTGTAAAACCTAGGTGTCCTCTTGAAGAACTGGTTTCTCAAGTACCGTCAGACTAAAATTATTGGAATATTATTTTCGTCTACTGTAAAGCGGCGATGGTTCGCCTTTTTAACTCCGTTTCAAGTGAAAACGGTGCAGTGAACTAGATTAGAAATTGAAAGTGACCTGCATTGCGCCATATCGCAAGTTTCTCGTCAATTGTAGATCATTTCGGTAAACAGAATTGCAATGCCCTGGAATTCTAGTTATGCATGGTCAAGAAGGATTAATAACCATCAGCTTAACAGATCTCTGCCGGGGATTCATACGTCAGGAACGTTCAGGTGACAAGGCAGTCGGCTTGCTAAACGATAAAGAGAAGAGAAAATAACAAGCATTACGCATCGTTTGAACTGGCAGAAAGCAGCGCAAGTATGCAACCGATCGATCGATCAATGAAGAACGATCGATCGTCTCCTACCATCAGTCCAGGCACGCGGTGCTTGCCAATCATTCATTCTCCTCCATGCACGTAGCTATGTATCCGCGGCTCCTATCAGCCGCCCGTTCGCCGACAGGTTACCAAACAGACTCGTCGAGTTCGTATACCTGCAAACATTTCCATGTCGACCGGCATGGCATCGACGCGAACGAGCAGTCAAAGCGTGTAGGAAGGAGAGAACGAACGATCAACAGTCGGGTAGGGAAGCAACGCGTGGAAGGGGCAGAGAGCAGGAAACGAGTACGGCTCGGACTACGTAAGACGCGAGGGGATCGGAGTCGAGTGGCCAACCAGCCCTGGAGTATCCGATTTACCGTCGTACCGCATGGAACAGCACAGTTCGTTCCGGCTCGATCGTTCGCAGCATTTACCTCGGAATCTTCGTCGCATTTTTACTAACACGCGCGCGGACCTCCTCTTAAAATGAAGCGAAACATCCTTGATCGCTCGATCAACTCGTTTTCGTAACATTCTAACGTATTCCAAAGGAAAAGTGAGTTTAAATATTGCAACACCCACGGTTCCACTGGCTTGGATCCAGGACGCGCGATTTCCCGTGGTTTCACATTCGCTAAATCATTTCAATCTTGATCGTTGCACAGCGTAAAAAAGAACGAGATGAATAGGACGGTAGATCGTTGATAAAGGCTCTGGTTCCGGATTGAGTCACTCGAAGAATCTGTCTAAAAATTCTTTTGATAAGAATACTAATCTAGCGTCAATGAACGAACGTTAATGAATGTAAGTGATCGGAGATACCTTAATTCATTGCCGGACCGTTTCGAAATTGTTTGGCTTGTGCTAAGTGATAAAGTGGCCATCTCAAACGAGTGAAGGGAGAAGTGGAAGACGCCTGAAGAATCTAGAGTAAATGTTGAGCACGGTGTGAAGGATGAGAGGACTTGTGATGATACTGGAAAAAAAGGATGTTATTAAGTGATGTGAAAAAGAGATAAATTTGAATATTGTTCTTTCTTTTAAAGAGAAATTGAACCAAAGCTCTTTGGTTGAATATAAATTTACCTTCTGAAGTGAATAATAAAAGGAAAAAAAAAACATGGAAGAACCAACGACTTCCACAATTTTATTAATAGCAAAGATAGGAGCAATGATTGGTCTTGGTTTCGGTTCCTTGATCCTGGGAATGTTACCGTTGATAGTAGGACGATACAGAATCAACCATCGCCAAAAACGACACCGGGGAATTTCCAGCAATTCCAGCACTTGCACTTCGACCTCGGTTTCGAACGCTTCCTCTTCTACCGTTTTCTCCGGATCTGCAACAGATTCGCAAGTACGTTTCCGATGTACGAAGCTATCGCCAAACAACATCAGAAATGTTCAACAATTTAATCCTCAACTGGTACGACTAAATCAAAATAATTCATATTCTTCTCTCGAATCATTCCTTTTGATCCCGTTCACCTGAAACTCGAATAGGTAGCATACCTAAATTTTATTATCTCCATTAGATCATAAATGAATCATTAAAGATAACAAATTTGTTAACTGTTTAAACTAAACGTCACGTCTTGCCCGTACAAAATACAAACTACCGACCAAATGTGTCAACATTTAATCGGTTGCTTATCAGTAATCCGGCCAATTGAGGGTTAAAATAAATTTATCGAACATTCAGCAGTCGTTCCTCTAAAATTACATCTTCTAGAACGAATGAAACGAAGTAAATTGTAGAAAAACAAAATTCTTATGTCCTCTTGTACAAAGTGAGTTAACATTTACACAAGATAAACTCATCGAAGGCAGCAACGATTGTCCCAATTTTAAGCCGTGCTTTCTTTCGAGGAACGACTGGGTAACTATGTTCGATAAGAATGATAGAGAAATTCGAAGATAACTTATAATCCCCCCCCAGGGCCTGCAAACGTCGTTGTTACTTTGCTTCGGAGGAGGGGTCCTCTTATTCACCACGTTCCTGCATTTAGCACCGGAAGTTCGCGTCAGCGTGGAGAGACACCAGAAGAACGATCAACTGCCAACCTTAGGCACGCTTAGTTTGTCTGAATTACTGTTCTGCGCTGGATTCTTCCTCGTTTACCTCGTTGAGGAGGCGGTGCACGCAGCGTTGACCGGAAAACCCGAGTCTTCGGAGGCTCTCTTATATAGGACAGTCTCTGTACGCAGATGCAACAATCAACCAGGTGCATCGACGACTGCGTCGACAGGTTCAACGACCACGATGTCCACTACGACCAGGTCTACCTGGAGGGAGGGTAACGATGAGTTAGAAGAGAATGAAAACGAATTGAACAAGCAGTCTAAACACGATAAAGCGTTACCAGCTATATTCGTCCTGTCTTCTCCAACGGGGTTATCCTCTGATGAACACAGTCCAGAGAATGTGAGATACCCTTCTGATACAAATCTGAACCAATACCCCAGGACGAAGCAACACGAACATAAGCACGTCCCTGTGACGAAAAATACCTCGATTCAGGGTCTGTTGACCGTTCTAGCTCTCTCTTTCCATGCCATCTTCGAGGGTCTAGCTGTTGGACTAGAACCCTCTATCGGTTCTGTGGTTTATCTAGCTGCAGCTATAGCCACGCACAAACTGGTCATCTCATTTTGCGTTGGAATGGAATTATACGTCGCTGGTGCATCCACCAGGACAACTCTTAGCTACCTGACGATATTTTCCATGGTCACTCCCATTGGTATCGCTGTAGGATTAGCTCTCGACTATTTCAAGAACGACAGCGGAAACTTGGGACCAACGCCGACGATACTCCAAGGAATGGCAGCCGGAACGTTGCTCTACGTGGTTTTCTTCGAGGTGCTCGCACGCGAAAGAGCTAACGAGAAAAGTGGCCTCCTACAGCTGACCGCCATAATTGTTGGCTTCATGTTAATGCTGGGCCTGCAAATCGCCAGTGAGTGTTTATCGAATGAGCATCAATCAGTAAAACTGATATATTAATTATAAAAATTAATCCTTTCCTAAGATATTTAGTTTCTGATCGTGAGTGGAGTTGTACAGTGAAAGTGCACTGTATATAACTGATTATCAACAATGGATCTATGCGTCTCTCTTATTACTCGCATCTTTTTTTTTTTCTTTTTTAATGCTCGATTTACTACGCGAAAGTTTCAGATTTAATTGGAACGAGAGGGAACGGTAACTTTCCAGTGAAGATAAAAAGCGAAGTTTTAGGAAAAACTTTCTCCAGGGATAGGCAAACAACGACTGTGAATACAGAATTGTCAAACAAACGTTGCTTTCTGATCAAACAAAGTTTTTCTTCTTTTGGAAGGGAACCGTATATTGGTAGAAATTGTTCTCAGCTAAAAATAATGACAGAGATACTAATTTCAACTGTTCCACCCTATACATAAAAGTAAGTTTCGAAGTTCGCTCGAAAATACTTTCAGATCCTTTGCCAACTATTGTTACCGAGTTAATTGCTCCACGATATCAGGTGTTGCCGACATTTAACGAACGATTGGGAAGTCTTTCATCTCTTAACCTCGGTGCAAACCTATCACCGGTACGCCCTTGGTGCAATCACCACCCACGTGTTTCGATGCACATGGAAACCGCGTCTACACATCGATTTTGACGTCAAATGGTAACGTCGAAAAAGTCAAGGTCACGAAAATACGACTATGAGAAAGCGAACGGTTCCGCCAATTTTTTGGTCGGACAAAAATCCATGCAATGGGAGCGGGCTAAATCAGCCTTGTCTTTAAGTAGATTCAATCTTCAAGATATTATCATCCTGTCAGTCAGATCTTATCCAAAAGATCAAGAGTAACTCTTGAATAGATAATAATAATTTCATCTCTGATTATATGCTCCACTAGCTACATTTAACCCTTCCTGGTTTTTCATTTTAAAATATACTTTAGAAAATCTAAATTAAAATAAAAGAAACTCGTATTAAATAAAAATTATTTTTCTTCAAATAGGAATATTATAGTTTTGTTTTCCATTAGAGTATTCAGCGTTTTACCTGATTTCAAATCAACGTCAATGTTCATTTTTTATCAATTTTTTGAATACCGGGCCGGCATTCCTTTACAAGATGCATCGTTGATTGCATTGAATAGTGCAGGACGTACACGACGCGACGTCGATCTCAAATACGTTAAATGGACGATTTCAATCCGTCTACGCGACTGATTACATACTCGATTTCGCAGATTGACTTCGTTTTCCCCACTGGTATACACGGTGGTTTTTTCATTGCACGACCACAGTCTCCAACATATAGTGCAAGTCAATTGCAATTAGGTTGATGACTGATAACGGTGGCATACGACGCAGCGAACTTCTGCTTCGTGGTAACGTTACTCGTCAGAGGAATCGTCGCAACACGCAGCGACAATAAAACTCGGATGTACCTATTAACCTATTAATTCAGGAAAAGTACGTGATATTATTACTGACTTAATCCGTAAACTTCAATAACGAACAATCATGAAAAATCGATATATGCATCTAATACACCTGAAGTTCTTATGATTGTAATTCTTATAAAATACAGACTTCCTTCCGTGTACGATTAAACCCACGCTTCTCAGCCATTTCAAACGCGTCAATCTCGTCTGTAGCAATAAACATAAGACGAGTTATTTAATAGGTTTATCTACGGCTAATGCTAAATACAAATTCGTAATAACAACTGTTTTTACGGAAGTATCATCCGTTACCAATGTATTTCAATCTCATGATACCCGACTAGCGAAGGTGTGTAATGTACATAAAGTGAAACAATAGGTCACAGTATTTGATTCAGAAACAAATGAATGTAACATTTGCTTACCGGCGTGTCATTCGTTGAGCTTGTTTATATTGTCAGTCGTTGACCTCGTTAAACTTAACCTTTCACTACTGTCTCTCATTGTTTCCTTCTTGTTAATCATCTATAGATGATTACGAATAGTTACATGAAATTTATTATTATCCTTATTTCAGATAAGAAGAGTGAACTTACGTTATGCAAAAGTACATTCTTTCAGATTTCACTTCCCTCAAGTTAGACTGGTTTCGTTACTTTGATGGACATTCGTAATTTACTTTTGAAGAATAGTATTGTAAAAAACCTGATTACCTATAAGCTTTCTCCTCCTATAGCAATGACCCAAGACTGGCAATGACCGCTTTCTCGGCTATTTACCGTGCTTCGGTCTATATTTCCATTTCTGAAGGAAATTCTCTTCATAAGCAATAATTACAGAGATTTTATGTTTTCTAGAAACTTGATATTTTATACAAAAATCAATAAGGATCATTGTAAATAAAAATTGACGTTACCTGCATAAACGTAGATTTTATCATCTAATAATCTTTACTTTACCGACTGTTCAACAAATATAAATTTAAATAGGTAGTTAACACACTTGCCGCTGCTCACGCAGTACCGCGTGTTCAATCACCTTATGTATTCAAAACTTTGAATATTAATAGATTAACAAATACTTAACTATACGTAAGCAAACATTTAAAAATTCTATTTGATTGTTACAGCCGCACATTCTCATTCCCATTCCCATTCCCATTCCCATTCGCATGGACACTCACATGGAAACGACACCGACCATCACCACGAAGATGATCACGACCACGAATTGGATTCCTACGAATACAACCATTCGAATAAAACAAGTGAACAAATATTTACTGATACAATTGATAAGGTAACAGAAAGCATCGCAGAAACAGTCAGTACTGTTTTATCTTCCTCGATGAAAAATCCAACAAATACTTCATTAAGAATCAGGAATGGTACGAGTTAAAACTTGTTCACGCGGGGGTGAATCCCTTACTCGCTAATAATTACTCCACGAGACAAATGTCTCTGTGATTGTTACTTATTTTTAGAAATCAGCTAATCGTGCTCCGTAAAATTTACCAATAATCTTGGAAAATTTTTTAATTTTCTAATTAGTAGAAAAAGAAGAAGAGTCTTCGTCGAAGGAAGACAGTATTATAAATCTTTGGTTTCAACGTGAGAAAGGAGAATGATACTATTTAGTATGTATGTACATTAAAGTATGGATGACATTTAAATAGGAAGATTTACAAAATACGATTAAAAGAAGCTGTTATCTTTAAGAAAATACATGTGATACGGTTCACGAGTAAATCGTGCAACCGCGTTACTTATTCTTTTTTTTTTATGTAATATAAATTGTATGAAATATCTATACCGAGGACTTTTTTATATCATAACTAGAAAATCGTATTTTAATTGTATACATATACCGATATTTAAATACATCTTTACATAATATGTATATTGCATGACATCATAATAAAATAAAACATGTTTCAGGTATTTGATTTCAATACTATATCATTTAGAAGAATCAGTTTTGATATGAAAAAATGATTTCACAACTTTCACACTCATTATCATTTTACTTCACGATATAAAGTAAGTACATGCGCGTATCATTAAGAATAATTAACAGGTGTCACTAATTATAAAAGCGATAGAAATCAAAAACCACATCTTTCACTTGGTTGTAAATTACGTTAATATGACAGACGTATGTCTATTTATAAATACATTTTACTAATAACACATAAATCTTATTTTTGAAACCAAAGAATTGTTTTTTGAATATAAATTATATTTTTTGATGTAATAATTAAATCGCGATACAACAATAATGTGTACATACATACCTATAAAGTAAAAAAGTTTTTTAAATAAATAAATAGGTAATTATAAATTTTAGAATAAAATTCTCCATTGAATATTAATGAAAACATGGATTTAATTTATACCTATCAAAATTTCTATGATTTTTATTGCATTTATAATTTTCAATATTTTCTGTAAAATAACTATAATACATGACTCGATATCATTGTAATACAATAATTAATTTGATTAAGGTTTTACAAATATAATTTATTCAAATTCTTGTGTTTTAAATACTTATTGTTCATGTTTATTATTTATTATTTTTATTTACACAGAAATGCGAATATATTATAGAGACACATAATGTGACTGGTTTATAGTATGCAAAATTTATCCTCGAGTAAATAATACTTACACATACTACAATTACATTTTGTATATTGTAAAATGTACTAATAAAATAAAAAATTTTGATAACAAAGTACATTATCCTCCTTCTAATTAATAAAAAAAATACTTGTATCGATAAATATATAGCAATTTAAGCTTAATAGCAGACTTTATTAAAGAAGTGATACAATGTTGTTTGCCATGAAACTGTACATATTTTTAAGATTACACATCTTATTAATTAAAATTAATTCCGAATACGTTGCTTACAAAAGGAAACGTGCACGTGCACAACAATAAATTAATGTTATACTTATGCTTGCTTCAAAAATTAATACAACTTATTTTTTAAATCCTTTTAATTATTTTTTCTAGTATAACATTTATTAAAACTGCTGTGATATTTGCAGATTTCTACCACTACTGCTAATTAGTTACTTAGATAAACAGATTTTATGCTTTGAAAAATGCACTCATATTACAAATACAACTACAAATTATTGAAAAATTTTTCTTGTCTTTTTTTCATACTCTTTTTGTATATAAGTTATAAATCCATAAACACCAATATATAATGTGAGACATACTTCACATTTCAAGAAACCATTTTTCAATGTTCCATGTAAGATACAATAATACTCTTACTTTAGTTTCATACATCCTTTAAATAAGTTTTAGATTTCACAAAACAATTAACCAGGACAAAATAAAAACACTTTGTAATTATGTTCAACATAATTTTGTCCTTAATCTTCTGCCATTTTGGAACAAAGATCATACAAAAAGTAAGAACCTGTAGACATTTAAGAACTCTTTACTTAACATACATTTCTTCCTTGCTTTGGTTCAACACAATTACATTTCATAATATATTATTGCAAATTTGTTTTTTAGATGCATTTATTACACAATGACCATTATTAATTATGAAAACTTGATTGATCTATTTCTTTTGTATTTGTCCATCAACAAAATCCAAATAAGTGGAACCAATCTTAATGAATGTAATTCCAGAAGCAATGCCAATTATTGTACACAAAGTAGGATTAGGTGGTACCACAGATCGCAAAACTGCCCATATTAAAACTGATCCAAAGCTCAACAATACAGCACCGGTAGTACTATTATAAAAATTACAAAATCAGGTTATTAACATGATACATGATATATAATAAGCACCTATACGATTAGAAATTATGAAATTTATTATGAATCAAATAAGATTACCTGTATATTATCTTTGCATCAATTGTAGCAGCTTTCATATGGTCTCGAGTATATATGTATGAGCCAGTGCCAAGGAGAGCACTTCCCAATAAAAAGTTTGTGATGTCTTTTTTTGGAAAAACTCTACAAAATTAAGGTAGATGTCTATTAATTAGATTAAGTAACAATAACATACAACTATTATTTAAAGATGACTACCATGATTAAAACATAACTTTTAATTTAAGATTTTGTAATTAATTAATTTAGTTGCACTAAATTAAATATTTATGGATAGAGAAAATAAAATAATTGGAAGAAAGTTATATTTAACATAATAAATTTTTTTTTGCTACAAAAGAACGGATATTTCAGTTAGAATTTTTAACTTATTCATTAAAATATACTATGAAATATCTGCTGCTTAAAGATTACGTAACATTCTAAAAATGATGAAACATGTATACTTAACGTTAGAGGTTAATGTCTGAAAGCATAGTTCATTACCTGATGACAAGACTTGGATTCATTACATTAACGGATAATGCGGTGTACGAAGCAACACCGAAAGCAGGAGCGTAAAATTTAACGAGACTGCATTTTGTAATCGGTTTTAAACCGAGTTTTTGAAAAATTGTGCCGGAGTTCGTGCTTCCTGCAGCAGCCATTGTTCCTTGCTCTTCTCTATGCTGTTGTCAATCAACTACTGCTGGAATATTGCGTTCGTAACGTGATACTAACAAAATTTAATAGACTAAGTATTATAGGAATTGTGGGAAAGCAATAATACCGAGAAGTACGAATTTAAAACAGAAAAATGAAATTCAATAGTGTGTTCATAAATGCATTAACACTGTGAAACTGTTTTGGAATGTGTTCTAAAACTAAGTTTCAAATAAATTCAATTGTTATACATAAAATGTTTTTATTCAATTTTTAACGAATTACATCTATTTTAATTACATGTCAGTTTTATTCATACTTTTTATCCACGAACGAACATATGATATATTACCCTGGATTGCAATAACATTGTGAATACATTATTTTACAAGTAGTTACAAATTTCGTTACTTCTTTATCAATATACAGGGTCCCAAGCACGAATAATATTTTATATGTTTGTATTATTCCTTAGTAAGGATACATGGATAAAAAAGTATTGTCCTTTGAACTGTCCTCGATACATTTACTATTTCTAAACATATGTACACGTAAGATCACCGACTACAACGTGGCAGTAAATGTTATCATGTACTAATTGATTTATAACACTGTATCTTCTCCTTACGGTACTATACATTTATAAATAAAATAAATATACAATTCGTGTATATACAACTCAACCGTAAGTCATAAACGAAATTATTTTTCAAGAATTCGCTATTTTTCAGCCTAAATTTTGAATATATACCCTAAAAATCTTTTGTACAGACTATAAATTCTTGCAATGGCAGATATTGCTATAATGAATAAGATTTAATATGATAGTAATTTAAAATCTTTTCTAGAAGTATTATTTTAGGCATTAACAGCTGGACCTAGCCTCGTGTGTGACAGAGGATTAAATGGAGTTATGTTACGAATTTCTTTTTCTACACAATTGGCATAAATATCGGCAGTAAGTTCGTTCAATGGAATTTCAGAATCTGCTTTCGCGGCTTTCACAGCGTCATCGATCATTTTTCTTATTTCATTTTCCATCGTCTATATAAAACATGAATTTTTAATTATTTTATGATCATTCAAAGAAGAAGAAACATATTTCAATCAAGTTTACCTTTATTTCCTCTTGGGTAATAAGATTAGAATTCAGTATTCGTTCTTTGAAACCAGTGATAGGATCTCTGGTCTGTCTTACTTCTTGAACTTCTTCTCTTGTACGATAACTCGTTCCAGGATCTGACATACTATGTCCACTATATCTGTAAGTTACAGTTTCCAAGATAATAGGACCTTTGCCAGATGTACAAAAATCTACAGCAAATCTTGTAGCTTCCCTAACTGCCAGTACATCCATACCATCCACCTGAAAATATATTTAATTAACATAACGTACAGTACAATTATGGAACAAAAGTTTTGTTTTCTAAACAAACCCAAATTCCAGGAATGTAGTCTCCTCTTGTATGATAGTCTGTACTTGCGGAAGCGCGATCAACGCTAGTACCCATACCATATCCATTGTTTTCACAAACAAAAATACAAGGAACATCCCACAATTTGGCCATATTATATACTTCAAATACTTGTCCTTGATTAGCTGCACCATCTCCATAAAGTGCTACACACACTCCTCCAGTGTTCATGTATTTTTGAGCAAAGGCAATTCCAACTCCTAATGGCACCTATAGATTTGTTACTGAATTAATTTTATATCAATCATTGTTTTAATAATCCCAATAATTAATACTTACTTGAGCACCAACAATGCCATTTCCACCATAAAAGTTTTTACAATACATGTGCATAGATCCACCTTTACCCTTTGCATTGCCACTTTTCCTACCGGTCAATTCAGCTAATACACCAAATGGTTCTATTCCCATTAAGTAAGTCCATCCATGAGCTCGGTAGGCTGTGATGACAGCATCTTGTGATCGAAGAGCTGCCTTTATACCAACAGCACAAGCTTCCTGTCAAAGGTAATTGCATTTCTTTATATTAACAGAAATTGTTTTTGAATAAATGATAAAATAAGTTGTTCTTACCTGGCCCGAATACAAATGACAGAAACCTCTAACAATTTTTTCTTTATACAAATTTCCTGCTGCTGTTTCCATACGTCGAATTGTATGTAATTTTCTATACATATCTAGGGCTTCATCTCTGGTGACAGTAACATGAGTGGATGGTCCACTGTCCAGTTTGTGTAATCGAAAAGGTTTTGTTTCAAATGAAGCCTCTGTGGCATAATTATTTTTTTTGTTGAAGAAATAAGATACCACCTGTAAATATATCAAGCTTAAAATTAGTTACATGTAACTTTACATAAAAAGAAGCACAGCATCTATGCAATGAACTTTTGCTATTTACAACAATATTAAAAAAAATACAAGCACAAATATAATTCAGACTTAAAACAATATATTTGCAAAATACACCAAATTTAGGAACTCATGGTGTCTATATAATTCTAAATATGATCACACTGCAATGGGTAAAAAAAATTTTAAAAAATTAAAAAATTGAGCACGATGCAACGTGTAAAATGTGATTTTCAATGAAAGATACATTAATAAATCTAAACGAATAATTACCTCATTCCAGCTTCCGAACTGGCGAAACACCAGGAGGAGATATAAAAAAAAAGAAAAGACAAAATGTTCAATTGCAAAACTTGAACAGTGATCATACGACTTGAAATTATAACAAGACCCTGGCATGAAACGTGTTGGCAAATAGTAATGCTAAAGGTCATTTGTCGTTCATTAGATTAAATACTTACGTTTCGCTTTGAGGTTTGCGCGCCTATATTTCTGATGCAGTTCGGAATCATTTTCAAAGAAATTCTTCTTTGATCGTAATCAAAATCAAAAGAATAAAGAAGAAATCGAAGTTAAAGTAGAAAATGGATCGAACCAGGACGGGTCATTCGTTTGGCGTGGACAGTATCGTAAAGACCTGCTTCGTAAACGTCACAGGTTCATTCGTATCCCCTCTTTGCTTACAATCGTCACGTTGAACATCATGGCCAATTACATATGGCCTAATGGGTCATTCACAAGAAAAAATGAATGATACACGTGTTTGCAGCAAAAATGAAACAAACTAATTATACATTTTGTTAATTTCAGAAGGATTGTTATGTAACATTACATATATAATTTATAACGTTACATTTACATCATTACGTAATATCAGATAGCACGTCATTTAAATGATTTAACTACAAAAATAATAAATAAATTAATTATCACTTATTGATACTTTAATGTTATTCTAAAAATAATGTAACATAATTATATATACAAAATTTACAAAGCTATTTAAAATAAGTCTACGGATACTTATTTAAACATATTTCAAGGTAACCTTCACGATTAAAAATAGTTTACAAAATCAGCTGATTCAAGCGATATTTACTATTTGGAAACACGTGTGTTGTATTGTATGTACATACAATGAAAGCTGATGTATACAGGGTGTTCGACAACAGGTGGGCAATATTTTAAGAGGTGATTCTAGAGATCAAAATAAGACGAAAATCAAGAATAATGAAATAGCGTTTACGGCTTTGTTTTCCAGTTATTAACGTTTAAAAATTCGAGTAAAAAGCGCCAGAAACCTGCAATCCGCTCAGCACCGACGACCGAACGTCACGTCAGCAGGGGTCGGTACAGTCATAACCAAGAATCGTTGAATAGTAGAACCTTACCTCGTGCTATTCTGTTTCTCGGTACTGCAGTATTCGGTTTCGTTTCTTGGTTATGACTGTACCGACCCCTGCCGACGTGACGTTCGGTCGTCGGTGCTGAGCGGATTGCAGGTTTCTGGCGCTTCTTACTCGAATTTTTAAACGTTAATAACTGGAAAACAAAGCCGTAAACGCTATTTCGTTATTCTTGATTTTCGTCTTATTTTGATCCCTAGAATCACCCCTTAAAATATTGCCCACCTGTTGTCGAACACCCTGTATATTAAAAATTCTATTACGTAAAGAATAAACAGAGTGGTATCATGTATGAATAAATATTTTTTTCTGAAATTTAAAATTCAAATTTAATTAGATTCAAAATACAATACAGTAAGAAACAACTTTATTATCCAAGAAATGCATCATCAATGTTTTATACTTATGTACATATTTAATATTATAAAAAGTTGTTTACAAAAATTTCGCGCATTTTAAGTTTATGTATACAAAGATAAAAGATTAGATGTCATAATTAGTTTTATAATTCTTATGAATAATGTAAACACTGCGTAAACCGTTTTGCAAAATACTATTATTTATACAGAATTTTGCACTACGGTGACGTTCACGATGCACGGCGGTGTGAATTGTACGTAACGAATAGTATTTTTAACGTTAATATATGTGGAAGAAATTGTAACAACGATACCAAATAATACAACTAAATAACTGAACCACTGATTCCATCTTCGAAAATTGCAATTCATCTTTACTTTTGGAACTGATTCTTCAGAAACTGTTGTTCTTCTGCAAACTTTAAATGGTCGATTAGCATCTATAAATATCGGTTCATGATCATGACTTCTTCTGGTCATTAAAAGCCCTTCGCTGGTCTTTGCACTGCTTAGAGTATCGTCGTAATCTACGATTTCTTCAAATTCTTCTTCCAAATCGTCATAATAAAAATACGAATATCGATGATACTCAGCGTTAGGTACGCCTAGAACACCATAGTAAATTGATCTTGAATGAATTCTCGGATCGGTTGACATACCTTCGTTGCCTCGACGTCTTTCAGAATTTGAATATATTTCAGGGGTCAAAGGTCGCATAGACCTTATTTTTAAAGCAATAGCTTTAGAATACATTAATGGAGGGAGTACAAAAACTAACGGACCAGTTAAGGATCCTCCGATTAGAGCCATCACAATATCAAATCTTGGCACAGATTCCCCAACAGCCACTCCAAGGAATACAACAGCTGATCGTATGGCACATCTCTTCCATCCGAAAGCTATTGTAAAAAACGTTTGTCTAATGTAATATTTTATATAATTGATTTGATTTATAAAATTCATACTTCGCTGAATATTGCATTGATCTTCCAGATCCTGAAAAAGAGCCGAATGACCAAGAGCACTTGATAAACAAAGTTGAACAGCAGCAAATAGAATAGCAGCACTCATCATGATATTTCCTGGTACCATTTGAAGAACATTAGCTGCTGTACTGCCTCCATACTTCCAGATGGCCAGGCTAGTGGTAACGACAAATAACGAACCGCTAACTATAATCAATGGTATTATTAATTAATGAATAATTGAGGTATAAGATAAATATTTCAGACATACTATTACCTAAGAAGGAAATTATAACTGCTTTATTGATATCCTGTGGACGACGCATATCTACTTGCACTGTCATCAAGGTCGGATGAACGTCAAATTGAAATGCCAGCATGCCGTATCTGAAGTTATTTCATATAAAAATATTATATGAAATTAACAATACGATTAATCACTTTGTACAGATTACCCAGAAATTAATTTATCCCAGGTAGGAGAAGCGGGTATCGGTGTGGTATTCAGTTCACGGTCATCGGTAATTATACACCACCAGATTAATACTGCTGTTAGTATGACCATTGTGGAAGAAAATGAAGCCAATATCCTACAAGTATTTGCAACCATGTAGATCACTATTGTAACAAAATATAATTTAAAAATATTTTTAGGAATTACTTCATATCGCGTGGACTACCCAGCCACATAATTGGACATAATAGAAGACCCACAATTAAAAGCCAGTAACAAAAAGATAAATCAAATCGTTGGCTCGATACTTTCAATCCAAATAACTGCAAATTCTGTGAAGCTGAAATTTATGAATGATGATACACTTGATCATTACAAATTAAGGAATATTAATTTATATTAGAACGTACCAACCAATAAATTAGGTATACTGCAACCAAATACTGCAAGATCCAGGATTATAGTGACCAAGGTCCTAGCCCGAGGACCCAATGTTAATTCTGTCACTGCAGCAAGAGGATGCCTGCAAAGTGAATTAACTTAATAATTAATTATTACAAGATAAGTTAAAATTATAAACTCACCGATTTTTTCGTGAAATCTGTGGATCCAAAGTAGTTGCAATTGTCCATGATTTTCCAAGAAGAACGGCTGTGTAAATTTGCAAAGCAAATACAACAAGGACTAAGGGAATCCCGTACAATCCTAAAATCAGAAACTATAATCGTTTAAGAAACAATATCTTAGTTTCTGTGTTAACAAGAGTTTCATAAACGCAGACAAGGAAAGCCTGTGGTTTAAGTGGATCGAATAACAAAGATCTTAACAAGTTAATCAACTTTATTTTGTTCAAAATGATCAACTTTCTCGCACGATATCTCGTGCTCAAATTTTGTTTACAATGATCGCCTTAAGTAGTACAATAAGTAAATTATATAAATCATTTCAATTTAAATAAAATATATTATGGAATAAACGATAAAGTCACATTGTACAATCAATTATATGCAGTATGTTTTATTCATACAGATATGGAATTATTTCATAAGAAATTGAACATACGAAAGATCATTTAAAAACTCATTGAATTTAGAAAATATCACTGCAGTAATGTTGTAAACAGAAGTGCACCTTTTGGACTCTTTTTTTTGTTAATTTTTTCTTTGTTTTACTTCCTTTTTTTTAAAATCATGTTTCATGTTTTTAAATTCATAGTTGAAGGTGACCTGTTTAAACTTATCATAATTCATCGAGTCTAAATTCAAATTAATGATTGTAAAATCTTATTGTTTAATTTTAAGCGACCTTCAATTAGAGATTATTAAATTCATTCCAATACATTTACAAAAATGAAGTTGATCTTGATCTCAATTATACATTTTTTATCTATACAACAGTGTCTTCAATTACCTTAAGAAACAATTCTCTATATTCGCTGTAACTAGACATACTGCATATGTATACATATATACATATTAGTATCCTATCTTATTAAAATAGTGATAATCTATCTGGCTAAATACCAAGTGCTTGTCACAAAATAAAGAAACTAGTAGGAATACACGCAATCTGAACGCGACTCGTATAAAAGAAAAGAAAAAAAGAAAATTTTTTCTAATAGTTCTTGTCTCACAATGATCCCTGATTAGTGTTGCGAAACATAAGAACAGAATATAAGAAACTGAAAGAAACTTACCGCATTGCACAATCGAGCGTGGTAATGCGATGATCGGAAAAACGCCGAAAATGTCGATAACGCACAATGTAGCGAATAAAAGCGACAGATCCGAGTTAGCAGAGTCTTTGAAAAGTAGCGGTAGTCTCTCGTTATTCATGACGAGGAATAATTCGCACTGTTCGACATCGATGTTCGGACCATGAACAGGTTTTCGTTTCGCGGTGGCGAGCACCGCATAAAACGTAACTCGATACTCTATTGAACGCAAACGGTTTACCCAGACAGAACGAGAGAACCGAAGGAAGACCCACAACGTGTGTTTGTGCTTCCTTCTTCAAAAGTACAGCCATGCGTCTCACGTATATAATACAAACGTCGGGATCTATATGAAACAAGATTTCAATATAAATAATATATTGGAAAAGAAAATATATATATATTCATCTCATTCATACTTTTATTAACGTTTCAGAGACAAATGTACTCCTTAATAAAAAGATTTACACTACCGTTTCATAAAGATCGTCGCACAACTGTCCATTCAGACTCCCAACCACTCGGTCATCCTTTCTTCGATAATAGAAGAAATAAAGAACATCCTCTGACCTATGATCACACAGGTGATGACATGAGAATTTATATAAAAACTGTGCATCAATTTATATACTAAATATATATTTACGAACTTAGAAAATTGAAGATTGTAAGTGTAGTAGTTATAATTACAACTTATCATACTTATACCTAGTTCATAGTAAGTATTTAATAGCAAACATTCGTACAGCCATGCGTAATACTTCTTCTTAGTCGTCTGTCTCGTAGGCTGGAGATGCTGGAGAATACGTGGGACTCGTTGGCGAGTAGCCCGGTACCGGTGGAGAGTACGTTGGACTCGTCGGCGAATAACTCGGACTCGTTGGTGTGTACGTTGGGCTGGTAGGCGAGTACTTGGTGCTCGATGGCGAGTACTGAGGACTCGTAGGCGAATACGTCGGGCTAGTGGGCGAGTAATTTGGACTACTCGGCGAGTACCTTGTACTCCCTGACGCTGTGTGTTGTGGCGAACTAGGAGAGTACGATGGACTCGTTGGCGAGTAGGTTGGGCTCGTTGGAGAGTAAGTTGGACTCGCTGGCGTGTACTGTGGCGAGGTTCCAGCAAACGATGGTGACGTCGGTGAATAACTCGGACTCGTTGGCGAATATTTTGGACTGCTCGGTGAGTAACTTGGACTGGCAGGTGAATATTGTGGCGAACTCGGCGAGTAACTTGGACTTGTTGGAGAATAAGACGGCGATGCTGGCGTGTAATTTGGTGAACTAGGCGAATAGCTTGGACTCGTTGGAGAGTAACTCGGACTCGTGGGCGAGTAGCTCGGCGACGTTGGCGAGTACGAAGGACTCGTTGGCGAGTAACTCGGTGACGTTGGCGAGTAGCTTGGCGACGTTGGCGAATACGATGGACTCGTTGGTGAATAACTCGGTGACGTTGGCGAGTAGCTCGGACTCGTTGGCGAGTAGCTCGGTGACGTTGGCGAGTACGAAGGGCTCGTTGGTGAATAACTCGGCGACGTTGGCGAGTAACTCGGACTCGTTGGCGAATAACTCGGTGATGTCGGCGAGTAACTTGGACTTGTTGGAGAATAACTTGGACTCGTTGGCGAATAGTTTGGACTGGTGGGTGAGTACGTTGGACTGGTAGGCGAGTAGTTAGGACTCGATGGTGTAATACTCGGTGAAGTTGGTAAATAGGCAGGCGATGTAGGCGAATAACTAGGCGAAGCACCTCCTGCCGGTGACATTGGGTATGGACTCATGCTGGGTCCTGGACTGCCAGGACTTCCAGGTTGTGGCGAATACGCGGAATAAGCAGGTGAAAGTCCTGAAGCATCCGACGCTCCTGATGGTGAGAAGCATGCACCACCTGGTGTCATACCACTTCCCAGTGCTGTAAAAGAATTGTAAATTTTTTAATCATCAATAAATTACAATGATAAATTTTAACATTATTGAAAATGTTCGTACCAGGAGACATGCTTGACGCTCCGTAACCCGGGGTAGCACCCATCCAAGGGGTCATTTGAGGACTCATGCTTGGTGTAGCAACACTGCCAAAGAACATTCCGGCTGTTCCCATTACACCAGCACCTACCGCCATTGGTATTTCAATACCAGCTTTACATTTCTCAGCATCTAATAGCAAATCGAAACATCCTGAAAAAATAAAATTAAATATATTTACAGTTAGCCGAATAATTTGAGATTTGTTTATTAAAATCACAATACTATAAGTGTTAAAAAGCAATACCTGTTCCTATTCGTGGAAGTTGTCCCATAATAATGTTTTCAGATACTCCTCTCATTGGATCAACCTCTGCATGAGATGCAGCATCCAATAAAACATCCACTGTTTCTTCAAAAGAGCATCTAGAATAAAGTATAAAATATAGAATTCCGTATTGTCATTCGGTAATAAAATTATATTTATTTTTTTATAATATTTACCTCATAAGTGCACCAGTGTCCTGTCTGTTTATTCCGTGACGAGTAATAGCCATCAAGTGACCTTTGGCCGTCATAACGTCGCAAAGCAAAGCGAGATGACGATAATTTACATAAAGACCATAAAATTGCAAAACAGCGTTCATTTCTTTTTCTACCGACTTCCTGACAGCTTCTATACCAAGGACTTGGAATATTTCACAGATATCATTACTGAATGTCCTAACAGGATCGACATCTCTCTCGCTCAATACTTTCATTAAACTTGTCCCGTCCGTTTCCAATAACCATTCAGCTATTGCTTTAAATTCACCAGTTTCAGTGATGACGATACGTTTCTTGGAATCGGTTTGCGGTAAATGCATATAAACTTTTCCTATTGCCTCGATACCCTGTAATGTCATGTCACTGAGCATATTTGCCTCAATACACCGAAGGAACATGTCGTCCTCCATTTTATCTACAGTTTCTTCTTCGGTATCTTGGAACTTGTTATCATCGCTGTTCATTATCCTAATTCGTAAAACTAATTTCTCAGCGTTATCGTCGTTGAAAATGCAGTTCAGATCATCCCCAAAGCCAGCGTTAATCTTTTCCGCTATTTGTTCCATTGTCAATTTTTTATCAGTCATTCTCTTTCGGTCTAACTCGATACGAAGCAGCCACGGGGATATTTTGGTTGGATCGAAATCAGGCATTTCATAATAAACGTTCACAAATTCTTGATCCTCTGCTATCACAGTATTCTGTGGATCTGGATCGTAGTAAATAGCAGTATTCGCTGTAACTTTCCTCAATGTTGTGTGTTCCAATCGGCAAAGTACATTCTTTGCTTTCTCAGCATCTCTTGCTGCTGCTCCGGTTAGGAATACCGTTAACGACGGAGCCTTTGGTTTCTTGCTGATGTTTATAATCTCCTTTAGCCTGGGTACACCAAGAGTTACGTTCTTCGACGATACACCAGCAAAGTGGAAAGTATTCAGCGTCATCTGGGTTGCTGGCTCGCCAAGAGACTGAGCAGCTAAAGCACCGACCATTTCACCTGGCGATACCTAAACGTAACGTTAAAGAGATATAAGATACATATGCCCAAGTTTTATATTTATGAAACTGAAGATACACGATCTGTTCTCCACAAACCTGGGCTTGCTGGAACCTAGTTTCAATTTCTCCAATAAGCCATTCAAAAGCTTCACTGGATAACCTGAATTCTTCAGAAACACACTTTGTACATAAAGTAGATCTTACTAAACATTGGAATAATAATGTAGCGTTTTCATTAGCCTGTTTGCTGAGTCTATCGTCACCAGCCACAATAATACATTTATCCAAAAGATCTTTAACACCTGTAAATAAAAATATTTTATTCAGGGTATTCTATTTTGAACAGTGTCCACTTATTTTTGCATCTCTCTGTAATTATAATTTTATTTACCTTGGATGACTCTCATAGGACTGAGATCTGTTGGTGCTCGTTTGTTGATGTGGAATATCTTTTGCACATTCCAAATCATTCTTTGAAGATTGCAAGGCAATACAACTTTTGATTCTCCGCTGGGAAATATCTCTCTGAGTATAGCACGATCCTTGTTCAATTGTTCCCATTCTCTTTCCAATTCAGATATTACTTCCCCGGATCCCATCATTTCTCTAACGATATCTTCATTGAAAATGCGACGAAGATATCGTTCGTTGGTGGGATCAAATTTGAACTTCTTCTCAAATGCCTTATTGCTTAATTTAATGGTAGGTAGATTCTGGAACTCGACGGTTTCTCCGCATAAACCATCCTCGCCATAACGCAACTGAATAAGTTGTCCTACAGAGTTCCTAACTGTCCCATCGTAATGAACCATTACAGATTCCATAGCTTTTATCAGACGGCGTTGAATGTATCCAGTTTCTGCAGTTTTCACGGCAGTATCGATGAGACCTTCACGACCTCCCATAGCGTGAAAATAAAATTCAGACGGAGTTAGACCAGCAAGATACGAGTTCTCAACGAATCCTCTGGATTCAGGACCGTAATCATCTTTGATGAAATGCGGTAAAGTTCTCTTACGAAAACCGAAAGGAATTCGTTTACCCTCAACGTTTTGTTGACCTACACAAGCAATAACTTGAGAGATATTAATATTAGATCCCTTTGATCCTGATACTACCATAGCCTTTAGATTATTGTACTCAGTTAAAGATTTCTTAGCAGAACCACCAGTCTTGTCACGAGCGTCGTTCAAAATTCTGTTTACTTGATTTTCGAAAGTTTGCCTCAACGTATTTCCAGGGGTGGGTTCCAGCTCCATATTATGAGCCTTTTGAATAACTTCTATCACGTCCTCTTTAGCTTTTTTAATTGCTTTCTGAATTTCTAAGTAGGTCTGTGGATCGGCGATGGTATCACCAATACCAATGGAATGACCTTCCAATAGCAACCAGTTGTTGATCACTGTTTGGATGTTCCCATAAAATCGCCCACAGACCTCGTGTCCTAGCTCCAACATACAAATGTGAAGCAGAGATCCAGCAGATGTACCCAAAGTTTTCTTACAAAGAATCCCCATAACGAGCTCTCCATGTTCTACCATAACTTTAGTGTCACCAGGTGATATCCATTTATATGGACCGTCATCTTCTTCGTCGGGATGAGTACTGTGAGTTCTTATCATATTTACATTGCCTGGTATAATCAGAGAGAAAATTTGTTTACCGGTCCACAAAGGCTTTGGTTTTAATATACACGGTTGAGGCATTTTTCCATCCCAGCTGGGCAAGAACATAAGAATATTCATCATTTGTTCTTTTTCAATAAAGACATCTCTTTTCGTCATTTTTCTTACAGCGGTAAGTGTATCCTGTACAATACCCATAACTGGTTTATTAGCTTGCGGTGTGATGATTTGTCGTGGTGTCACGTGAATGTTTTCTACTTCCGCTCGAGTCTCCATCGATTGAGGTACGTGCAAATTCATTTCATCTCCGTCAAAATCGGCGTTATAAGGTGACGTACAACTAAGATTCATACGGAATGTACTCCACGGTAGAACTTTTACTCTGTGACCCATCATACTCATTTTGTGGAGAGTAGGTTGACGATTGAAAATGACTAAATCGCCATCACGAATGTGACGTTCCACTCTATAACCACATTGTAAATGCAAATCAGACGGTTTCGGATGAAATCTTAAATCTATCCTTTCTCCATTGTCTCTGACAATGTACTTGGCTCCTGGATACTGTGAATTTCCACGTCTAACGAGTTCTTGCATTTTATCAATATTAAATGGTGTCACAATTTCAGGAAATGTTAAATTTTGGGCAATGCTTCGAGGTACACCTACTTGATCGATTCGCAAATTGGGATCGGGTGTGATGACAGTACGAGCTGAGAAGTCAACACGTTTACCCATCAAATTTCCTCTTATTCTGCCTTCTTTTCCTTTCAGTCTTGCTTTTATAGCTTTTAAGGGTTTGCCTGACTTTTGCATCGCTCTGGGCATGCCAGGCATATCGTTGTCGACCAAGGTTGCTACATGAAATTGCAACATTTTTATATTTTCTGATATTACATGCGCTGCAGCTCCAGCTTGTTCGTTTCGGATCAATTCATTGTTTGCTTTTATAATATCTGCCAGTTTGTGTGTCAAGTCATCTTGATTTTTGGCAGAACCATACATAATAACTGCTGGCCTAACTGAGAGAGGTGGGACAGGCAAGACTGTGACCACCATCCAATCTGGTCGTGCAAATTTTGGGTCCATACCAAGGATAAACGATTCTTCGTCTGTAATGTGTTTTAAAATTTCCCATGCTCTTTCTGCGGTAAGCGCTATCTTCTTTTCTTGGGAATCCTCGTTTACATGTTTCCATTCTGCAGTAACATCTAAACCTGATCTCTGTAGATTTGGTTGATATCTACCACAACCACCATGCCCAGGTTTTCTATCTGCATTCTGCTGATCCTGGTTCTCTTTATTAATATCCATTTCATCACCACCCTCACAAATATTTTTACTTTTACATAAATCATAAACAAATGTAAGACGTTTACGTGGTTGACCTTTAGTTTTCATTACAATTTCCTTAATTTTTGGATTGTGCTGCAATTGAAAAAGGTAATATTTAAAAGAAACAATAATTCAAATACTAAAAACAATCAACTACCAATAATTTTTACTCACTGGACTGACAAGAAGTTTTGAACAATAAAAACACACGCATCTTAAGATTTTTATTGTTTTTGTTATAAAACCAACATGAAAAACTGGCTTGGCCAAATCTATATGGCCAAAATGTCCTGGACATTCTGTCATATTTCCTGCACATGTTTGGCATCTAGAATTTCTATCTATGACACCTTGTCTAGGATCCATAAGTCCACCCAGTTTCGGGCGACCACCTTCCATAGTTTCTGGAAATCGTATGCCTCCATCTGTGACTGACATCCGACGCTGTATAAAACATCAGTCAATTTTATAACACATAATAAATGAAAATAATAAAATTGTAATAAGCTATAATGAATAATTGCTTTAAGGAAATAAAAAACATTACAGTAATTATAAAAACTTTTTAATGTTTGATAACATTTTATTTCTAATCAATTACTTTTGACAAATTACATTTGTGCATATAAATTTACAGTCATAAGGAGTAACAGATCAGTAAAAGTAATAAAAAAATGCAATAACCGTGTTTATAATCATAATCCAGCAACACTTCAACACACGCGACTATTTGGAAATAACACAGAATACATAGCGGTATGTACGATTTCAGAAAATGTCGACTCATGATGAAATAGTTGTATATGCCTCGAAAAAAATACATTTTATAAAATCACTCGTTTACAAGCAACAAACTTACTATTTCATCAGGTGAAAGAATACCAAATTGGACCCTTTTTACAGTTCGCAAAGGCGCTTTGGAGTCGGACGTAGCCATTTTGCTACGATAACGAAGAGCTTCTCCCGCGGCCTTCTGCGTCGCGACTCCCTCTAACCGTTCTTCACCGATGGAAGCATTTCCCTCTCTTCTTTCATATGTATCCGTATATGTGTTCCTAAATAAATCATAATTATCCTTATAGAAGAGTTTCCATGCAGCTTTTAAATCAAGATTCTCATGAAAATGATGAAACAAGCAAGTATAAAATATTTTTTTGCGTTTGCCGTCTGGCGCCATGAATAGCAATGTTTGCTTCTGTTATTGAATAATTTTAATTATAATCTTACTATCATTTTATTGTGGATGGATGGGATTTAGAAAGTAAGGTAACTTGAAATGGCTACTTCAAAAACAACCAACACATACAATAGACAAAATTGGGAAGATGCTGTAAGTAAAGTTAAATTCTTAATAAGATACAAATTTATTGGAGTAACATGTTTACTCAAAGCATTACATTATTTTTTAGGAATTTCCAATATTATGTCAAACTTGTTTAGGTGATAATCCATATATTCGGATGGTAAGTCAATTCTATGAATATTTACATTGTCTAGAAATATTTGTTCATCGCTTACAAAGTTTATACATTAACTGTTTTACAGACAAAAGAAAAGTATGGGAAAGAGTGCAAGATATGCATGCGTCCGTTTACAGTATTTAGATGGTGTCCTGGTGCAAGGATGCGATTTAAAAAAACTGAAGTTTGTCAGACTTGTAGCCGTTTAAAGAATGTCTGTCAAACATGTTTACTTGATCTAGAATATGGTTTACCTATCCAAGTACGTGATGCAGCACTGAAAATTAAAGATGATTTACCTAGATCGGATGTAAATAAGGAGTACTATGTGCAAAACATAGATAGTGAAATTGGCAAAATAGATCCTACATCACCAGCAGGAGCTGTTGGTAAATCTGCAGCAGCCAGTGATTTATTGATGAAACTGGCAAGGACAAGTCCATATTATAAACGAAATAGACCACACATTTGCTCCTTTTGGGTTAAAGGAGAATGTAAAAGAGGAGAAGAATGTCCATATCGTCACGAAAAGCCAACTGATCCTGATGATCCATTAGCTGATCAAAATATTAAAGATCGTTATTACGGAGTAAACGATCCCGTTGCTGATAAACTAATGCGTAGAGCTGCAGCAATGCCTAAACTAGATCCACCAGAAGACAAATCCATTACAACTTTATACATTGGCAACTTGGGAGATGTTCTAACAGAAAAACAATTACGTGATCATTTCTACCAGTATGGAGAAATTCGTTCAATAACTATGGTTCCTCGTCAGCAGTGTGCCTTTATTCAATACACGCAAAGAAGCGCTGCCGAAGCAGCAGCGGAAAGAACATTTAACAAGCTGATATTAGGAGGAAGAAGACTAACTATTAAATGGGGACGTTCACAAGGAAGACAAACTGTTTCTGCAGCAGAAGCAACTAGAGAAATTTTAGAACCTGTACCGGGTTTACCAGGCGCTTTACCACCGCCACCAGAAAGTATGGGAAACAATTTTTTCAATCTACAAACTACTCCTGGCATGATGCCACCAATGATGATTCCACCTCCACCAGTTGCCCCTCAATTTATGTTTCCACCTCAAATGGCAGCTGCTGCTGCTGCTGCAGCAACACCAATTTTCCCTCCAGGAACTACTCCTATACATTATCCAAGTCAGGATCCATCAAGAATGGGTGCATCTCAAGGCATAGGAAAGCCTTGGCCAGAAGAATAATAGCAATGATATTTAAATTTTTATTGAGTATAATTATAACAAGAAAAATCTGTATAAATAAATATATGTCTTTGACTTTCTTTAAGGTATGAATGTTTGAAAGTATAATGTATTTTCCTACATTGCTTCTTGACTTCTAATTTGACGAGGGATAATAAATGTAACGCATTATTATTACAAATTAAAATATTTATCAAAATTTTTCTTCAATTTAATCTTCTATCTTTGTTTAAAAGAAAAATCGCCGATTCTGATAAAGACTTTAGGAAAGGAACGATAAAAACGCCATCTGCTGTCACAGCAGACGAACGTTCTGAAGAGTTAGCGGTTATTGTGAGTGTCATCATACTTTATTACATGTCCACTGATTTCTATCCGTCCGTCCGGTGTTTCTGCTACGTTGATCATATTCTGTGAATTTATGGAATGTTTGAATTACCAGATATCTTTAAATTCTTGTTTGTATTAGCATAAGGCGCCTAGTGCGCCTCCCGTCACGATGAACATGTGTCGGGTTCGACTGTTATTCTACTTTTTGGCGTTTAGCCTACTCCCTTTTGTCCGTTCTGACGAGCATACTCACATCGTAAGTAATCGGAATTGACACATGTTAAAATGTTAAAATTGTCAATTTAGTTTATATCTGTTGTTAGTAATTTTACAACGTAAACTTTACAAGCTCTTTCCTTATCTTTCTGTGTAGACTTACCACGTAATATATGTTAAATTTCCACATTTTATTTATACCTCCATGGAGATTTTTAATTAATTTTTTTTATTTAAAACATCGTATTCGTTATATATTAATAACATCTTGTATTTTATTAGTATGAAGATAACGATGAAGTTGTACTATGGATGAGTACAGTTGGACCATATCACAATCGTCAAGAAACCTATTCTTATTATTCACTACCTTTCTGCATGGGCACAAAAGATGTCATTAATCATTATCATGAAACCTTTTCTGAAGCATTACAAGGCATTGAACTTAAATTTAGTGGTTTGGAAATTGAATATAAAGGTACTTTATATTAACTATTATTTGGATGTAATTAAATTTTATAAATTATTGGAATCATTTGGTTTCTTTGTAGCTGATGTTGCAAAGGTGGAATATTGTCAGATAAAATTAACTGAAGAAAGTGAGAAAGCTTTTATATATGCAGTTAAGAATCAATATTGGTATAAGATGTATATGGATGATCTGCCAATATGGGGTAAGTGCAAGTGTTTTGCTTTCTTTGATACCTTAGTACCTCGTTATTGTATTCATTAATTCTTATACAATATTTAGGTGTCGTGGGAGAACCAGAGGAGAACAATGGAGTTGTATCTTATTATATTTGGACACACAAGAAGTTTGATATAGGATATAATGGAAAACAAATAGTTGATGTAAATTTAACCAGTGAAAACAAGGTGAAATTAGTACAAGGAGCAGCTATTTTTTTCAGTTACGAAGTTAATTGGAAGAAGAGCAATGTTAAATTTGAAGATAGATTTGATAAATATTTAGATCCTAACTTTTTCCAACATAGAGTAAGGATTATATTATTTCAGAAATTTAAGTTGCACATTCTTACAATTAGACTTCTTTCTAACAAAAATGTTTATTCTTCATTTAGATTCACTGGTTCAGTATTTTTAATAGTTTTATGATGGTAATTTTCCTTGTCGGTCTTGTTTCAATGATTTTGATGCGTACATTAAGAAAGGATTATGCTAGATATAGTAGAGACGAAGAAATGGACGACATGGAACGGGATTTAGGAGATGAATACGGATGGAAACAAGTTCATGGAGATGTATTTAGACCAGCTAGTCATGCAATGCTGTTTTCAGCTCTTATAGGTGCAGGCTATCAGGTAGCTAATTAAATTAAAATCTTTATTCGGGTTTAAATATTATTATATACTTAAGAAATATTTATAAATGTTTTTATATTAGGTTACAGTAGTTGTTCTCAGTGTCATTATTTTTGCTATACTTGGAGAACTTTATACAGAAAGAGGATCAATGTTATCTACAGCAATTTTTGTATATGCTGCTACATCACCTATAAATGGCTATGCTGGAGGAGGTTTATACGCACGTATGGGCGGACGTATTTGGATAAAACAAATGATCGCCAGTGCCTTTATGTTACCTCTTATCGTTTGTGGCACTGCATTTTTCATTAATTTCATCGCAATGTATTACCATGCTAGCCGGGCCATACCTTTTGGTTCTATGGTAATTTCGATTTAATGCTTTACCTGTATGTAATTTATCTTAATATATTAACAAATATATTTTGCTTTTAGGTGGCAGTGACATGTATTTGTATATTTGTTATATTGCCATTAACATTAGTTGGAACCATTTTAGGCCGCAACTTAGCTGGAACACCGGATGCTCCGTGTAGAGTAAACGCGGTACCTCGACCTATTCCCGAAAAAAAATGGTTCATGGAACCACTAGTTATTATAATGCTCGGTGGTATCTTACCCTTTGGATCAATATTCATTGAAATGTAAATGTCATTTTTGCTTAAAAAAATTTGATAAAAATTGTTTTTAATAACAAATTTTTATGTTCTTTAGGTACTTCATTTTTACCTCATTTTGGGCATACAAAATCTACTATGTTTACGGATTTATGTTGCTAGTATTCGTTATTCTAATGATAGTAACTGTTTGTGTTACTATTGTGTGTACATACTTTTTGCTAAACGCTGAAGACTATCGATGGTGAGGATTTTATAGTAATTTCTTATAAGTTTTGTTAAATTATATTTGTTTTATTAATCTAGGTATATATTTTATAGGCAGTGGACAAGTTTTTTAGCTGCAGCTTCAACGGCTGGATATGTCTATATATATTCCTTCTATTATTTCTTCTTTAAAACGAAGTATGTTTTTTAACTCGTTAATTATATTTGGTCAAGTATACGGTTGTTTACAACATAATCACACTTTATATTTTTCAGAATGTACGGTCTTTTCCAAACAGCATTTTACTTTGGTTACATGGCGTTATTCAGCCTTGCTTTGGGCATAATGTGTGGAACAGTCGGTTATGTCGGTACTAACGCATTTGTACGAAAGATTTATTCCACAGTGAAAATAGACTAAAGCACAATTTTAGTGTAACGTCTACGTCATGGATTAAAATAAGAACGTACAAAGTGATATCTACTGGTCTTCATGAAGTACAGTTCTTCTTTTCGGTAGTTTAAATTATTTACGTTCATCGTGATGCGCAAATGCAGCTTGTGGAAAGAACCTTCTAAATTAACATCATTTACCTGCCGTTGCCGATAACGTGAATACTTAAACAAATGATACTTTCATTATTATATATTTCGAAACTATTCAACAATTGTTTTATTATTATTATTATTATTATTATTATTATTATTATTATTATTATTATTATATTAATATAATATCGTAACAATATTTTCATTTCGGACGAGAGATTAATTTATATGCTGCAATTTAATTTCTAAAGTGGGGTCCTACGACGGACAGTATACATTTTTAAAACGTACTGTTCGTGTATTATTCGTCTCGAGTCACAGTTTCGTATTACCTGAAATGCAAACTCCGATAAATGTAACTTTAAAATTACTATTTTACTTGTAACAACTGACTATGTAATGTTGCTCAATTTCGCTAAATTTTACTGGAGTCTCGCAAATTTTATTTTAATTTTTAAGCTTATACAAAGAACATAGAAATTTCTGTAAATTATAAACTATTTTGAGAACTGAAATATGTGAACAATTTGTCGTGCATTATACGAATATACATATATATACTACAAAAACTTTCTTTTAAAATATACATTAAAGAAACTAAATATCTAAATTTTGTATTAAAATATTAATATTGTGAAACATTAGATAATATCATTAATTGCAATTTCAAAAAATCAAGATTGAGAAAGCAGAAAGAAATGCAAATTATTACATGTAAGTTGTACAGTATAAATTTTCAATACAGTTTATGCAAAATGTACACGATGTTTCAGTTAACGTAATTAAAACATTGTTTCAATTATGTGACTTTAAATCAAATATGTTAATCATAAAGATTATCAACGATTTAACTGACGTTAATTTGTAGACGAGCTAGATAATAAACGTGAACATAAGACATTTTTTTACCAAGATCTTCTTGATATATATCACAACATTTGGTTCATGTGAATATCCTTTATTATAAATTGTGAATATACTGATAACGTGTAAAGTATTGTGAGTTTAGAAGTGGAGATAATATGATCCTTCTAATTGCGGTCCTCCGTAAACGGCTAAATGTCTGCGTATCTAATCGCTGTTCAAAAGCAAACGACTAGAAAAACGGGATTGGCATTTGGGAATCACAGCGAACGTGTTTGACCTAATAATATATTGTCAAAAGACAAGTATTAGCAAGGAGAATCGAGTAAATATATCGTTTATTGTTAGACGTAGTAATTCTAAGAAATATAAAATTTCTACCTATAACAAATTCAATGTATTTTATTAATACAATAGCCTCAATGCCAATTTTTGCATTTTAATAGGTTCTTATCTTTATTTCATAGTTTTACTTAAATGCAACTATTGTATGATAATGATAAAATCGTATATTTTTATTTTTGTATAATGAAAATATATACATAGATGAAATAACAAAACGTGCTCATATTTTGAGGAAATATAATCTATCCGTATAATCCATTGATTTAAATATATATTTTTTTAATCCTATAGTAGTTAAATTGAATAAATAATGCGAAAATCAAAATATTACAAAATTTTATTAAAAAGTAGTGTGAGTTGTCCACTTGACTTTAGTGGTGCCAGTGTGGCAGTAAAAGTTGCTCCGTAGTACGCTCCGAAGTATTCACGTGTCAAAGCGCACACGTCGATGCACTCGGTGGAGTAAAGTGTTCTGTCACACTTGTTCATTACTCTAAAGACTACATATTGAAGTGGACGTACAGTGATTGAACAGTGTTATATTCATAATTCTTTTGTTTCAAGTTTTATTAAAATACGTACAATAGCAGAAAAACAGAGTAGAAATGGCACCAAAACAAAGAATGCGCATCGCTAATGAAAGAGCCACCAAAAACATTACACTACGTGGAAATGTTCCAAAATCATCGGTATATTATTTATTTTATTGCTTCTTAAACATTGTTTAAATGATTGTTAATAAAATAAAACGAAATAAGTAATAGTAATCTAGTAATCCATAATTAATGATTTTATGGTTATAAATTATGTTATGGTTGTAGCAAATTGTGATATATTTATGTATATAGCGATTTATAATAATTCCAGCATATTGCATTTTTAGTTTTACACTTATATGTGTTTATTATTTTTTAACACAAGAACTGTTATATCTATCATGAGTATTTATGGTTTAAAAGTGATATAAATTTCAATATAGCAAAGTAATATTTCTACCATATGCAATGTTATGTTTTTATTATAAACATATGTTTTAATAGCTTTATTGTTTACAACAATTTATTCTGCTTTCTTTAAAAATACATATAATTTGATAAAGTATACGAATGAATTTTCATTATTAATCATTTATGTTATATTTATAATTTAAATGTATTATAGAAACCACAAGATGATGGATCTCCAATTGGACCCTGCTTGCTAGCACTTTTCCTATTCGTTGTATGTGGTTCTGGTAAGTTTGAATGTAACACTTAAAAATTTACATATCTTAAACTAATTGATATTTTTATAAAATAATATTTTTTTAAATTTTTAGCTGTATTCCAAATCATTCAGAGTATTAGAATGGCATAAGGAAATTCCAAACATGAAGTCAAAAAATGTTGCTGTTACTGTTAATACAAGAAAATGTCTATACTTTATTGGTATACAAACGAGATTAACAGACTGTTTAATTGCATAAAAATGTAGGCATTGTAAGGTCTATAACACAAAGCTGAATTCAAATTCTCATTGAATATCTTTTCCTTTTGCTACAACTTGAAAGAATTATTTATAAAGATTTAGCATTTATAAACATTTCACTTAATCGCAGTATATATCGATGAAAGATAATTGCATTTAATGTATTTTATTTAGAATCTGTAAAAAAATAATTAGATGTTACATATTATTTCGTTTTAAATCTTCGTTGTGTTGCTCCCTGTAACAACGATTTTTACTTCCAATTACGTAAGGTAGAATTCCTTCATCGATATATACTTAGTAAATAATTGTATATATACATAATCAATTTATTGTAACAATTCATTAATCAAAGCATTCCACTGTAAGCAGTTGGTAGCTTTCGGTTGTCTATATATTTTAGAGGCCTTAAGGACATAAGTCATTACATATGTAAAAAAGAATATATATATTATCATTGTAATTTATCTTAATGAAATATTTGCTACAGACAATTCTTTGTCTCTTTTAATAAATTATGTCATAAATAAACACTCAGTTGCATTACTGTTACTAATTATCTTAAAATATGTACCAGTAGTTCCCAGTAATAAAAATACTATAATAACTAATGTTCGGTAAACTAATAAGTATTTTAAAGAGACCGCCATAAATTAAATTTTTTTGAATTTGACCATAGCGCCATCTATACAAAAATGGCTCAAACTACTCAATATTTTATCGGCTGAGATTAAGGCGAAATAGGCATTCGGGTGACTGGGGTCCTGAAGAACCCTCCTTCACATATGCTGGTAGCGCATATGGATGACTGGGGTCCTGAGGATCCCGGCAGGCGGTGCACTAGCGCCACCTATTGGAGAATGGCGGAAACTAGTCGACAAGTAGTTTCCGCCGTTCTCCGATAGATGGCGCAGGCTCTCCCTTTCGGAAAGCCGATAAGTCGTCAAGTAGTTTCCGCCGTTTCCCGATAGATGGCGCCGGGGTCGAATTTAAAAAAATTTGATTTATGGCGGTCTTTTTAAAATACAAGTTTGTTCGAGCTAACCGAGGGGTGCCTGTGAACCCCTAAAACCATGACCCGTCGAGAACAAAGGCATGTTCAGTCTTTTTCTATCTGTAGTCACTGTTGCTGTTCAAATCAAACGGGCACTTTGTTAAACAACGAACGACGGAGTGATTTTTCAAACATCAACGTTAATTTTATAATTACATTTCACATAAGTATCAAGTAATTTATAAACAATTTTTTTTATCAAACCATTAATGAAATGGCTGGTATATTCAACTTATTTGGTGAATCAAACCTTAACAAAGGTATGAATAGTAATGTCCGTGGGTTATATATTTCATTTTATCAAAATATAAAATTTTAACAAATTGTTTTTCATAGGTAATGTTATGACACCTTTGTCAAGATCTAAGACAACCATTGGAATAAGTGGAGCTTCTGTTAAAAATGCTGGTCCATTGAAACCAAAAGGATTGTCTATTAGATCTAACTCTAATTTAAATCTATCAGCTTCAAATAAAGATATATGTAATAAACCACAAGAATATTTGAAACCAAAGCTCACTCAACTAAATATTGAAGGTCACCCAATATCACCTGGAAAAGATTGTGTATCAAAGGTATAAATAACCAAAAATTTTCTAAAAATACTATAGAAATAGTAACATGTTTGGAATCCTTTTTTTTATAGAAAACAAATGAATGTCCCATAAATTTATCCCCCCAAAAAGTATCTGATAAAAAGAATGTGCAACTACAAAAACCTTCTAATGAAATTATCTTTAAACAACCATCATTACCAAAAATGTATGCAAAAAAAAGATATCCTGAACCTGAAAGCTTAGCACCATATTGTGATATGCAATTTGAGTTTGGTATGAATCTTAAAATATAATACTTTATATAAGATATACAGAGAAAGTCATTAAAAGTTGATGTGATGTGTGTTACAGATGATATTTATACAAAAACCATAGAGAATGAATTTAAAGAATTGCTTATGAAGAAGAAGAATGAGATAGTACCATATGAGGATGAGGGATTTCAATCAGGTATGAAACTTTTAGAATAAGTACATTATACCTATATGAGTATCTGATATTTACAATTTTTTATTCAGAACCAGAACAGTTGGAATATAAAATGCCAATATTATGCACATCTCCTTTTTCACTAGATGAAGAATGGAGAAGATGCAAAAGCCCTGACTTACCAGAGCCTTATTTTTCAGATATGGATGAATAACTTTTAATATGCATATTATTATTTTAATAAGTATTATTTTTTAATTTATTTAATTATAATTTCTGAATAATATAATTAAAAACTATTATATTTTATTAAATACCAATGTTTATTTTACATAAATGCAGTATTACTATAATTATAAAGTACAACTAAAATAGTTGATAATTTAATAATATAATTTTAATGTATTGTACTTTTTTATGTGTAAATAAACTATTTTTTATAACAATCTGATGTAATAAACTATTAACTGAATAGTTATAGATATGAATTTGTTTAAAAATTTTCAATTGTTAGTAGTACAAAATGTCAGCAAGCGTATGTACTACTGTAATAGCTGGCGTTTTAGAAGATCATAATTTCAATCATATATGTTTTGTTGCTGAAAGTTTATCGAATATAATACCTAACTTTTATTATAAAATTATTTATAAAAGTTCGAAGGAATGGAAAGTAAGTTACGATCGTTTTATATACAAATAATATTTTTTATATAATCTATTTTCTAGTCCTGGTTAAAAAAAATGTGTACACTTTATGGCTGGTCTCATACTAAATCACCTTTAATATGGCAAGAAATTGGAATTACTCACAGCAATATAAATTACGTTGGAAGTAGCTACCAATTTTGGGAGTTCTTGCAACAATATTATGACATCAAATCGCAATTAACTCGAGAAGATCTTGAGGCCCTACAAGCAGATTTATTATTTGTAAGTAATTTCGTATATTTTTAATTTTAAAAACTAATTATTCTATTTACATAGGCTCATGATATAAAAGAAGAGATAAGTAAAAGTCCAGATGTACAAGAACGTCGTCGAATAACAATAGTAGGAGCAGGAAGATCAGTGTGTGCAGAATTAGTTTGCCAGTTATTAATGACAAAAGAACTTTGGTTGACCCATGGAATTCTTATTGGCTTATATGATGAACCAGGATGCTTTTTTAAAATTAAAAAAATTTATAAAGATGCAGGAGGAGTGGGTGCAGGTTTAAATTCAGTAATGATTTTAAACAATGTACCTGAGGGATTAAAAGATTGTCACATATTGATATATCTTGATTCTTTATTAAGGTAAACAAGGAAATTGAATACTTTAATAAAGTTTATCAGTATTATATCAAATATGTATTTTGTAGAGAAGAATACGAAGGTACGGACGACTTATTGCAACGAAATTATAAAGACATAGAAAAATTGTCTATGCAGATAAATGAATATGCACCTTCTTATATGAAAGTCCTTTTCTGCTCAATGGGTATTACATGTTTCTATGCCAATATCATGCATGAGCTAGTTACAAAAGTACCAAGTACAAATATCGTAGCTGTTAGTTCCCATTATGGATTAGAATTGATATATCCCTTAGTCAATTCAGTAGGATTCACTTTACAAAATTTCGGATGTCCACCTGTATGGGGGTATTTGGGTTTGTGTATACATTAAAATAATTTAATACCCTTCATAATTTTCTTAGCATACATTATTAATCGATTCAATTAAACTATAGGAATAAATCAGTTTGTAGACGTTGATCATATGATTCAAAAAGTCCATACTTATCCTGCAACTAGAACTCAAATTTCACAGAAAAATGTACTCTTACCAATTCAAACTCAAGAACATTCAGAATTAAGATGGTTTTTCTATATGTCACATAATAAAAAACCTTACGTAGATAATTTGAAACGGAAGGTAGATATTTTATCAATAATTAATACATAATACAAGAGTATATAAGTTTCTGTGTATGTATAGGCGCTTACTCAGTACCTAGTAGGTAGATCAGAAGACTTCCCAAAATGTAAAGCGATTTGCGATCTTCTAAAATTATGGTACAGCAAGAAAGAGAACATTGAAGATGAAATTATATCATTAGGAATAGCATCTGATGGTAATTGTGAAAATATTAAAAATATAAATAACTTCCGTGACAACGAAGTTAATATATTTTCTTTCCTGTAGGCTCTTTTGGTATTCCAAAAGGACTAGTGTTTTCACAACCAGTATATTTGAAAGTATTAGCAGATGATTCACGAGTATGGATCCCTTTCACGGATTTTCCAATGCCAAATATGCCGTTTTCTATATTTCAAAATTTTATAGACACCGCCACAATTATTAAGGAACAAATAATTAAATTAAAAGAGAATTCTGAGTTCAAAGAAAAATTTTCAGCAACTTGAATTAGTTTGAAAATTTTTTACTTAAAAGAATCGTTATTTTATTATATTATTTAATATACATAAATGCCGTAAAAGTATGCAAATTTAATATATCTGTTCAAATTGATCATAATATTATACATTTATAATTATTAAAATTGTACATTTTGTGTAACCACTATTATCCTTTCGATCTTAGATTTCAGTCGACATCGGAATAATAGAAATTTAAAAAATTTTTGTGAAAATCACATTATTTAATGTGCAATAAGTCATAGATGACTATGAAACATAAATTTAATACATACGAATAAATTTACATTTTTATTAAATGAATCGTAAGAAGAATAATAATGTTTCTTAAGATAAATTTATTACCTAGTAAATACAATTGAATAAATTAGCTAAGAAATATTACCACTGATTGATTGAAAAAAAATCATTGCGCTTTATAGTGATCCTTTTAAAAAATAGTTGCAGAAATAATACTTTTCGCCATAATAATGTACTGGAATTTGATATTACAACTTTCGTGTATATAGAAAATGACATAACAAATCACATATTACCAGCTTAAATCTATTGTTAACAACTGGTAATTCATTTCATTTTACACTTAATTAGTAGTTCTTTATACAGAATGTTATGTCACAATGGTAGACAAATGGATAATGTATCTCGTGTTACTGATGTGATTGTTTTATCTTCAATATTTGAATAATGTGTATGGATTAGTGACGTATCATTCGAAAAATGTCAATATGTAGCACTTATTAAGAATGAAACCGGGGTATATCAAAAATTAAAATTAAGTTGTCATACATATTTTTAAGAATAAATGATATATTAAAAATTTAAGTTTTCAAGGGCAATATGAAAACAAAAATGCTGATAAATTTAGAGAAAATTTGTTAAGAAATAATTGTATAATTTCTATTCAATTACCTGAATTGATAATAGAAAATTATTACTCGTTGAAAATTTTACAATTGTTTACTGATATTCACGACGTTAGATTCTGTGAGTAAAAAATAAATGTTAGGATTGCACGCCGTTACAATAGGTATAGTAAAAACTGCATTTTGACACAAAACATCTCTGATAATTTGAAAATTATGCTACAAAATTCGTGGATATGACAAGTGAAAAATTTTTTAGGCAGTTTTTGCTCGTATAGCAGCACGTTTTCCAGTAACAGCCTGAAACAAATAATTGAATGTTAATATAGTTTTGAAAGAAATTAATATTAGAAAAATTATAAGAATTTAGATTGAAATTAATTACCTGGAAACCGGATTTTATGCTAGCCACCGAACATCTCGAGCCACAGGTTTCACACTGTAAGAAAAATAGTCGAGTATCTTTTTGAAGAATAGTATCTGGAGAACGACAAGTGTGACAAGTAACATATTCTTTAATGTATCTCCTAAGAACATTTTCTATTTGTTTTTGTTGGAAACGGCCCTTAATAATAAGTTGACTATTTCCATCAACAGAACCACTAGTACCTAACTCAGCAAGTAAAAAGTCCAATAAATGTTTGGGCTGCCTATGGAGCGTTTTGCATATCTACAAAAAAATAATTAAATGTTTAACAAATAAAAGACTGATAGTTAACAGTATATAAAAGAAGGATTTAATAATATAACTTACTTCAGTGAAATTAGCAAATGATGTTTTCTTGGTACCTATACGCACTACTTGAGGAGGACGCATAACGAACTTCTGCTTTTTGCCAGCAACCATATCAGGATTCTTTTCCCTCATAATGTTAAATACTCTTACCAATAATTCATCATATGTATAATCTCTATCCGATCCAACCCATAAACTTGTATCTTCTGCTAGGAAATATAGTTTCATTTGAAATATGTTTAATTACATCATATATATCACAATAGATATAAAACTTTCAATTCTAGAATGAACTTCAATCTTTAGTTTTTGACCAACTTCATGTACCAATTAAAAGTGGACCTAATTATATAATGTAATAAAAAAATATGATATTGCACTCTGTTTCTTGTTATTTACAATGTATATAGGAATATTCTCAAACAATATTAAATACAAATTAACATTATACTTTGAAGAATTCACTGAAATGTTATTTTTCTATTAGTTATTTAAGAAAATTATTTTTAATATATAACGATATTCATTCTTTTATGTATTATAATAAGATTTATGGAAGTGCAGAAATAATGTATGTTGTGACCGTTATGTGATATGTGTAAGAAACAGCAAACATATCCCTTACCATACTCTGCACTTCGCTCAGATTCAGTGCAGCATGTTAACAAATAATGAGTAACATAAACAACTAGTTACTCCAAACTATAATACCCTTGTAATATATAATATTTACCATTTTCTTTATCTTCTGTTTCCTTACGTTCTTCCTCTGCCACTAATTCATCAAGATCTTTCTTTTTCTTTTTCTTCTTCTTGGTTTTTGAGAAGTCCATATCTAAGTCAAATGTATCATCCACAGCAACCTCCTCTGTTTGTTGTTCAACAACATCCTTTAGAAATCATGAATAATTATATAAATCAATTTTTAATCTTTATATTTATTTAGTATAAAATAAAATATTTTCTTACTTCCTACATAATTATATACCTCTTTTTTTGTATCTGGCAAAGTTGCATCAAGTTCATCCAAATTAAAGGCCTTTTTTTTCTTTTTTTTCTTTCTTCCAAAATTTTCTAAATCCAATGTTTCATCATCTTCAGCTGGCACAGGAGGGTCTGGCTCCTGGTTCTCCTTATCACCACTGGTTTCTGTTGCATCACCAGTGCTACCCCCTTCATTAAATGCAGCATCAAGATCGAAGGTAGTTTTCTTCTTTTTCTTTTTCTTTTTTAAAGTAGGATCAAACACCTATAAATTTGATTAGTAAGTTAGAATTTATCATATTATGTATCATTTAACTATAATCAGTTTATTAGTATTAAATTATTATTGTTAATCATTACAAATAAATAAAAACCAAAAGTTGATGTACTTTTATACACGAATGCTTACAATATGCTAAATTCAGCATTGACTTAAATTTACTCCAAATGATTTCATTCTACAGGTTAAATATCACATTATATCTTAAATAGATTGGTATACATAAAATATTACAATATGTAACAATAAACATTGAAATTACAATAATAAATCAAATGACGCAATAACATAGTATACATAAAAAAATGTTACATTAATCTATAATGCTACAGACTATCCACATGGCTTTGAGGTTGGAATTCATAAAATAGTATTATTTTCATTTTATAAGAATTTGGTTAAGAATTATTTTTCTTGGCTGAATATAAGTTTCATTTTTTCATTTATAAATTACAGAATATTATCAAAAAACTGAAAAGTATGTCAAGATGACCATGCTCCCATGCCTTGCAATACATGAATTTCTAAGGATACTCTCCAATATTCTTACGTACCGAGTCTTCTTCAGTCATTTTGAATATCGCACTAAATAATCTGGTGTCTTAGAGAAACCTATCAATTTACTTAGTTTTTAAATATAATTGAACATCTTAATTCTACAATCTTAATCCTTTTTCTGTCAGCATTTATACAGTGCAATCACGTTTTAGTAACGAATATTGCATCAGAAATTCGACTGTTAAGTGTAATTCACACTCTCGAATAATCGAGACAAGTTATGCATTCTGATAACCTTTTCTATTGGTCAATTCTCTAGTGTTAACCAATGGAAAGGAATTTGAAATACAATTTAGTTCACAGTACTAAATTTATTATTTTGATATACGGATAAATATTAGATATAAAATCTTGATTAAATTGTATACATGTACAGAATAAAAATCAAATTTGTATAATGAAAGATATTGAATCTTTGTATTCTGTAAGTCCCGTGCACAGACACCTGATAACTGTATATGTATACTTACGTAGGGCACACATGTACAGAAATTTCATACATATACCGGGGTACAGTACAGGTTATGGATCGAATGGCAGTGATCCGCAGTTTCAGTCTATAATGTGATAATTCACACTTAACTACAAATGTAATTACTTTGAACATTATTGGAATGAATTTAAAGCCAATTTTTTTTACAATCAAATTCATTCAAAATACACACGATGATTTTAATAAGCTGACAAGTTTACAATACCAAAAACCTCCCATTACCGGTGCTGTTGTAAGTAGTAGTATCAAGTTGGAAATATGTGTATATATACACTGATCCTTCATTTTTATAATGTCAAAGTAGTGTTTCGTTGTGATTATAAATCAATAGTAAACAAAGTGTTCCGTCAAGTGTCGATTGTCAATGTGCTCTAAACAAGTTAGTATGATCCACGTAAAAATTCGCAAAAGAAAAATTCAACCTGGAACATTATTTGCGTATAAAACAAGTTTGCATTCTGTCCAAAAAATGATAGAAAAATTCATGTACGAATAATGAACAAAAAGTGGTGGTGCAATAGAACAATTCAATCCGTGATTAGCTGTGTTATATACAAATGTCAACGCCTAAATTAAAAGTATGTAGTAAATTATTATCATAAATGTTCGAATAATTTGTTTATAAGAATCGATGAATGTTCTATCGATTACACGTTTCAAAATGTATCAAAGGTCGATATCAGTGTTTTTGTAAAATGTTACTGCGATGCGCATTTTATCGAGGGCAAAAATCTCTGGTAAAATATTATTATTTATTAAATTAGAATAATAAACATTTATTAAATTTTAAAAAATTATGCTTTTTCGTAACTATATTAGAAATTATTAATAATTGTTTCGACAAGTGTATTAGATCAATACATCATATTTATTTTTTTTCTAAAGTTGTACAAATTCTTTCCATCGTATTCACGAGTATAATTTGTAAAATTTTCTGAATCTAAGTTTACGCGTCTGTTTTGAAATATATCTACTATAAACGAATAGTGTGGATATAAACAGCTAACCTTGAATTGTTCCATAGAACTTTTTCTTTATTGATCGTATTTATGTGTAAAAAATATAGAATTTCATTATAAAAGTAATTGACAGAGCTTAATAACAGAGAGATGGATTTGACCTTTGATTACACGTGTTGATCTACAAGAAAAAAATTCATTTAACATGATTAGGTAGAACAAGGTATATAGATAGATGTGCACCTTTATTCGTGTAGGTGCAGACTGCACTTTACGTGTACACATGTGATAACACGCACACATTTAAATGATCGCGCATGCAGGTAAATAATGATTTAAAATTTAATACAGAAACTCTTGAATAAAATTAATCATGGAAATACGATCGTATCGATGTAATCTTTTTATTTTTTTTATTTTAATAGGTAAAATTACGTAATGAAAAGAAATCTGTACGTTTCTTTTTTAATTTCAAAATATAGAGAGCAGCGGATCGCAAAGGATTGCTTTGAAATAAAAAATAAATAAGAGAAAAAGCTCGTTGGACAGATTAGATACAGAATTTATCAGAATTATCCACATTCACGTTGTTTCTTGTTAGTTTCCATTAGTTTTTACGAAATATTCTGTAATGGGCTGGTTAACGAAGGGGGCGTACAGTGATCGCGATATTATGTATTAGGAACCATTCTAATCATGCATGTCACAGTTAGTGCATGCGTGACAACAGATGGTAATAAATGTTTATCTCGTTTTATATAGCTCTTAAGAGCAAGGAGGATCAGGAAAGTTACTTCAGTTAACTCGTTTCGTTTAATCTGAAATATGTGCGTGAACTAAGTCTACTAATCGAGTTTTGAGTTTATTAAGATGATTCCTAAGTGTCCGGGAAATCACAATATTATAAGAATTGTTAGTTTCATTTGATTAAACTAAAAGTAATACGAACTAAGAAAAGTAAAAATTACAAGTTAATTACTTGTGTTTAGGAAGAAAGTAACAGAATTTCAATCAAGGTGTAGTGCTTTATTTACAAGTTATTTATAACAGAAACTACTATTTTGAAAATAACAAGTTGTTATTCGATATTAGATGTAAAAATAAAAAACCATCATTAAAGTCCAAAGAGCTCGGTTGATAAAACGGTTATCTGTAAAGCGCGAAATTCAAATTCAAATCTTGGAACCGCCTGTTTTTCATCAGAATTTTATTGATAAAATTAATTCTAAGAAAAGTTTGTTTCGTACAAATTACAGAAAAATGACTACGAATAAAGAAATTTCGACGTCGTATAAGGACAGTCTCGCAGTCTCCGACGATGAGAAGAAAACGATCAAGAGTGAGAAGAAAAAAGAAAAATCAACGAATAGACCGAAATGTAGACTGGACGCGAATGGCCGATTAAATCTGAAAGATATTTTAATATCTTTCAATGGACCGGTTAGTCAGGAACAAGCTTGGGCACTATGCTATCAAACGGCCAAGAGTTTCTCACGTTTACCAGACAACAATTTTTATGAACTCTTAGAATTATCACAGATCGTCCTTCACAAGGATGGCGATGTTTGGCTCGGCAATCTAATCGGTAAGAAGGCTAATCTTCATCTTTATAAGAAAGGCTTTTCTCTCCTTATCGAATGTATAGCCTCTTATCGATTTCTTTCAAATTTAATGAGAAAGGAAGGTATTAAACAAAGGTAAACGATTAAAAATATCGAGCATGAGATACCTACATTGTGTAATAGGTATATGAATCATGTTATGTAGTATATTGAATTGTACTTGAAATACAGGTAGTCTTAGATATTATTTTGTATGTACATACAGTAAAACAGAATACCTAATTCAAAATTGGACCAAATGACTTATGACGTGTCATTTTTTTAAACGACGAAAGCACATATCTTAGTAAATTAATTTGTATAGTTTCTCCAGAAACCCCAAGTCGTTTGGTCCAATTTTAAATGAGGTATTCTGTTTTAAACGGTGAGCGAATAATTTTCTGACCCACTGTACATAAGTAACATTTATGTTATAATATGCAGTAACGCATACGTTAGTATAGTAGCTGTATACATATAGTACTCTTCTTGTACATTACATGTGGTCCTTTTTGTTTTGTCATGAATATATTATGTAATTTCAAAAATATGTCATAAAATGAATATTACGTAATGTGTTTAATGTCGTCTTGTTTAAACTTCTCTAGAAATACGACACACGATTTCACAAACCCATTTGTAAATCATGCACGATATTTGCGTTTCGTTAAGTCGTTTGGACAACGATACGAAATAATTGTTCCTGCGATAAGGTTTATGATAACAGTATTTGATAACACGCTAAAATATTAAAGATTTGAAATAAGCGATTCAATTTCGCGTGAAAGTTATTAGAGATAATGAATTTCTGGTCATGCATGAATCATCGGTTAATTTAAGAATTTTCTGTTACAGAATCAAGGCAACCCCGGGTTACCGAGCAAAAGGTAATTGACCGATTTCTGTAGAATAGAAATAGTAATGGAAATAAATATACTTTTCTTTCTATTTGCAGGCAATGTTCTCATTAGGAATGATGATCTTCAAAGCGCTTGATTTCGGCCTAGACGATCAAGAAGAGAGGCCTTTGTCGCCGGACCTAGAAGCTCTCATAACTTTAATGACTAGACCGGATCAAGGTAACAAAAAAAAAGCCAGAGATCATTTCTTGGGATAAAGGAAGAGAAAGGTTTATTTTTATTGTTACCCAGAATGTGGGGAAACGGAAGAACGTCCGCAGGAAACGGACGATGAAGGCATCGAGCGGGACTCCAGTGATGCCGATGTAGATGAATATTTATCACAAAAGAGTAACGATACATATGAAGAAAGGCCTTTAATGTATTCATTAAAAAATGTAATGCACGTAAGTGCAATATTTTTTTTGTTTCTTCAATCGTGCATGAAATCCATTAAGCTTTATATCATAAAAACCTATATTAATTTATATATTAATTGATAGTTATGCACCAGGCATATGCAAACTTCAATTGAATCTGCTGAAGCTCATTACAAGGCTGTAATAAGGGCATTTGTAACCGAAGCTTTGGAACTATCACAATTTCTGGATACAGTGGCAGCTGAAAAACTACAAGCAAGTCAAAGGGAGATTGCTGGTAGTGACAACAATAAGCAAAACTCAATGTCTGTTCAAAATCTTGACACGTTAGATTTCATTGATTGGGTAAGATTTCGCTCATTTCATTGTAACATGATTCATACTTCAGATTATACGATCATTGAAACTTTATCCTTCGTTTCATATTATATTGTACCTCATTCATGTTAAATTCGTTCGATGCTCATATACGTATATATAATATTTCGATTTTGAAATCGAACGAATTATCGTAAATGTAAAAGTTTCGCTGTCATTCGTGTAAAACGGAACAACTAACATTACCGTGTCGCATAAAGTCATTTGTCATTTTGCAGAGATAAGATATTTGAGATTTATTGACTTGACTCTCTACCGTTATAGACTGACATTAGGATTTGGAGGGCTATACAAGTATGTCATCGTTAATAATGTTTGCGCATGTAAAAAACTAGAGTCTAGACAGAAATGTTATTATCAAGCATGTAGCATGCCCACTTACAATCATCAGCACCACTTTTATGAATTTTAAAAAATTACACTCACATGCATGCGTTGGCTTCCGTTTCATTCTAAGTACACTCTCGTATAGAAGCTTTTCGAAATTACATGATTTTTATAACACTTATAGAAAGACGGGTCTTTCTATAAATAGCCTCTTCAAATTTACAAGCTGTATATGGGTTACATATGTGTATATATTTCTTTTTTCTTTTTCTAAAAAAATTGTCTGCCACTGGTATCGGTGCGATTAAAAGAACTATTTCAATAGGCAAGATTTTGGGTACAAGTTATTCAAGAGTTAAGGAAAGGAGTAAAATTGAAAAAAGTTGAAGCCAATTTGGGTTCGTCGAAAAATACTAGCCGTGGTCGTGGAAAAGGAGCAGAATTTGAATTAACGCCGTATGAAATCTTGATGGATGACATTCGAGAAAGAAGATATCGTTTGAGAAAAACACCATCGCCAACTCCCCATTTGCGAAAGGATGCGCATGCCGTTATTCTCGAATTTATTCGCAGTAGACCTCCATTGAAAAAGGTAACGCTACTACGAAAGCAGTGCTTTATTTTATCTCTCAAATTTTTCTGCAAAAGTTATTGGACGGCGGTTAAGATTTCTGTACCCTTTAATAAAGTAATTTTACATAGGCTTCGGAGAGACAATTACCACCCCTTCAAAAAGAATGGACTCTACGGGAATTACTCATGGAAAGCATTAAAAAACCACCGAATTTAAGGTCTTCCCGCAATAGATACGTTCCTAAGAATGAAAGAACATCCCCCCAAAGTGGTAAGTTACACTATGTGCTCATTTGTTTCATAGCAATTTTTGCATGTCAAGTTGTTTTACAATATACCTTTATTCGTGTATGAATATTTAATAAATTCGTGAAAACCAACACATTAATTTTATACTTTGTGCACCAATAATTATAGTCTTTTATATGCATCAAGGAATCACTTCTGTATTTCTCTTGCTACTGACTCATGTGGTACCTCAATAAATCTTAGACACATTATAATTACAAATATAATTAACAGGCGTTTTATGTTTTTATCATTGTCTAAAAGTTTAATAATCTATTTTTAATACTAATATTAAGATTACAATATAAAGTTTAGAAGGTGTACTATAATTAGCAAAACTTCAAGAATGATATTAATATAGATTGAATGTAGTTTTCCTGGAAAAGAAATTTTCCGTATCAGTTTATCCATGTGTCTACATGTATGTACTTGAAATTGTTTACGGATCACCGGTGCATATACAGCCACGCGTTGCACACGTGCGATTGCATTTTTACATAAATATATTTAGCCAGGAGTATCCATGCGCAAAGATACACGGTCGCGCCCGCGCATAGACCCAGCAGATCCGTTCATCTTATTCAATATATTCTGGAGAGTAAAGCTTTGCCAGTTCCACACAGTGTGATCAGAACAGTGGTATCTGTGGCTTTATATTATCCCTAATAATAATAATAATATAATCATCATCATCATCACCATCATCATCATTATAATTTCCTTCTACTGCTCGTATCCCTAATATTTTCATACGAATAACTATTTGTATTAACGATCCTTTTTTGTGTATCAGTCAAACAGATGTAAAATGAAAAATCTACTAAATTTCAAGTAATATTAAAGAAGAAAATTTCGTGTACTCGTTTTATCATCTCTTGATTCTATATGACGTGACTAAGCCTTTTCATTACATATGTATATAAATGGAGGGTTGGTCCGAATGAATCATGATTTGCAACGATAGGCCGGCTTAAGAGCATCGCAAGCCCCGGAGCGTCAGCGATCAATAACCGAAAGCGCGGAAAGGGCGAGAGCTGACGTCGCCTGACGTCGTCATCGTGCAACGCTCTGTAGATCGCTGGCTGACTCTGCTCGTCGTGTGTCCGTTTCAATCTCTGCGTGCTTTCTTCTCGATTTTTGTCTCTCTCTCGTTTTAACAGAGGAGGGAACCTGCAACCGAAGCGTGAAATTCAATTGAGCTACGTTTAACGTGTACGAGTAAGTCAAGTGTATCAAGAGGAGGATAGGCACACTAACGAACACGTGTGCTTGATGTACAGTCATTACGCGTCGGAGTACGAGCATCGACGTGGACCACGGACTCGGGACGATGGAAAAAAGAGACAGATGAACGAGGAGAACAGCTTCGACGCTGGTAATCAAGTATTTCCAATTATTTTCAACGTGTACAAATCATCGATTAAATGGATCTCGTTTAATTGAAATGACCGAAGGTGATAAACATCTTGATTCATAGGCTGTGAGATTCTCAAGTCGGGCCAAAAGATTGAAGGGAAACCGACGGAACTCCTGACTTCCGGTTCGACTACGTGGTTGTTGCAAGTAAAACCACTGTAAAGAATTCTATTAAAATATGGTATGTCTAGTTTAAATGTCCACACATGAATCTTTTAAACTGTTGGAAATGAAAGTCATTGATTCTGAAAAGAAACATCTAACGTTGGACTTGGAATTTTAAGTGAAATATTTATAAACCGGACATACTGTATATATTAGAGAATAGAAGAAATTAGTTGAAAGGTGGAATAAGTAATGTTACCGACCGCAGGCGGTGAATCCCGCATGATAGTCCTTGGTGAAGTTCCACCGTCGCAGCCAGAGCAGGAACAGGAATCCGCGCAGGATGTGGCGGCACAATGGTTGCAAACAGAAGATCAAAGCAATCCTACGACTACAACAGTGGCCACAACTACTACAAGTGTGCCTCCTACCGCGAGTCGAACTAGAACAAATGTGCCACCGGTTCCGCAACCGAGGCAAAGAATCGCTAAGCCCGACATTAGGGTTCCAGGAAACAGGAATCGTAAGTCGCGTAGAAGGCGCATTACGGTCGCAGGTAATCATACCATTCATCTTTCTTCGGTCAACACGATGGGTAAACATGTACGAGTGAAATCTAGCGACGATGATCTTTCTTACAATGATGTTTTAGTTTATTTAATAATGAATATTGTTAGGGGAACTATTCATTTTCTTAATAGTATTATGCTGTTTGCAAAGTTTATGACCAGGTGAAATTTCACATTATATTTCAAACACATAACAGAGTTATGTTAAAAATATAATACAGACTAAATATTTAAATGTAAACATATATTTTTACAAACTCATTTATGTAATTTTAATGATTGCATTTCACGTCACGCGTACACAGGGAGCAGTTATGTATGTATTTAAGATTTACCGAGGTACCACAAACGTATGAGCGTTTTTTTTTTCTTTTTCTTTGTACTGAATTACAGACACATGTCATATTCACTGGTCATTAACATACATTTCACTATGTATCCATAATAGTAATTTGTATAATCTGAATTTATATCTGTAAATAAAATTTTGTAGATTACATTCAAAGTACTGGTGCCAAAGAAAATGAATCGCCTACAGGACCAAAACCTCCACGGAGGGAGGTGGATCACTCAAATTCTTCGACAAGCAGAAGAAAAATAATACCTGTGGATTTTGATTTAAAGGTAGACAGACATGGGATTCTGGGAGTATCAATTTTACTTTAGAAACTGATGGTAAGATCTCAGTGAATTGATTATCTTTATAATGGACAGCTCGATGCCGAAGACGAGGATGACGACGAAGATTACAATGATGAGCTAGCAGTAACGAGATTTGAAGAGGAGGACGAAACATCGCATTATTGGCAATTGAAAGAGGACTATTCGTTTGTAGATAGGGGTAGCGCTCGACATAGGCATAAAGATCACAGGGACGACGACGAAGCAGGTTCTGCAAATCCCTGGCGAAAAACGGGTGGGCTGCGACTTACGAGAAACGAGTATCATCGATTTTGCGATGCGCAACTCGAATGTAATTAGCAGCTACATAAAATTGGTCGTGTTCCTAACACTTTTCCTAATACTGATGAATCAATTGTATTTCGTAGCTTATGATCTCGCAACGCAGTGTCCATCTAGAAGAGCGTCAGCTCGAAAACACGCGGCTAGACGTAGTATAGCTCTGACAGCGCTAACGGGAACTACTTCTCTTCCTCATTCGAGACCGCAGAGTCGTCAACATATAGGTGTAACAGAGTCGACAGTGAGCCAGGGTCCGAGTCCTAATATCAGTTTAAATCCTAGTCCCAGTTTGAGTCCCCAGCCAAGAGCGAGACAACCTCGACGGTCACAAACCATTGCAGAAGGTACAAAAGATTCAGAAGATCAAAACGAAGACTGGCAAGATGACAAAGGACAGGTAAAACTGAAATTAAAAAATCAGGGTATATAAATGTAATTAATTGAAGGTAGAAATATCTGATCTAATATAAAACATATTTTGCTAGAAACCTACGTTAGGTGACATGTTCCTGGATGAAAGACTTTCCCTAACTCTTGAGGAAATTGTTCATATACGTAGTGTTCTTACCAAAGCCGAATTGGAATCTCTACCCGTTGAAGGTCGCGTGAAGGAAGATGTAGAGAAGAGACGGGTCTGTTTTCTTTGTTTAAAGACTAGATTCGGATTGTTAGGACCTTGGGGACAACGTTGTCGTTTGTGCGAAAGAACTGTCTGTGTAAAATGTTATTCGAAAGTAAGTTCTTCGCATGCTTCATGGGGGAATAACTAAAATATTAACTCTGTTTTAATTAATATTTAAATATTTCAGATGCGAATTCCTACGGAGCATTTCGCCCACGTTCCAGTAGTTTTACTATCACCTGGTCTTCTTCTTTCTCCATCATCCTCGGAACCGGATACTAGCAAAAGTTCATGGCTCAGAGGTAACGGGGCAGCTGGATCTGCACCGGCATCACCAGCCTCTAGACGCAAAGATTCGTCTCTGAAAAGCGCGACGCCATCATCAACGCCAACTACAACACCCGTTTTGATACTAACACCGACTTCTACACCGCCTTCGCACGCGCGTCGTGAAATGGAAAATCAAGAGAAAAGGTAATTAATGATCATTTGATGTTTATTTGCTATGGTAACGGTGGAGGGTAATATTTTGTATTTAAAAAATCACATAGAAGCTACAAAGGCAGTGGTAGTCCAGCGAATGTGTCATCACCAAAAGCATTCTCCGGTTTTACTCACCAAACCACAGAACAACGACTGGCTGCTGAACGATTACGTGGCGTATCTATGGTTGTCTGTCACGATTGTCGCATAATGGTTATACAAATAATTAAGAGTTCAAGAACCACACGGGCTACGATACGCAACAATGTTATATCACGACTTACTTTGAACCTCTCGCCAGCCTACGTTTAAATTCTTCAAAAACGAAGTTCCGCGCACGAGATTTCTATTTGGAAAAAAAAAAAAAAAATGAGGCATCTTGTTTTTAATTCTAATAATGGGTAAAATGCTGTTATGCCGATAAGTGAGGCACGTAGATTAGATCTATTCTCCTTGTACCAGTGTCTTCTTGTTCCCTGTATGCTATTAATCTTCTATAAATAGTTAGTATCTCTGAAACAACGAGCGAATCAAGTCGTACGAATTACGATTATGTATCCAAATGTATCGGTTCTAAAATTTAATAGCGACAGAGAATTATATATTATTATTTCAAACACATAGCAGATGATTTTAAAGGGAAATCTATTATTTTTTAGAAGAAAGAAAAAACTTTTCACTTGAAATTTAAAGATGATAAATGTTGGAAGTATAGTGTGCAAGAAAAATTAAATGAAAATGGAATTTAAAAGGAGAATCTAGTATGAAATTGGCACACAGTGGCATCTAATATAGTCTACGTACCTACTTACATTCAGGCTTATACTTAAGTAGATCGTTAATGCATGCAAATTTAAAAAATGATATGGTTAGAGTTAAGTGTTTCATTATGATGGCTAATGTTCCGTTTGGTCCTCAATGATGGTGAACTGTTTTTGCTTCCCAATTCAATAATTACTAATAATATTATCGTAATAATAAAAAGTGAATTAAACGAAGCGATTATATTATCAATGCGCTGTGTGCATTCTCAGTTCGTAAAAACTGAGAATTCTTGTTTAATCTGATTAATTTTTCTCAAATACCAATGTGTACATACATATATGTTCCCTTTGCTCCCGCATTGTTGTGAACCCCAAATCTAAGTAATATCGCATTTAACGTGAACTTTAGTTGAGGAAATTTATCATAAGCGAATCAATAAGTAAAAGTAAAAGTAAACATGTTAAGACATTAATCTATATGTATGTGCCAGAACATTCGTTTCCTCGTAACAATGACGAAATCAAGTTACGATAAATTATCCTATTAATGCGAATATTTCAAATGCACGATGGTAAATTAGCGTTCTATCATTATTTCATTTTCATCTATTCATATTAATGATTCTTTTCAGCTCTTGACATATTTACTTTTATTTGTAACTTTTACTAATAATCTAATCGAGATGAGAGGTACGCATACATAAGCACACATATATTTAACCAGTAAAAGAATCAATCAAACATTCTGATAACCCCGAAAAAGAAATTATCGCTTTTTGCGTCCGCCTGACATTAATTTATTTTAAGAGATGTATTTATTTCATACAGAGGGTCAAAGTCGGATGCACAATTATTGTATTATAAGCGTGTTCTAATCAAATTCGTTAATTTAAACTTTTGTATAATATTTGTGATATTATTTATTATTTTGTATGTCTAGTATTTATTGTAATTATTTATTTAATTCAATGGAATCACGAAAAAAATAATATTTCTTTATATTGTACATATACGTATATATATATATGTTGTGGGATTCATGCGAACGTGTGGTAAAATTTAATTTTGTGATAATATTATTGTTTGATGTATATCTTATTTATAATTTAGTGTTGTTATCGAATTCTAACAGGAATTCTTTGTTTTCTTTCGTATCTAATGTAATTTCAAATAAATTAATTGTATGGTAAAACAAATTGAGATATGAAGGAAATTGTATTTAAAAAGTGGCTCTTGTTACAGTCACGTTTATAGAGAAATTAGTACAATGAAGTGGCTGTTCGTTTGCACGGATTAGTGCTATTCAAAAGAAAATGTATGTACAAACGTTAACCAGTGAAGGTTCAAAGTACAAAAGAAAAATGCGAATTGCACTAACGATTAATGCTGGTACACGCTAGCACCGAATTGTATACATGACAGTAAAACTATAAAATTTGTTGGAATGTACATTGATAAACTCTATGAACGAGTGGATTATTTCAGTTAAGGATAAAGTTTATTTTTTTAGTCTCAGGTAGATTTTCAATGGTTTTCAGCCAAAAATCAAAATAACACTTTATAGTACCTCAAAACAATGTACAATGACAGATTTCTGAAGAAAACTATGTAATACAAAGCATTACAATACTTTATGCAGAAAAAAGGGAAACGTGAAATTCTATTTGTAGAATATTATTGTAATAAAACTAAACTAAAACTCCTAATAACAGAGTCACAATGGTATGATATTACAAGGGTAAGAGGATTTTATGTGATGACAATGAAGAACTTATTTATTATATTAATTTATCATTTTTTATGTGCAATATATATGTACGCCAATTAATAATTATTAAAACCTTTGTTTTTATGATGAAGTTGACCAAATATATATATTAAATTCCAAGTCATTGAAATTTTTACAAACCAAAGTTTATCATATCTTTTTATTTTTTATGGCAAGCATCAAAACACTTTATTTATAGAAAAGTCAAAATTATTAAAAGGAAAAATTTCAAGTTGATATTAATTATTTAGAGTCTTAAATCTTCAAATTTATTGCCTCAACTCTTACGCATGCTCCTGATTTCTTATTATCATTAAAGCGTCGTCTAGTTAATTCTACACTAAAATTAAAACAAACGGTTGAAATAATTGTATTATTTAAAAGGAATCGTCATTTCTGATTTAATACTATTTTATACCTTTAGTTTGTTCAAACAGAGAATATTTTCGTACATACATGTACATATATATTTTCAGCACGTTGCTTATTCTCGCAACACTCACGACCATCAAATTCGCACTTCATTCGTCACATTCACTGCGCATATCAAACAAATTTACACATTAAACGAATGATTTTATTTACATTTGAGCGATAAATACACAATAGTTCTTCTATCGAATCGCAGTAATACTGCGTATTCTTATCAATGATTTCAAAGAAACATATCAATATGAAAATTTATCAATACGTGTAAACGTGATTTCACGTATACCCCATCGAGATAAATGACGATGATGATGATGATGATGATGATAATGACATAACGTATCATACGCACATATGTAATAATCGTAATTGATGTATCAGCTACGCTTGCATAATAAAATTACATGATGGATCCCGATCTTTGAGGGTCTGTAAAATCATGATATTTTTCATAAAAATATACTTAAAAAATGAATGTCTGAAATGCAAATTATATACAATTAATGTAATGCCAGCCGTTAAACTTATATTACTTTTATGTGTTTTTATACCTCATTCACGATGTTTAATTTCCACGCAAACACAAAGCAAATAACGTATCTAATGCTATTCTAGAAAACTGTTCATAACAAAGTGAGAGATAAAGCTAAAATATTTAAATTTTACATTTTAGTATCTAATCAGATTTTTCGATTGCAATAATCGTAGATAAATAATATTACTCATCAATATTCATCTCAAACAACATTCCTGTACAAGATGGTCTATCATAATAATGTGGAAAATCTGTTCTAATGCTTAAAAATGATGTACTTAAGAAAAAAATATTATGAGAGAGCATGTAAGAATGATTTCCTGATATTTGCAATAAGTTTGAGATCAGCATGTACAGGAATCTATTCTATATAATAAGAATAAACTTAAACTTCTGTCAATAAATAAATAGTAAAGTTGCATATTGAAGAATGTGATGTTTACTGGAAGACAGTATTAGAGTCTGACTGCAAAATTTATTTTTATTTCTTCAATAAGAATTACAAGAATACAGTTGTAATATTTCGATTATTAAAAATGATCAAAGTATTACTTCTTTTTTAAAAATCATTCATAAAAATATTTTAAAAGATTATTTTCCTCAAAATTAAATTCTATAAAAATCTGATTAAAGAATGTCCATCATTATAAAACAAATACAATAATATATCACGAAGCTTAAAATCATTTTTATGTAAAAGCAAACGTAAGTTAATACTGAAGAAAAATCACAGCAAAAATGAAGATTAAAAAATTTAGAAATGATTGCAACTGTATCCATTAATTCTTTCAATTACGTAAATCACCGCTTATACTAAAGTGCTGAACAACAAATTCGGCTGGTAGCTGAAAATATAATCTTAACTATCTTAAAATTCGTTCAACATGTTTGAATAAAAATTCAAAGAAAATATAAAAATTTCCAGTTGTTGTTGCTACGTTTCCGTAATTTAATACTCAGCACTCTGGTTAATACGGTTTTTCTAATTTATACAGAAACAATCATTAAACAATGATTAACGTATCAGACAAGTAGCACAAATACGTTGAGGCCCGATACAGTCATCATGACAAAACGCGCCGCATTGGCGACATATTACCATAGCACCTCGCATATTGCATTCACATGGAGGTGGTGGATCGCCACCCATTATCATACCAGGAGCTCCAGGTTCGGCACCACCTCCTCCTCTACCATCGGTACCCCTTGCTTTCAATGTTACGGCTTGGTGCGAACCCTCTCCCGCGCTGGCTGGTCTGCCACGTACCAAATGCACTCCAACACCCATCCCTGCTATTTGTGGAGGTAGAGGTGGAGCAGAGGATGCTCTTGGCGCGCTATCTCCAACACCTGTCCTTTGTACAAGTATATATTGCCCTAATCCGCTTGTTGCCGTGGATCCTAATTGTGCTACAGTATTGCTTTCTGGAACCTAAAAATGTAGTGCAGTAGTATCACTAATTATGAAAGAATTTGTGTTCACTTTTATATAATACAAAACCATGATTTTTTTTTTCCATTGAAGATTAAATTGCTACACTTGTAATGCAGAGTACATGATAATTGCATTTAATTATAATACATTCAAATATGTTATCAGTATGTCTTTTGTTCATTTTGTTTTAAAACAAGAATTATTGAGAATGTATAATGGATCACTTAAATATTACTTTTATTCAATTACTTATTATAACAATACTCGCTTTTATTACTATTAGAAACTCAAAACTAGTAATAAGATTTATTTATTTAGGTACCTGTATGATACAGTGATCATCACAAGCCAACCGCAAGATTAGCACTGTACACACAGAAAAATATAAAATAATACATGATATAAGTTTGAGTTTCTATTTTATATGAGCATTTCAAACATAGGTGGCAAGATTAAATAAATAGAGATAAACATCTTTATGTTTTTCTGAAATATTATTTTACTACAGACTTTATCTTTACTTCGTTCTTTGAAACTGTAGAAAAACTTTCCAATACTTTTTTAGTTTAACAGTCTTATAAGCACTCATTTACTTATATCTACTTAATATGTAAATAACAATTTCTTTTTATTTATTATATATATATATGATATTCTATTTGAAAGTTTATTACTTAATACTTTCTGATTGGTATAGTCAGTAATCGGATAAAATAAAACGAACTACGCACCCTTATCTTAGCACGAAAATGGAAGAAACAAAACATAAGCAAATACAGTGTAATATTTCGAAGAAATATACCTCTGCTGACGTAGCTTGACGTGCTGTTGCAAACACATGTCTCAGCATAACTGCCTGTGTTTTATTTTGAGCTTGTTTGTTTTGTATTGTTTGTGATGGTTTTTGAGTTTTGACGGTCGTAATTGTACGGCCACCAGATTTATTAGTAGTGAATGCGCCATCACCTCTGGCAAGTAAACTAGGTGGAGGTTTTAAATGAGCTTTCAATTGATCTCTATTTGGTGAACTTTGTATAACCTGTAATTTAAAAAAAGAAGTTGCAATTTTTTATCTCCAACATTTCAAGTTATAACAAATTATTATCAAAATTAAATACAGTATAATTAGAGGTATTTTATATTACCGCTTGACATATTTGATAGCTGCGCTCCAAATTTACAGCTCCAGGTGGTTCTTTTGTACTACTACGAGATCTACCTCCTCCTTGTTCTTTATTACTACTTCTAGAACCTCTCTGACTACCTTGATTACTGGAGCGGGAAGATCTCGAGGACACCGCGACTGTTGCTCCAGGATACTGTTGTTGTTGTTGTTGTTGTTGTTGTATAGTTGCTACAACTTGTCGTGGTTGTGTAGAAGCTGACGTTTGGTGCTGAATAACGATAGTATTTTGTGCGCGACTCTGAGGTTGTACACCAATTGCCGCCGTTACGGTGTTCGAAACTTGATTCTGTGTTACGTTGTTCCGAATATTCCGTGTATTATTAGTTTGAGCATTTAATTGGACGATTTCCTCTTGCGTTCTCATTATATTCACTTGCGAGCTCGTGTTCTGTTGATTTTGAATCTGAGCCGTAATCGGAGATGTGCTGTTCAAAGTTGGGGTAGTATTTTGATCAGAATGAAAACTGGTTTGCACGAATCTTATCGATTGCAATTGTGGAAAAGCAATAATAGGAGAACTCTGAGACTGAAAGTTTTTCATTATACAACTCGTGCCTGGTGTGCCAATTGCAAGACCTTCGGACTGAAATGGAGTTCCTTGAACAACTGGTAACTGAATACAATTCATTGATTCTACGTTAGAATCCGCATTGATAAACTGTTGAGGTGGATTTGTCGAGTCGGTTGATGTTGGTGCATCATTGCATTCATCTTGAGTAGTTACCGTAATGTTAGCAGCTACAGATCCGTCAAGAGCTGCTGCTACTAACGGCCATGGAACTTGAAGTTCTTCTTGCGTCTTTATAAAATAAAGTACAATTCATTAGAAAAAATCATGTTTTTCATAATATAAATATTTACCATCTGTATACTCACCCTGTTATTATTACTAATATTATTAACTGTGGGATCTACTGGCCAACTACATTCCAACATTTCAGAACAAACATAATTATTAGCCTCTCTAAGAGCTTCATCTTCATTTCCATTATTTACATCTTGCTGATCTCTAGGAGCTTCTGACGGTCCTGAAACCACTTGTGTTTCAGTTTCTTCTGCACTGTTTGATCCCATTTCCATTCCATCAAGTATAGGGTACATTATTTCTTCGGGACATCCTGAAATTTCTTCGTATGCTTCACGCATTTCTCCTCTTACCTGAAATAAATACACATTATTCAAAGATATTTACTAACTTTATGACTACTATGTTATAAATAGTATATCGTATTGTCACCTCCAATTCATGGATACGTTGTAATGTTTCACTGTCGATCTCCATTCCTTCGGGAATTTGTGATTCACCGTCTGCTGGGTTCTCGTGAGTAATTTGAGTTGTTTCACTTTGATTATTATTGATTAAGGTAGAATCTTCCATCACAATTTCTGTTGGCCTAACTTGCTCGTGCGGTGGTGAAGTTTCGAGCATAGTTGTGGTTTCACAGTCGGACATAGGGTAAATTTGTTCTTCCGATATTTGAGATATTTGTTCTTTTGATATTTGAGGTACTTGATCAACCGAAGACTGAGGTGTGCATTCTACCGATAATTGAGACGATGTTTCTCTAGATGTATGAGATATTTGTTCCATTTGTTCACTAGATCTTGGCGAAGTAGTTTCTTCGGGTAAAAGCATCGTATCTTCTTCTGATACTTCAAGAAGGTGATTCTCCATTGGTTGAAGGCTCTTTTCACTTTGAGGTAAATGAATTTCGTCGTCATACGTGTTTGAAACTTTTTCTTGGCAAACTTGTGTTACTGCTTCCTTTTCTTCGATCGTATCTTGCTTTTCTGTTAGATTAATAACCTTATCATCTTCTTCTAACTTATCTTGATGCATTTCAGCGTCTGCTATTGTTTCTACAGAACTTATGTTTACAGATTCTATATGCTTTTCATCAATTGATGCATGCGTTGCTTCGTTATAATGTGCTGGTAACAATTCTGGTATACCTGTTGTATCATTCAATTCATCTGAATTATTTATACCTGTTTCAACTTTACAGTTATCTTCTTCAATTTTATCTTCAGATATAATAACAGGGCAAGGAGCATCCAATACAGGTGTATCTACATTAGATTCTAAACGAAGTCTTAAACTTGAACGTGTTACCGCTCCTCCAGATCTTGATTCCAAAATACAATGAAGACCTGATCGAAATTTAGGTTCACGTTTTTCACCCCATATAGGTTCAAAATGTTTCACTTTCCAGGGATCTAACTTATTCTTATCTCTCTCAGCTTCCATCTTCAATCGTTGTTGATTTTCTGGAGTAAACTCTCCCTCTGCTAAACGCTTACGCCATTCTAAACAAGCTCTTGCAAAGAATTCATTATTCAGTCCAGATATAGCAGCATCCTAATGACGATATAAAAATTATGATTTAAGATTTTAAAACATATAATACCATAGTATATCTTTAACATTACCTGTCTATCTACTGCTGGTAAAAGCTGTGCAAGTTTTCTTTGATACAGAGGTGGTAAACCTTGAAAAGTATGCCTATTTAAAAGAGCACGTAAGCTTGTACTTGCTAGAATACTTGCTGGAGACTCAAGATCTACAAGACCAGCCTCTAATTGTGCAGTTGCTGACAACCTTTTAGTTGATCGTCTACGTCCAGGTTTTAAACTAAATCCTGGCAAACTTGCTAAAACTTCCCTCATTGTGGCAGCAGGCTCTTCAGTTGCTATGTTTCATGGTAAATTAAAATATAACAATAAACAAATTAAAACATGTTAAAAGCGAATGAATATGTTTTTTTTTTTTAATAATATGAACTTTATGTTAACAGAAACATTACACTTACTAGTGTTAATATGCTGTACATTATTGACTGGAGACGGTGGATCATTTGGTGGAGGTGGAGGTAATGGTTTAACAACAATTCTTGGAAGAGTACGAGAATTACCAGCTGCAATAGTTGTATTTTTCCTACGCCTCTTGGCCTGCTGTCGTAATGCATGTTTGATAACTTTTTTACTGTGCACCATGCTAGAATAGCCAGAACAACCTGGACTAGTTTCACACCCTTCACCTTTGGCAAGTTCTACATCTGTGTCCATGACAGTACCTATACTGCGAACATCGTTGATCGAAATGCCGGCAAATCGAATGTGAACCCACGATATTAATGCGTTCACTCAAACATGAGTTTTATGTATTTTATTTCATATTGTCACGAAAGATTCCAAAACAGCTTACTCCAACTTGAGAAATAAACATTCTTTAATAATAGCACCTAAGTGACATTTTGATAGAATTAAAAAACTTAAACGATATGTATCGTAGCTTTCAATCCATATCGTTCAAAGAACTGTTTACATACGAAATTCGAATAAATTTCTGAACTTCACTGTATTTTAATCCATTGGCAAAATGCCATTCGGAAACACTCGCAACGTTCCGCTTCTATCGGCCATATTGTATTTACATATTTATACCATGAAAGCGCCATCTCATAGAGTGCTTTCTAGTTTGATACAAATACTATTTTCATTAAATTCGATATAACAGTTTGTATTATGAATATTCTTTATTATAAACTAAGTTCCCAAAAGAGTTTATACAAACTAATTCAAAATAATAACAAAACTATATTATGTAGACTACAATGTAACAATGTTTGATATACATGATATACAGTAAAGTATAAAGCATATTTTCATAAAATAATAATAAAATCAAGTAGAAGCAATATAAATATTGTGTTAAAAAAAATACTTTGCTCTCTACTTATAGATTATATATAGATAAACATATATCATCCACTGTCCACTATTGTAAAGCCAATAAGAAAACAGTATTTCAAATCGTAATGATGGAACACTAGTTTTTTGATTGGATAATACAAGGTGTTTAAATAAAAATTGTGTGCATTGTATCAATAAAATATCAACATATTCAATAATTGCATTTAGTTTGCTACATATACATATATACAGTTATGTTTACTGAATGTTTAAATTTATTGAAAATACAAAAATCATGTCTACAATTTTTAGCGCTTGTTTCAACTCTACTATTCCAAAGGTCATAAAAACTATCAATACGTATTGGATACGCACGAACCTTTTAAATAAAATATTTTTTTATTCTTTTTGATATAGAATATTCTTGATCATTTTTGATACAGGTTATTTTAAAAACAAAACAATTATCGTATGTAAAAAATTCTCGTGCAAAATTGACTTAAGGATTTTTTCTTATAATTGCCATTCTACATTTCCCGCCAACATGGCAAATATGGCGGAGCTCGTGTCGTTTCCCGCCAAGCCTTTCGCGGAGCTCTCCTATGGCGCATCTCGGTTGTATTGCGATATAAATTAATTGTGTTTTCTTACGGTTTTTTCAAGTTTTCCGACGAAAATGGGGCAGTCGGACGACGTTGAAGATTCTACATATAGTAGACATCAAGATTTGTGTCAGAAATTAAATATGGATGCAACTGCTGCAGCCGAAGCCTGGAAATCTTACGAAACAATCAGACAAAATTATACTCTGGAGGTAGTTTTCAAACCATTTATCATTGTAACTGTTCCAAATTGTATTGTAATCTTTAAATTAAACAATACTATTTCTCATTACTTTGATGATAAATTACAAATGTATTACTTTTCGTTTTATTTACGATGTATGAATTGATTGACTTATCTGATCAACGTTTAACATTGTTAAATTCGCGGTTTATTTTGTTCAAACGATTAAAGCGCACCAATTTAAAATAATAAGAAAGTCTGTTAATTGGGCACTTTAGTTCCAAAATGCATGAGAAACGTTTCTATGTATTAAAAGCAAATTTATAGAAAACAATGATCTACACCTGCCATTATTTGTACCTTGATTATTTATGCTTATAGTTCCAAGTGTTACAAATTTCACACTTTGTTTTCTTTATCAAAGTCTTGCAGTATACTTTAATTTCTTTTCCTCTGATTTATGAAAATATTTATAGAATGTTTACCTCTGTAATTTGTAAATATAATGTATGTACAAATACATGTAGTAACATGTCTATAAATTCTAATATTTGTTTTTTAGGGTGATCAGTTGCATTGGATAGGTTGTGCATTGTATGTAGCATGCCGTAAGTCTTCTATACCTACTGTTGGAAAGACTGGTACTAATGTGGAAGGCAATTGTGTGTCATTAACACGATTGTTACAATTGTGTAATCTTCCATTGATACAATTCTTTACCAAAAGTAAGTCTTGGGCTGACATGGCCAATATGCCACAAGATTTTCGCTCAAAGATAGAAAAACTTGAAGGAAACTTTGCTGTTTCTATGGTTATATTTAAAAAGTATCAGCCGATCTTTACTGATGTATTCAAAGATCCAGTGGATGATATCTCACGACCACATAGATCTAGACGGCATAAAGCTATACCTTGTACTCCTGCCAGAGTATTTGAATTTTGTTGGACATTATTTATTTGTATAAAGGGAGCATTTCCAGATATTTCAGATGATTTAGTAAATTCTTATCATCTTCTTTTGGCCTGCTGTGATCTTATATATAGCAATGCTTTGTTGGCTAATAGAAAAGATCTTTTAAATCCTAATTTTCCTGGTAAATATACCTACTCATTATTTGTTATCTTATGCTAAACAAGACAGTCCTTTTTATTCATATATGTATTAACAGGTTTACCAGCAAACTTTAATGATGACAATTACACTCCACCTCAAACAGCAAATTGTATAATTACTCTGTTATGTGAGCGCCATGAAGCTATTGCAGTTGAAGCTAAAGTCATTAAGGAGTATTATTTGAGGAATCATATTAATAAACTGTTTAATGACAGAGTCTTGCGTGGTGACCAGTCAAATTTTTCTGGTATTCTAGAAGCTTTGAATTTTGATGGCAACAGCAAAGCTATTAACAAAGTATATGAACAACATGTACTAAGTGTTGGAGATTTTGATGAAAGAATTTTTTTAGGTAACTTACTTTGATATTAATTTATATTTCTATAAGATGTCTAGTTTTTAGTCTTGCTTATTATTATGGGATATAATGCTTGTGAATAAAATCAAATAATGCTACAAGTAATGTGCTTCTATGCTTATTTTTATTTTCATTCTGTTGTGCTGCTTCATCTTGCTTTTGAACTGTAAATTTTTGTATGCCATGCATAACTTCATAGTGTTTGCAGTCATTGTTTATTATGTATGCATTATTTAATCAACATGAAAGTTATAGTGTATGTATAAATTTAAAATCTGTATCACCCCATAGGTTCATCTTACTATTTACAAGGAAATAACTACAAATTCTAGATATTATATATAGCTACAAATAGAAAATTGTATTGTTTATTTATATATATGTAATTTTCAAGGTTATCTTATAGATTTGCTTATGTTTTTCTATTTGCATTTTTTTTGTTTTTTTAATAAAAGAAAAAATTATCTAATCATTTTTGTCCTGTAATCTTTTATCTTATTCGTTATCATTTGATCTTTGTTATTTTTGTCATAATCTTTTGTCTTGTTATAATTTTCATTTCTTGCTGTTAACCAATTTGGGTTTGCTTTGTCTTGGCTGTAATTTACAGCTGACTGGAGACGAGTCAGATTAAATGGAATATCAAGTTTGGAAATAGTAGGAGGAAATATAGCTTGTCATGTTAAATTATCAAAACATATTTCCATAAAAGGTAGGTTCATAATGCACAAAAGGCTTAACTGAATGCAATTCATATTTAAATTCTTTATGGATTCTTTAGATTAATTGTACTTTACTAGTATTAGAGTACCACTATGTATCATATATGATTTCAATTTGTTTTAGGTAATGATGCTAGTAACAATATAGGTTCTCCTACACAAATGATGAATGTTGGTGATCTTCAGGAACAATTTCAAATAAAAAGAGAACAATATAGTGGCGTAAGTATTGACAAAACTATACAGGTAAATTATATTTGTAAACTTTAAAATTCTAATCAAATTTTTGTAAAAACTTTCACAGCAAATACAACATTTAGCTCCACCTACTCCATTAACGGGTCGTAATTACCTTAAGTCAAAAGATATTACCAACGTGACACCAGTATCTACTGCAACACAAAGCGTAATTCGACTTCAAGCCATGTTAGCAGGCCAAACATCACCAAGTGAAAACTTGTTGCAAATTTTAAACAGCTGTTCTCAAGATGCAAAGACGCTTGTTGAATCAAAGGTGAAAGAAATTGGAGAACAGTTTTGTGCTAACTACAACAAAAGTACAAATGTCAATGACACTACTTCAGATTTTGGAAAGAAAAGACTTTACTTAGGACAAACCCTTTTCTACAGACTGTTGGAAAAAATTTTAAATGATGAAAAACGCAAGAAACCAAATTATGACGTGACGGTAGGTTAATCAATTGATTAAGAACTAAGCAAAACAAATTGATTTATTTATTTGATTTGATCTACTGAATTTTTACTTATTTCATTTATTATAGAATCTTCTTATGAACGAGGTCTTCATTCAGTGTTTATTCGCCTGTTGTTTAGAGATCGTCATTTATTCATATAAAAGTAATGACAAAATTTTCCCGTGGATTTTAAATGCTTTGAATTTAGACGCCTACTATTTCTATAAAGTCATAGAAATTATAGTCAGAGCAGAAGATCAGTTATCTCGCGACGTTGTAAAACATTTAAATCAAATAGAAGAAAAAATTTTGGAATCCCTTGCATGGAAAAATGACAGTCCATTATGGGGTGCTATTCAATCCACACCAGAAGGTGTACCAAGCTGCGAAGAAGTTTCTTTACCTGGTACATTAGAAACTGTTGACCCAAATATTCCTGGTCAACCAGTGTTAAGAAGAATTGCTTTGGATCGTGGCACTCACCATGACGTACAACAAAGTCCTATTTCGTCCGCCTCAGAAAGATTTCAGTCTCCCGTTGCAGCATCCGGCGTAGCTAAGAAACGTCTCTTTCCTGATACCAGAATCAGTGGACAGAGCGTATTGCGAGTAGCGGGGCAAAACGTTTTACCGTCAAAAGTTTTAATTGACGGTAATTCAAGAATCCTTCTATTACCTGAACTCACGGTTCCAAGATCGTCTGGTGTGCAAGCTACTAGCACACCGATGCAAACTGTAACGGTCAACAGGGAACCAGTGAAACCAAAACGAACTGGTTCCGTTGCATTGTTCTTTAGGAAATTTTATAATCTCGCAAGTGTACGCATGTTAGATTTATGTGGTTCGTTAGAAATAATGGATATTGATTTAAAGAAAAAAATATGGACCATCTTCGAGTATTCCATCAAGGAACGAACGGAATTAATGAAAGATCGGCATCTTGATCAAATTTTAATGTGTGCAATTTATGTGATATGCAAATTAGCAAAAATGGAGAAAAATTCATTCACCGAAATCATGCGGTGTTACCGATTACAACCACAAGCAGAGTCTCACATCTATAGATCGGTACTTATAGCTAAAACATCGACGGACGAGTCACAAAAAACTAGCGAAGAAAGCGGACAGAAAGATGTACCAGATAAAGAGCCTAATGTTGCACCTCCTACGCCTACGAACATGGCAGGAACTTCACAAAACTTCGGTGAAGAAACACGCGGCGATCTAATTAAATTCTATAACACAGTATACGTACCACAAGTTAAAGAGATGGCCAATAAGTTGGGACTGGCTCGTGGCAGCGTGACAAATCTCTCATTAAGTCCATTACCAAAGGGAAAACCTCCTGCGAGTTCTCCTGTAAGACGTGTCACCAGTAGCATCATGACACGTACATTAGATCCAAAAGCTATTTCAGCTTCTCCAGCGCCACAGCTTAGTTATTGCTTTAGTCGTAGTCCTGCTAAGGTAAATTAAATAGCTATAAAAATTCTTCTTTCATTTTTAATGTAGCAATATACATGATTCAGTATTTTCCTTTTGTTTACAGGATTTAGAGGCTATTAATAAAATGATGATTTCTGTCGATCCAAAACGATCCGTTGGAAAACGACTCTTAACTGATGACACTGATGTGGAAATGTCAGAGGCGACGTCTCCTATTAAAAAAACAACTGCTTTTGTTGCTCGCAGATTGGAAAATATAATTGGGGAAAGACGTACGCAGAACCAATAAGAAATACAATGGATTGTTAAATAGGTTATTGAGAACTGAATTATACATAGGTAACGGAAGAAGAATCTTCAGGAGACATTTTCGTTTTTATTGAATAAAAATTGATCGATATCAACAAGTAGGAAGAGCCGTTTTGAAGTCGAATATCTGTTTCTTGGCTGTGTAGCTTAAAATAAATGAAATGTTCGCTTCTCAGGTATGATCATGTTAGAAACAGAGAAAAGGCCCGTATAATACCTGATCGTATATATAAAGATACGATATTGTTATATTAAGTGAAGTCAGAATTTTATTTCCAGTGTTCCCTTATAGTTTTCGATCAGTTAAATCAAGACTAGGTATTTTAATGCATTTTGGAGAGAATTCCAAAATATTGAGAAAATATTATTATAGAATAGATGTAGAATATACTGGGCATTTTCTTAGTCTTCCTTTCTTAAATATCATTTCATTTTAAACATTAATTTTATATTCATTACTACACGTTAACACAAATTTTTAATAACTTTACAAAAAATAATTTTAAAGTTGCTTTAAATTTGGTTACAAATATTACGTTATAATTAATGTTAAGGATGTTCATTAAATGTTTATATTTCACTGGAAATGATTCTGGCTTTTATTGGTATCACAAATCAGCGGTATTTTGATAGAGCTATGTATGTACTCTCTTCAAAATTATATACTTATATAACTTATACATATGTATGATGAATTTATAAGAGGTACGGCCATAGATGGTAAAAGAATATTATTTTACCGGTAGATTTAAGCATGCTGTAAAGGCAATGAATGCTGGACGCATGCAGATACAATTTGGGTGATATTTAATTAAAGTTATTAGGCTTAAGTTTCAATTTACAAAATTTCAACGTTTAATCAATGTATTCTTTTGGTCTTGAATGTAATAAGTTATTCGCGTTTCTCGATCCCGGCCTCACGTGTATGCGTGTACTAGATTTAAGTGTTTTTCTTGTTTTTTTTTTTTTTTCAAATTTGACTTTTGATCTCATTAATCTGTCTTTTATTACCAAACAATACATATAAATTACAAATATTATTATTAAGATTAGAATGACATTGAAATGACTTAGAACCGGAAAGTTCTTGTTTCTTCGAAAAATATACAATATGAAACAAGTAAACATAAATTCTTTCGAATGAAAGTTGTAGCAAAATTATACAAAACTTACAACTTTATCGTTTACGTACTGGTTTTTTGAAATAACGTATTTGTAAGGTTTTCAGAACAGAAAAATAATTTCGATGAGGAAGAGATACTATTTCTCATTGCGCAATTACGGCAGTTCCTCTAACGATTTTTTTTTTCTTAGACAAAATAAAAGTGTAAAGAGTTTTATTGGCATATAATAATTATTAAATAGTTTATTTGTATATAGTATTGTAATTCGAAAGTAAATCAAAACAAATGAAATTCGGAAATTTATATTTTATACAATGAAGATAATACATGTCGAATGCATTGAAGAACCTATGAATCTTTTATTTTACATTTTGTTCATGAATTTGTACTATATTATTGCATTACTTATGTAGTCAAATTTATATTTGAAGAATTCACAGGTTAAGAAACCTAAACATTTTATAACTTCTCTAGCCCAATCAAACTCTCCAAGTATTGAATTCAATTGAAATTCATTTTGATCGTAAGTAGAATATAATGTAGGAGTTTGAAGTTGTTTAAGTTTTTAGAATGATAACAGGTTTTTATTCATTCAATTCATTTGTTGAATATATGAACGTAAATAGTATTAATAAACTGTATGCAGTGTGAAACAGAAATATGAAAAAAGCAAATAACCTCAAAATACTCTTTGCAAGTGTTTTGAGTAGAACATTACTATATTAAGAAAGACATTATGCTAACATATTTATATAAAAAGTACGATGTATTGTTTTGTTAAAATGTCAAATGTACGAATATTTGTTGTAAAACAAATATTGAGACAATTTGGTACTAGTAATACAAATCTCAGTATCTCAAGACAAAGTAGATACATAAACAAATTCATAAAGCAAGGCCAATCATCAAGAAGGTAAACACAATATTATACATTTTTAAATTATACAAATAAAAAAATGTTATTCATTAATTTGTAGAGATCCACTTGATTTTTCAAACCCTTTTGTTTTTGGACCATCAAAAACAAAGGTTTCAGCACATGTACAGCGAAGAGTAAATGTTTTAAATACAGTTTTTATGAAATATGTCACAGATTTATTGTCAACAGGAGAAATTGAACCTGAACTTCTGAACAGAGGCATAGAAATTTCTCATGTAGATATAACTAAAGATTTTAAGCATCTCAATATATTTTGGATAGACAATAATGTTAATACTAAGTCTGATACAACAGAATTATTAAATAAGTGTGCATATAAATTAAGACATGAATTATCTCAGCTTAAGGTCATTGGCTGTGTACCTCCTGTACACTTTGTAAAGTGCAAGGGTATTAGTCAATTAAAAGAGGTAGAAGAAAAATTAAAAACTTTGGATTTTGGAGAAGATCATGTACCTAGTTTATATTCAAATGCTATAAATTGCACTGTTATATCTAAAACCTCCCTCAGTGAAGAGAAAGAAGTGAGCAAAAATGAAAACTCAGAAAATGTAGACAATGTTTTTAGTGTAACTTTGCCAAAGATGAGACATGATGTATTTGAATTGGATCACTTTAGAATTATGTCAAAGGTATGTGATGTAAATGAGGTAAAATCAATAATTATAATATGATTTCTTTTTTCACAGATCAAATCTTCATTGAATAAATCAAGAGATACTTTAAGAAAACAACAAACAAATGTACAGTATCCTTCAACATCTCTTTCCAAACTAGATTATGAAAAAAATTCAAACATGTTAACTACAGAAGATCAGCAAGAATTCTCTAAATTTTTAATTCAACGACGAAAGGAACGAAAATACAAAAATAAAATGAAATATTGTAATGAAACTCTCATTGATAATGTTCCTGAAGAAAAAGATGATGATGATTATGACGATGAAGATTGGAGCATTGATCAAGACTTTAATGAAGATGATACTGATAACATGAATGACAATTATTATGAAGATCATATTAATAGAGAATTTAAAGACAAACATTAAATGTCAACAAGGAATTAATATTGCAGAATACTTTTTCCCTTTGATACAAACGCAAAAGACTGGTATCAATAACATTTATTTCTACATTCAATTTTGTTTTATGTTACAACTGTACATAATGTACAATTCAATTTTTCTTCATTGAATTTACAACATGATTTATGTGCAATATTAATGTCAATTATTGATCCCATTGGTTCAATTTCCTTTGATGTTGCTAGAATTTCTTCATGATCGCAAAATATTTATAACTGTTTCAAAAAGGTTTGTATAAATTAATAATTAAATATATGGACTCGTGCCAATCACTTCCTTCCAAATTTATTTTAAAATATTTATATTATTTTAGAATAAATCGGATTTTATAAAATTTTCATATATCAACTAATACTTGAAAAAGAAGACGCTGGATTTAAATAAATCTGAACTAAGGGTTAACTGCTATTGTTTCTGAAACAATTTAAGCAGTAAAACAAGAACTAACAAGATATAATATAAATTAGAAATTAAATTATAGCGTAACATTAATCAATGTTTGGTATCTTGCATTACATTTACCTAGTCTAGATCATATGACTCATACAGTTCATTTAACTGTCAGTGTAAATAAAAAAGATATGTAACATGAGAATGGTACATTAAACTTCAACTAGATCGTGACTGTGATGCATTCAATTCTTGCTCTTGCACAGCTTTTGTATCAACTTCTTCATCTGTTAAAATAAGGTCAATTTGTTGTTCATTTGCAGGTTTGATGTTTGAACGAATGTTTAATGCTGTTAAATGGGGTATCGAATCACTTAAATTACATGCTTCCAATACATATTTATTAAAAATTTCACTTTTATCAGCATAAACATGATGACCTGCTCCTGTTATTGCCTGCAATCATTAAAATGACATAATTGAAATGCTTTAAAATTTGTTATGCCAATTTCTTAATTTTTATTTTTTTTTCACCTGAACATTAATGTAACATGATGATCTAGCCTGTTTTAATGTTTCCCAAGATGAATTATCAACCCATGATCGGCTACCGTACAAGAGAGTTATGGGAATATCTGGATTCAATTGATCTATTCTTCTCACAATAGGATTTTTGGCCCAGCCAAAATGTTGCATCATTGCATGGAATGCACTTTCGCCTCTGTTTGTTAAACGTATCATTTAAATTCATTTTCAAATTCTGTACATAAAAATATGAAATACTTACGATGGTGTCTGGGCATTGCACTGATGCAAATATTGAGAAATTATAGTAGTATCATCTTTTAAAACAGGTACAAATTTCTTTACTATATCAGGTCTCGTTTTTTCTATTAACCACTGTCCTAAAGAAAATAATAGTTTAATTACAGGATAAAATGGCTCGTTAAGTAATATAAGAAAATGTATTGCAAAAGAAACTAACCAAATGGTCCAGCTACTCTAACTGGCCATAATGGATTTAATGGTTCCACCATATATGCTATAACTTTTATCCACATGGGTACTCTTGAAATTCGTTCTATAGGTCTTTCAGGAAAACCCCAAGGGTCAGCCAGAATAAGATGCTTAATCCTTTCAGGATGTTGTATAGTATATGATGCTGCAAGGAAGCCACCCATTGAATGACCCAGTAGTACAAATTTTTCTAACTGCATTTCTCTTCTCCATTCTTCAATGGAACGGACTAGTTGATTTTCAGCTTCTTGTGCTTCATTGCTAAAAATTGGCCGACTACTTCTGCCAAAGCCTAAGTCATAAAAACGAAAAAATGAATGATCACAAAATGAATAATTTGGGCATAAAAAATAAAAATCTTATGAACAAGGTATTAAGCACTTTAACAGTAAATTATAAACATTTAAAAATATGCAATATCATAGTGTAAATTGTATTTGATTCCAAAGTTCAATCTTACTCATTTATGAGTCATACAAGATAATTGTACTCAAGAACAAAGCATATCTCCAAGTACAACCTACATTATGTTACATACAAATATATATACATGAAATGTTTTTAAGTAATACTGGTATATTGATAATATATGTTATTCACTGTAAAATTTGAAAACAAAATTTTATTCTTAACATGCTTACCTAATACATCAATAGCATATACTGGTCTTTGAGAAGCCAAAGCATCAAGGTTTAAACACCACAGTGCTACACCTGCTCCTAAACCATGTAACAAAACAATTGGAGTTTTTGGTGACTCCTCATTTAGAGAAATAGTCCATATCTTATCTGATGATCCTACAACTGGTCCTATGTCTACATACCATCCCCTGTATGTAGTTTTCAAACCTGTTTTAAAAATATACTCAAGTTATATCATTCTAAATGTAAAACTGCTTAAAAAACAAATAGCTTACAGGAAAGGATCTTTTTCTCTGCAGTACGTAACATGGTAGAAGATGAGCCAGACCAGCTAAACCATCCCCAAAACCAACTAATAAAAAACGAAAATTATTTATTAATGATGTTATAAAAATTAGCAATCAAATAATTAGTAAATACACTCATAGATTGTGTAATTCTAATGATATATTAATCTGTATCATTTTATAGTGATATGAATTAATTGACACTGAACTTGAAGAATTCTTTCATCACATTATATAATTATTATGACGATAAGCATGATAAACATGAAATACGCGTATGGCCGATGAATTTCGTAAATTTTATTGTGCGCATTAAGAAAGAAATTACCTATTGACAAGTGCTCAAAATAAACATCAAATCAAATTAACTATATTTCTTTGGTTACGATTCTTCGTGCTAAAATTGTTTAGTGTATGACCTTGAAATGCGATCCAACGTGATGTAGTTAATTCTTTAACTTCCATAATCAGTTGCCTTTTATACATACAAGTTTTCGGATGTATGAAATCTTTTCTATGTGAATATTATCTGTAATATAAACTTATTATCTGGAACAATTTTTGTCACGAATATAAATGTTCACTTAAATTCTGACATAAAAAGATCGTAAAACCGATATAACATAACGTAATTAAAATGATGATCATCTATCGATGTTACATTAACAATTGCGTGGAATCAGTAAGAAATTAATGAGAAATATGAATACAAATAATCCAAGTGACAGTTCTTAAATGACTTTAGATGTGTTTTATATATACCTTTTTGAACTGACAATTTCATGATCTGCCATTAGCTTCCGAGATAGTTTAGTTGTTCGTTTAGGATGATTTCTTTGTTGACAATGTGGAAAAATAGTACTTCGACGTATGTAGTCAATTCTATTATCTAGTCAGTGTCGATTCGAGTACACTGTTCTCCGATGAAAAATGGTAGGAGGGAGAATCAGCTGATATACATATGCGCTGGAGAATTCAGTTTTTTCTCCGAAATGCAAAATGTACGTTGCATCGTATGATTAGATTTTTAATCTTTGTTAAATATAAAACACTTATATCGTGTTTGAATATGTTCTTTTTAAATTATGTTGTTTTAACAAACAAGACATTTTTGATAAACAGGATTGTAAGAGATAACATAACCTAAAATTTACGCGACAAATATATACACTTACAATTAACATAAGTAAACACAGATGGGCAACTTTTCTTTAGGAATAAAAACTGCTTAGTAATTATACTATGTTTGTTATTTTTACGTGTTTCAGAGTAAGTATTTATTATCTTTTACATTATGGAAATTTGTAACAATGAATAATTAAGATGAAATATTACTTTTTTTTCGTACATATGTTTATTGATTTATTCATAAACCTGTGTATGACTTAACAAAAATATTATTTGCAAAGCAACAATATTTATTTCAAATAGCATAATTTAAAATATTGATTCAGTGTTATAAATATATATTTAAGATAAATTATTTCGCATAATATATAAATAATTGAAAAGTCATAGATTATTATTGAATTTTTCGTTTAATAGTTTAAAATATTTAAATAATTAATCAAATTATTCGCAAGACTAATCTTGCTTTTTGTAACACGCAAAGTGTAAATGTAATACAATGATAAATGTCAGACAAGACATTTTATAATGATCAAAGAGTCTCTGTATACAAGCACTGGGTGCTTTTGGCTCTCCCGACAATATGAGCTATTCATCCCAATCAGCACATCCTCATTGCACTCATGCATGATTCTCATTACTCGGTCCAATTGTTTCGGGAATTCAAACTTACACTATAGCTGATAGATTGCACTTATATTCTTATATTTCTTAACCCAGTAATTTCTAAGGGTCCTATTATAGACAAAAATAAATATAAGTTGCTCACTCGATATCGTCTACTCGTTTCTTACCACTAAATATCCAAATAAGATTTGGTTAAGGGATGACAAATTTAAACATTTAATATTTTTCTGAGAAAAGGGATTATATTATTCTTATTTCGTCAAAAAAAGTATACAGAGGGTAACAAGAGTTTAATTTCGAAAGGCTTGCTCAAGGAAATGCAGGATGTGATTATGGCTGTGTATGTGTAACGATGTGACACATAGCATGCGTGGCGTAAGGATACACGTGCTGTTCGGGCGTCGTCTGCTGGCACTACTTTCCTGTCTGCCACTCAGGAAAAAGGATCCTAAACGAAACGGAGTTTTAGAACTAAGATCGCGTGTTATATTGCATTACCATTTCATTAATTTTACCCTAATTAAAAACAGTTTTCATATTTGATTATTTTCATTAATATTTTCTACAACAAATGAGAAGATTTTCATTTATTGAAACCAATTATTATAATGGATTTCAAATTATAATATTATCCTTTGCACTTATTTGCAAACTTTTCGAACTAAGTTCATAGATGAATTTGAAAAAAATATTTAATTTTATTTTTATACTATAAAGCAGATTTTTATTACTTTTGCGATACTATTTGTAAATACAATTCAAGCTTTGGTTTTAAATATTGTTAATGCACATGTTTATGGGTATCGGTTATTCTCCATTGTTCTTTAACGACGCAATTAGCTATCAAAGCTAAAGAAATCGCTTTTCTTCGACGCATCCACACTAGTGACTCATGACACAAAGGCGTATCCCTTAGATGTTATGCTTTTCTGTTGCGAATTAATGTTTACACCATAATGTTTTAGTCATGATCCGTCTTTAATCAAATTCATTAAATGTCTGAATACTAGATTTGTATAGTTTTCACTTTGTCCATCAATTATTTACGTAACACGTGTCTCTATACAAAAGTAAAATAGTTGATTTTATATTTTATGTTTATACGATTATTAAAATTATATCTATGCCTATTTGCTAACATAAAAAAGCGTATTTTGAAAATTATTCGTCTATAATTTAATGTACAAAATTTATTTGTATAACATCATTTAATTCGTTCATTGTTTAACAATATTTAACGTCAGTTTGGTAGGAAATCTTTACAGTTACTCCAGCATCTGTTTCCATAAAATATGACTATTAGAGATGGCGTTTCAAAGCAATATACGATAAGTATAAACGAAATGATAAATCGTTAAAAATTTTAATTGAAAATGCATTTGTTAATACAAATTTGTATAGGCGGGGACTACTTTTTTAATCGTGAACACCAGTGTTCCATGACTCGCGACACCTGTCGTACTATACGCGATGTAGTTTAACGTGGTAGCCAATGGTGGGGCGCGAAGCTATGTTCTGATTGGTCGAGTGAAAGGGGCGCGCGGTTGCTAAGCAACGGCAACACTGCGCGCGTCACCGGCCGGCGTAGCCGGCACCAAGCGTTCTTAGCGCTGTGGCAGAAAATTGCGCAGAACGACGTTAACTCTTGTCGTGTGCGGACGTGCTGAAGTTTAGATACGTGGTAGGGTAGACTTGCCAAAGCATTTTCTTTCTCTGTTCACTTTTAACCATTGACTAGAAGAGAAACTTCTTTTGGAGCGTTTTTACACTTCAAACGATACCGATCAAGAATCAAACAAGAGATAATTTAAAAGGGCTATACGAAGGAAATTAAAAAAGAAAATGGCAGAAGAAAAGAACGAAACAAGCCCGAACGCCGAGGGTGAAAAGATCCCGCAGGAAGCGGCGGCACCATCGAAGCAAGAAAAAGAAGAGCCGAAGGAAACTAAAGAAGAGGAGAAGAAAGTCGAGGAGAATGGCGACGGTGATAAACCCAAGGAGAACGGCGAAGAAAAACCCACGCCAGAGCCGAAGGACATGCGGGCTATAGTACTCAATGGTTTCGGCGGATTGAAAAGTGTCAAGGCTCTCAGGAAGCCTGAGCCCACCCTCGCCGAGGGAGAAGTTCTCATTCGAATCAAAGCATGGTGAGTACCTTTTGCATTTTCATACATAAGCACTATCTTTTCTCCTTTTTATATTCTCATAAGATCTTTCCGCTAATTTTCGAGTTGAAATAATTTCGAAATATCATAAAACTCATAAACCTATTAATCGAATTGTAATCACGCTAAAGATTTTATTGTTCCGATAACGTTACCGGTGTTTATAAATATTGACTATGAGCGAGATAGAATTTGAACGAATCAAACGACAGGGGAGAGGTTAAAATTGACGGTTGGTAAAATCAAACATTTTCACCGTATGTATTTAATTTATTTGCAATATAGTGACAGTTACTAGTTATTAAGCGTTTAGTTATTACCGATACATACATTTAATCGATTTTCCTACGGATAATCGATAATCGATCTATCGTTATTGAACGAATGTAAACTCCATATTCGAATTTGAATCGTACCGTATTCGATCTGTTCGTTCCGACAGAGGTGAATCGCCTAAAGGAAAACAAAATAGAAAATATAACCGGGTTTCGACCTAAACAAGCAGACCGTTACGATACCCCAGCATCTTTGAAATTTAAGGCGTGGTATCTGAGATGTTCGTAATTAAAGTTTCATTACTACGTTATGGAACGGATGAGTAATTTTATAAGGAATTCTGAAAAAAATCTGAATAAGAACACTTGATAGCTTGGTTCGTAGACGTGTTTGATTGGTATCAAATAAAATGATTTATGACTTTATTCTAATATCGTATTTGTAGAAAATATATCATAGCTTTGAAAATCTACTGTTAATTAAAAATCCATTATTACGTCTCGAATTGATATTATACTTGAGAAATATCGTTCGAATAGTATTAATGAAACAGAGCAGCTGCTGTTTTCACTACGAAAAAGTATTATCCGACGTTTATCAGGATGCAACGCGATCTGTGCGCTAAATAGGCAGCTACGTTTATAGAATACTTATTTGTGTGTTTAGCGTCCGTGTATGCATTCGCAGATACGCAAAATGAAGTTTGATAAGCCGGTTCAACTGCGTCCATCGCGTTACACTTATATCGCGTAGTAATGTCCGCGAGGCTTATTTCTGCGTTCCATCCATTTCAGATCCACAATATCCGATCGTCGTACATATATTCGTATACGTACCAGCGAAAGTTAATTGAATAAAATTAAAACGTTATTACGATTACATGGCGTATATTACATCGGATGTTGCTGCGCTTTGGCAAACCGCATCAGATAGCTCTACGTACTATCCCATTAATTCAGACGTGGGAAAAAAGATTATTAGGTAGCCGTGCATGCCGTTAATGCATGTCCAATGATATTAAGGAACGCTTTACTCTGCAGAATTATATTTGCGCGCTATATGTAGCGTGAATATGTTCGATATTGGCGAAATGTAGCATCAAAATTAACAATTTTTTTTTTTTTTTTAATTTAATATTGGAATGGAACTTTTCCTGTCATTTGCAATTAATGAAAAATTTCACGTTCCATGCCTAATTCACCTTTAGAAAGCAATCGTGAAACCCGTACTCTCACAAGTAAAGGCAAAAAAAAAATTCAACAGATGTTCCAGAAATTAGTCCTAGAAATAAGTAACAGTGGATTAAACGAGGAAGATTTTTATACACCATACGTTTAGTTATTATTTCTCATAAACATGCTTTCCCAGCTGACCAACGAAGGTCTCCGTAAGAACGGGTTCCCTTCTTTTGTTCCTTCGAATCGACAAAGGTCAGCATTTTAGGATCCCAAAATACGAAAAAAAAATAGAAGAAAAAAAAAGAGCCATATACGCTCCTAGGTATACGACGTCTCTTCTTTTTCTCTGTTTACACAGAAAAGGTTTTGCGTTAACCTTCTATATTTGTATCCGTGTTTAAGCGTCGAGTATCCGACCACGCGATATCGCGTGTACACGGAGGGTTAATTTTTTGTTTCGGGTCAAAATGACCGCACTGCGAGGACTCGCACACGTATAGAGTGAATACAAAACGAAAGAGGGAGGAGATTCGCCAAAGGCGTGCGGACCTTTTCACGCGTGAGTCACGTTTCATAAAAGCGATTGGGATTGATGAGAAAATAGCCCCCATAGAAAGATATCACGCTACTACCAATGCTGGTTCAAATGAATTTGTCTGCCTGAGTCGGCTACACAGACGTGTTCAGTTACGCTTGGCACCCCTGCCTTGCTTTCTATGTATCACCAGAGAGAAACGTTTCTAGTTGTTGAGTCATAGAAGTTTGAGCATCGAGGGGTATCTTTCGTTAATATGATCGTAGAACGGACATTTTCATACCCGTTCCGTTCTACGATGCGACCAGTGGAAAATTTATTTAATCCATTGCGATCCATTCATTCTGTATCCTAGATGCAATTTATTGCAACGAGCAATATAACTCTTGTGTCAATCATTTTTTATACATCGTTGAAGAGTGAAAGCTCGGCCAGGTCATGGCTGGCTGAGTGAAAAATTAGTTGAAAATTTCGTTGATATTCATCCTGGATATGGAATTTTTCTTCTACTTAACAGTTTCAAGCGTTTCAGGTATTCTATGTAATAGTAACTTGAATTCAGCTTAAGCCTAAAAGACGCGCTTGAATCATAAAAGGGTGTTTTCTTTTCAATTTTCTCTTCCTTGGAACGAAAGAAGTAGGATTCTATGTATTTCTGTTATGTAATTGTAGATTACTAATCTGTATAGAAAAGAAAATTTTCTCTGAGTACAGATAGCGTCCTAGTTTCTTTGTCAAATTTTATTTCATTTTTTCACATTTGTTTTTGAGTAATTTTTGAATGATTTAGTTATGTGAAATTTTTCCTACAAAAGAATACATTATAAATATTTATGTGATATTACGATCGATGAACTTTTGAACACGTATAGATATCCAAAACAAGACAAGAGTAATCTTTCATTTCTTCCATGTAAGAACGATAAGTTATTTACCAGGAAAATAGTTCCTTTTTTTTTTTTTTTATTTGAACAGATACTGTTGCATGTATCTGAAAAATTGAATGATCACAGACCTATGTTTATAGGAGCTTTCTGTTCGTTTTCCTTTCTTACGAGGTTCGTCCGTTCAACCGGAAGTAGCCTGTCGTATAAGTGGTTCATCGGATGTGGAGAAGAGTAAAAAGTAAATCGGGTACCCTTCTCGAGAGAACAGGAACAGCAATGTTTCCTTTCTTTCAATCGTTCAGATTGATGGAAATTAACTGACAGATGGACGTTAATAACAATCAATTATTGTCTAAATTATTTCTTGAAAATTTCATTTCATTAAAATCCACAGAATTGAACTCGATAATTTTTACGACCCCTTCTATAAAGTTAACGACGAAGGTAATGTATACATGTAGGATTGTCGGTAGATAAAACTTAACCCGAGTGCCGGGTAATAAAATCACGTGAATCGAGTTATGGGGATTCGTTTACAGATACGCGAGTCAACGTTGTAAAAGTTAATTAGCTATGCCGATGACCAATCGATAATTTCCATGATTTATAATGGATGTTAAACGACGAGATTTTACTAAACGTAAAACTGTTCGGAAATACGAGGATTTAAGTATGCGGTCGTTAGTAATGTATTCATTTCCAGAATAATTAGACTCAAGTAATTACAGGAGAAATAATGGGATCTTTATGAAAGTAATTATAAATAGTATTTGCATCGTTGTCGCGCTAAACGTTACGTACCACGAACTCTCCTAATTTTAATTCAAATTTCAATTCAAACTATCCACAATCTTTCGATTCACGATGTAGTTATTAAGAGGAAGTTCCACGAAAATCTGACTGTATTGTTCGAAAAGTTAAGGTCCAGGTAGTAAGCTGAATGGTGGTTTGTTAGTGTATGTGGGGGTGGGTATTCTTAAGGGCGTACACAATGCGTTCTGGAAAGTATGGAGTTTAGAAAGAGAAGTTTCAAGGTGTATGTACAGAGAATAGAGAGTATTCAGAAAGTTTTCAAGCGAATGTAGTTCGGTAAGGTACGAGTAGGACAAAGAACCGTCTTTCCCTTCTGGGCTGTTTTATTACTGTAGAATCCGCATTTCAAATCATTTTAAACCTCTCAAATCATCTTTGTAAAAAAGGGAAACATTATACGAGGTCTATTGTAAAACCAGAGTCCGTTGACTCTATGAACTGAGCGATACTTTTTCAAGGAAAATATATATTTTCATTCTCTTTATGTACAATTGATATCGTGGAGTATTCGGCCGTTCAAGTGGAAACGGTGTACGTTAAATGATATTTTTATGACTCACACCGCTCGTAAGCGAATAATTTTACACCGCGGGGTACAGTAATTAAATTGTTTCGGTGAAAGTAGTATTATTCGAACGCGCATTCCGTTGCTTCGAGTTTGTTTTCGAAGAATCGATAACGCTGCAAAGAAACTTTTATCGGTTCCCGACTCTTTCATTTTCCTTTTTCTTTTTTCCACACCCACAGCACTTTCTAAGTATGACTCTTTTAGATATCTCCGAGTAAAAATTGATTTTACAAATGAAAATCGTTTGCCATCAATATATATAGGGCTGGTTTTGAGATTTCGGGGGAACCTTCACATATAATTTACAAAATTAACATCGAAGCTTGTGTAACAAATTTAGATTTGCATTTACATCTATTCGAGTAAACATTACTCTTGTATTCTTAGACGCAAAATTGTCTCAGGGGGCCCAGGGCCGGCCCTGAATATATAATACTAGCTGGTATCATTAAAACACGAAAATTTCCCTTACATTCATCCATGATCGCATTTATAGCGTTCTGGCACTTGATGCTGAAAATGTACTAGCGTAGATGAGGCTCGTTACTCAAGCAACTGGTGTGCAAGTAGAAACGAGTAGCATAGATTCATCGTTGGACGTGAATTAGTATAACGCGATAATTCATCCGCGTGCTTTTCTAAGATGTAATTTTCCACACCGTGACCGTGCACCAGGTTGTGTGTCACAAGTGAACCGTGTACCTTCAACAACGAGCTTGATTCTT